ATCGAGAGTCTGATCAGTCATCGTGAGGCCAAATAACAATAATAGTTCTGCTTCTGGTTACCCTACCACCCCTACCCTATTTTTTTTTGGGGGGGGATGAGAAAAAAAAATCTGAAAATCATCAATTAGCCTACTATCTTTTTACCCTTGATTACACGCAGACACCTCCATATGATCGAACACACAAAAAATGGCCCAACATATTTTTTTTCCTACTTAAGTTCAAATTCCATGTAATCGGAAGCAGAACTATTTTGTTTGCCCTAATCAACCAATTTGTTCAATCAAACAGTATCCGTGACAAAATGCAACTTAATTGTCTGTACAATGTACTACATGTACAATGAAGTTTGTCAGTAAAATCAACATGGACGAACAGTACAACATGGTTTACATATGGGTACAAAGAACTACACAAGTTAATCAACATTTGAAATTGTCACCTCATTTATTCAAAATGACTTTCCAGTTTTAAAATTTGAAGAAAACAAATGCCCCTCTGTGCTTATTAGGTTGAACAAGGTTATCTCTTGCTCCACTGTCCACACAAAGGGATAATAAGACTGGATCCAAATGGGAGGCCTGGGGGTATAGGGGTACCAAACAGTTTATCCAAGCATGGGGGAATGAAAAGTATGGGTGCTCTTGTACATGTACACAGGTACACATGTACACATGTACCCATGTGCAGGTACACAGGAACACATGTGCAGGTACACATGTGCAGGTAGCTTAATTTTTTTCCTAGGAGGGTTAGGGGCAATGTCATGAATAATTCAGTTTTTCCTTTGAATCATCTCAAGACTTAGGTTCTCGTTCTATTTTCCCCTTAATTTAAAATTATCTCAGTGATAAATTTGGAGAAGAAAAATAGCTGATGAAAATGAGCAGCGACGACGTGGATTCGAACCAGGGATCTTTGTATCCATAGCTCATCTCGCTATCCACTAGGCTACTGTGTGGTAGCTCGACGATAACCGTTCTTTAAAATGCTTTAATGTATTGTAACTAGTTGAGCAACTAACAACAATGCTGTTGATGTCATTGTCCGTTCTCATGGATAAACATGAATTATTCATGACATTGCCCCTAACCCTCCTAGGAATAAAAATTACGCGTGCAGGTACACATGTACACCCATACACATGTACACATGTACACAGGTACACTGCAGCATGACTGCAGGCATGAACCTTCTTGGGGTAAAAGCCTTGGGCGATGGATAATTTTGTTTTGAGGTAGATGATGCTAGCCACTTATTAGTCTGTTATAATCCAATTTCAGTGTGCATAATGGTCGGCTATAAATGTTGCTCAAGTTGTTCAATAACCCAGAAAAATGTTACTGTCCTACAACAAGGGGACATTTAGGGGAAGGGAGGAGGTGGGTTTGGTCTGCTCCTAAAACCATGACTTGCCATTGTCTTACACAGCTAAGACAAATTGACAATACTCTGGGACCTGTCTTTGAGTTCAATAGCCACATTCCAGATTGTTCTGTAAAATTATACATGTATACAATACACATTCCTACATGTACCTAGGCGTGTATTGTATACACATGTACATGTAATGGTGACTGTTTTATTGCTTCCACAGCAGAACAATGTGAAGAGCCAATGGTTTTCAATCAAAACAGAACTCAGATCAACACGTCTGCATTGAGACAACATTATCAGTTTGTCAAGTGTATCTAGAGCTCTAGACTAAAAAGAAAAATAGATCAGGCAATTGACCTATCACCGTTTGCGAGTTAGCCACGCCCCTTAGACAACCCTATGGAGTTTTTTGTACACTTTGAGTTTTGTTTGTCTCGGATTTTGCGCGCGGAATTTGCATATCATGTAATTGGACAATATTTCGCAAGCTGCGTTGACGCGATTCTCTCGCGATTCTTCAGCGATAGGTCAATTGTGGCCAGACCGTGAAAATATTAGAATGCTATCGGATTTCTTTTAGACCTTGTCCCTATTTGATTATTGGGGACATACAATACATACAGTATACACTACAGTTTAAAAAATGAAGTCTACAGTGCATGAGCAAAGAATTTTGGATATTTGCCAAAGTTTACCTAAACAGATCCAAGTTAAAGGAAGGTATTGTATTTCCGTTAAAATAAAACAAATTTATAGCACCAAAAATATAAATATTATCTTCAAAAACATTACTATACTCTTCCATGGAGGAATAATACTTAAGTTTTGGTCAACTTTTTGTGTTGATTTAAAAATGCCCATTTATTTCTTTGGGTTTAACTTTTTTTTCCGCTCGTGCTTTTGCTTTTTTCTTTCTTTGGAAAAATACCTTCTACAAAAATAGAAAAGTATCCAAAATTCTTCACTTTTACATGGTTTAAAAATGTATGCATTCATATTTTCTGTTACCAGAAATATACATAACTCAGCAAGTAGTAAAAACATTGTTACATTAATAAAAATTCTGAACTGGGGCTTTCAGAATGCATTCAAACTGTCCGCAGTCTCATTAATAACTGCTGCCTTTTCAAGCAAATTTTGAGGCAATTTCTGCAGTATTGAGGCCAACTACGGGATAAGTAGTTTTCTTATTGCATTTCGCAAAACCTTTAATCCTGGACTATCTTTATCTGTGTCATAAAACATAAAATGTTCTAAACTCAACTGAAAGCTAGAAAAACGGATTTTAGAAATAAATCACTTCTAGTGTGCCTAACATGAGGGGTCCGGATTCTAACGACCGATTTTTGCTGGCAGCTGGCCAGCCAATGTCTTAATAGGATGTTATATTGGATGGGGGATCCACCCTAGCATATCCGGACAATTTACCGATTTCAATTTCCTGGGCTGACCAGGCTGCCCCTTTAAAAGATTATCTAAAAATAGCCAGGCAGCTGCTGTCACAACTTATCCGATTGAGTTTGTTTGAGACTGAATAACTGAAATTAAAGGGGCAATTCACCTCAATTCTGAACCTTAATTTCCTTTCACGATTAACTTTGTCAGCAGTCAAACCAGGATTTTGTTTCAAGGTGGGGGAAATTTAATATGGTGGCTTCAGACAAAGTTAGGGTTGTGGGGGAATTTTTTTAGGGTATGGGAAGTTAACACGTATATTTTACATGTGAGAGTTTTCAATAGCAGTGCGCATCTTTCAGCATTGGGGAAATTTCTAATTTTTCCAGTGAGTTTGGCGATTGTAGCATCCCTCTCTCACACACCAAATTTCAAAAGAAAAATCTTTTTAGCCTCCAAAGTGAAAATACAGGACTGAAATAAAGATGTGCCAATTTCAAATTGTCTCATTTTTGAAATGTGTTGTTTTCTGCTGTTAAGTGTCCACTCATTTTCAGAGACCCCAAAAGTGTGTTGATTTTTGTAAATAAAGTGTCTTTCCTGTTTTACCACAGCTCGTACTCGTAGCACTGATGAGGAAAGCAACTAATTACACAATGACTGAAATTATTGGCATAACTTAAGTGGCACACCACCATGGAAATTCCTAACATACCCCACATTGCTTTGCTAGTATATTTATTCAGGTGCATTACACTATGACGTTTTATTTTTTTAAAACATTGCTCCGATTGAAGAGTTAATTTCCAAAACAGGACATATCCATTTCAAAACAGTGAAAATGTGCAGGTCATGAAAACTTAGGCCAAATAAAAAAAACATGTTTAGCGTCCCCACCCGCTTCCTTTTTGGAGACCGCCTCCTTTTTTTGGTTATTTAAAAAAAAATATTAAAAAAATAAAAAATTTTAAACAGTGACATCATTTTGGCCTCTTTGTCTGTTGCATCTAGTCCATATAAAGCTGGTATGTCATTTCCTGAGTCCAAGTGACGGCCATTTAAAAAAAAAGCTGGCGGCTATCTTGAAAAATAGCCCGGTCGGTCGGCCATTTTGGAGGGGGGAAAAAAAAAAAAGCCTTCTTCCTTTTTTTCAAAAAGGCAGGACGCTAAACAAGTGTTTTTTATTTGGCCTTATAGAACCTACACAGTATAACTGTTTTTTTAATACATTTTTGGAATTTATTGTAATCTTAAATTTGTTTAAAGGGAATGTACATCATTGGCTTTTGCTGTAATTTTCAGAAATTAACTATTTGAGGGGTTAGTATAATAGATCAAATATTGTTACACTGATATGTTTGAAATCTTGTGTTCGAAAATGCTGGAAAAACCAAGACAAACAAAAATGTTCAAGTAGTCTGGTTCCCTGACTCCACTAAAGATAAAATGGATCAATTTATAGATGCCAGAAAATTGTAAGGTAAGGGAACCAGTCTAGCTGCTCTGCACCCGTTAATGAACATGTAACAAATAGCAAACACAATTTAGACTGAAAAAAGGTAATTTTGGAGCAGTAGTTGAAAAATAGTTAGGTTTTTCCAACGGTCCTGACGGTGGTCGGCCGACCACCGTTGGAAATGTATACAAAAATACAATTTTCTTGAAAATGATTTCACACCTGGTGCCATAATTTAACAGGATGCTTTAGACTGTCATTTACCAACATCCCAGTAAGCTATTTTGTAAAAACTTGGTAGTTTTATTTTTCGATGTTTGCAAATGTTGTATATTCCCTTTAACTATCACAGTCGTCGAAACTGACTTTGGGCAGCTTAGAGGGTTGGATTCTAAAGGGTAACAAAACGGTGTTTATCATGCTTTGGAAACAAACTCTTCACATTATCTCGAGTATAAGTTCATGGCCATGTATCTAGGCACGAAACATGCGTGTTTCCGAACATGTCAAACCTTTACTTCACTCTTAAGACAGGGAATTGGTCACTACAAATTCAAACACTTAGGATGGGTTACAAAAGCATGGCCTTTCTACAAAACTCCCATGATCAATGCATCATCGAAAAGTGTTATCATGAAAATGCATTCTGAAAGTTTCTCCAAGTTCAGCGTTACAGCTACACATTGTCACTGGACACATTCAGTTGAGCAAAGCCAGTAAGATTTCATTTTGTATTTCATTTTGATTTCAATTACATTTTTAAGTGTTTGGTTTTTTTGGCAGTTGAATACAAATGTTTCGTCTTTTTTTGTTTCTTAACTTTCCTGAGAATATAAATATCAAAAGTTTTTATCACAAAATTCAAGGCGTTGTTGTTGAATACAAAATTTTCTTACTGTCTTTTATTGTCAAATTTTTGTGTCCACTGTTAAAAGATTACAACATCAAAATACATTGTGACAATTGATATAAGTGTCCCAGACAATACGCATCATTTCCTTCAATAATAAGGGAAAATACATGTATGTATTGCGCAACTCAACTGATAAATTATTGCGCAACTCAAATCAATAGTCCCATGTTCTGTACCAAAATGTGTCAGGGGAAAGTCGGAATTTAACATTTTTAAATTTCAGCAACAAAAAAGTAATTTGGGCAATATTTTGTATTCAGCAATGAGTAACGATCCTGAATCCTCCAATTTTGATGTTTCACTCGCTCTAGGGAGTTATACATCTTCAGGATCATTATACTACAAAGTCAAAAGGCTTTGATATTAATGTTCAAAATATTTAAGTAACTTGAACTTTTTTTTGTAGGGCATAAAAAAGTGTTTTGAGGGAGTAATTTTAATTCCTTATCCATTCTCATTTGGTCCTCAAAATTTAAAAACATTTATCCACCAATTTGTTTATATCATATTGCATTGTCATCATGTGCATGTTTTAACTTCACGGATTAAAAATCAACTTGTTGCAAAACAGAATCTTCAAAAATCTCATCCAGTGGGGAACAGACACAAACGTCCATCACCATACAGATTACAGTTGGATCCATACATAGCCATTGAAAATGGGGTGAAACTGGTATAAATAAATATTGGCTCATTATTGTCATTTGAACTCAAAAGAGTTTTCAAGAATAGATGAATAACAATCTCACTTGCAAATGTGTATTTTCTGAGCAGATGTTTTCCTGTGGAATGTGTACATAATTAGGCCCAAGTTCAAATCCTTTATTACTGATCTTTATCAATCATTAAAAAAAAAGAGGTAAAACTGTCCATTTGTCCAGCCAGGTGGGTGATGTTTATTTTTTCAAATGAAATATGACAAATACTTTTAAGTTGAATTTGTAAGTCCTTGAGGATGATGTGCCTTTTTCAGGACAGTGTTCTCTTCGCGTAACCGCTTCACTTCATGCTCCAAATCATCCAGACTCTCTAGCCGTGCTCTGATCGAGGGGTCTTCATCTATCGAATGTCCATTCATTTGCTCTCCATCTGATGACCTGTTTTCGGTTTGCTGTGTTTCCTCCAGCTCAGTCACTCTCTTTGACAGGGTCAGGACTTCAGAGACCAACTGTTCCTTGGACATCGACTGCAAACGTTCCGACTGTACTTCGTCGTACATTGCCGAGAATTCCCTCTCCAGGAAATCTCCGTCTCGGATATCATCATTCTCATCAAAAAGCTCATCAGATGAGTCCCCTGGAATGTGATTACCTCCTGCGCTCAGGTCAGGTGTGTCAACTTTATGATCTTCCATCAGGAACTGTGTCGTGTTGTATGGAGTCGGCCGATTGGCTCGTTTCTTGGTTGCTCTCTTGCTCTCCAGTTCGTCCAACTCCTTCTTTTCTTCCCAGGTCAACCTTGCGTAAGGTTTCCACTTCCGATGGTTCCTCTTGCGATTATTCCTCCGCCTGCGCCGGAGGTTTTCATCGACCTTGTTTTGATGAGGAGCTCCTCCATTCTTGATGTTCTCTTGAACTTGTTGAGGTGATCCCCCCGATTGGTGGTTGTTACTGGGCACGATGGATGGCGCCATCTCTTGGCCTTCTTGCGCTTGTCCCGTCTCCGATCCGCTGGCGCTACTGCTCCGCCTGTGGTTGGGTCTGTTCCGTGTGCGAGGTGCACGACGCGGTCGATCGGTGCTGCTGCCCCCGCTGGTTGCAACGCCAACGGTACGCTGCCCTGCTGCAGATCCTTGGCTTACGGTCCGTGGCCACTTGTGTTCAGGCGGCCTACCTATCGGACTAACGTCGGGGCTTTCCGTCCTTTCGTCGTCTCCTTCCACGCTCTCTGTTCCAAAAGAAACCCTTTTCTGTCCTTCCATAACCAATACTCAACCGGACACAGTGTCAAACTGACAGTATGTTCGAGAAATTAAAGCAAAATGGGGCAGTTTGTGTCTAAAAATGCTCGCAGTTATAAACAGTGGTAATGTCCTGCTCTCGATCATTCTCATTTTCTAAATGTAAATTTTTAGTCCGTGCGCTTGTTTTTATAGTGTGCCGCACTGCATATCAATCCGCCTAAAAATATCACGGCTTAATCGTTTAAAGATAACTTTGTTTTAAGGCCCATTTCCATTGATACATTATTCGCAGTGTTTATTTTGTTCAAAAAAGTCAAACAATATCAAGAAATATTTGTTTTTTGCAAAAAACGAAACCTATTTTTTTCTAAATCCTAAAGAAGTGAGAAGGTAGTATTTAACGCATCATGCAAAAGTCGTCGGGATTATCGGCGTATTTATGTAGGTTGTACCAATGTACAAAAGGGGGGTTTCTAGTTAGTTTATATTGTACCAACCCCCCCCCCCCCCCCCCCCCCCCCCAAATTGCGTATGTTTAGTATTCGCTTGTTTTTCAGAAATATTTTTCAGATATGAAGAAAATGTGAGTGCAAACAAATTATTTGTCTATTGATTAATATATCAAAACTCCATCCGTTTTTTTAATCAATGTCTTGGAAATGGAAGTGAAGGAAAACGACACCCCTTTGAACTCAACTTCTTGAAGAATGTAAATTCGCATGTTACGCATGTGGTACATATGCATAGCATGTATGCATATAAGCGCATGCATCGACATATAGCTGGCCTCAGCTAGCTAGCTAGCTAAGCTAATTTAGCGCGTATTTTTATGCTGACTTTTGCGCGCTGTGTGTGCGTAAGTCCAGCAACTTCCTGTGCCTTCTTCGGCCTTTAGTTCTTCCACCAAAATGCGTTCGTACTGGTGATAAAAATACCTCAATGTTACCCAAGATTCGAGTTTTTAAGTAAGTATGCAAAGTTCAGAGGGTAGGCCTAGCTACTCACATGACTCAGCTACTGGCTAGTACTGCTTTACTTATTTGAAAGAGAAACATGGTAAAGATTGCTGATTGGTTCACCCATGCCACCAAAGTCCACTGCACCATTGCAGAGTCAGCATCCATTTACAACCACAAATATTGGAAAAGCATGGAAAGACAGGGATGTCATCTGTATTGTACGTCAGCCTTTTTTGGAAGGAATACTGCATCCTGATGCCACTTATTCCATGTTCCATCATATATTATCTCAATGAATGTCAGCTGTGCAAAAAAATGTCGGAAAGACATGAAACTGGGACAAAGATTGAAAGAAACATTGCCAATTTTGTTTGAAAATACTTTGAATAAAAATGCAGCACAGTAAACTCTCCATATATAGATTTTGTACACAACCTAAAAATTGGCGTCAGGATACTACGTCCTATCCAGTTTGTACAAGTTTACCCAGACCTAAATGCAGTAAAATAAGTTGGAATGAAACTTCACAAACTTCATTTTGTCGTCTTGAGGTTAACCCATAACGAAAAAAGAATTCCATACATGGACATCCCAGATTTGTCCCTGCAGTGACTTATGTCAGCCATCAGAAAGCGATAACATGTCGTAAAAAGTCAAATTTAGCAGGGAAAATATTGAAGCATTTACAGAGAAAACACTAAGAATTTTTCAGACTAGTCTCATAGTCATAGGGTTTGTGCACAGTCCAGGTATGGAATTGTTTCAACAACAAAAACTAGCATGTTTCCCCTCATTTAATGGTTCCCTTTCACTTGCACTGAGGTTACAGTTTGTCAAGACAAATGAAAAATTGAAGTGACTTGTTAGATTTTATATTTTTTTTATCTTTAGAATTTTAAGGCCAATTCGGCCTAGAGAAAAATAGTTTCTCATCTGGTCTTTTTGAAAAAAGGAAGGACAAGTTTCTTTTTTCTCCGGGATGGCAAATGGATTCTTCCATTTTGTCAAAGTTTGCTGATTCTTTTGTGTCCAAAGGATCTGTCACCCTTTGAACTTGCATACCAGTTTTGCTGGAAACGAAAAGACACACTACTGGTAGGCCTGCTGCAAATGTATCGTGGGTGTTTTTTTAAGGAGGCTGGTGGGAAAAAGAAGCGGCAAGCTCAAGAAATTGGTCTTTTTTCTTTTACTTGGCCCAATTTACTGATCTTTTTAGGTTTTTTTTTCATTGGGGAAAAAAATGTATCCAGACGCCACTTTTTTGGCTGTTTACAAAGTCTGTGGAGAGTCGAATGCATTTTCAAAGTATTTCCTAACAAAACTGTTTGTCAGTCCCAGATTCATGTCATTTCAACATTTTTGCAATGACTGACCTTCATTGAGATAATAATTCAGCAAAAGTGGGTGTCGGGATGCAACATTCTTTCCTTTCATTGTATTAAATTGGATTCTGTTTTCAAAGTATTTCCTAACAAAACTGTTTCTCAGTCCCAGATCCATGTCTTTTCAACGTTTTTGCAATGACTGACCTTCATTGAGATAATAATTCAGAAAAAGTGGGCGTCAGGATGCAACATTCTTTCCTTTTATTGAATTAAATTGGAGTCTGTTTTCGTTTCCTCAAATGTCCATATACACGCTGATAGTATTCGCATCAATAACCACATTATGAAGCACACGATACTCTATTGAACATCGCACTGCACTCAACAAAGTTTTTGGTTTGAATAGAACTGTACATTTTGCTGCCACAGAGAAAACTTTTTTTTGTAAAGAATTCAAGGCTGTCCAAAATTACTGGACACAAGTTATATTCAAACCTGGTCAAAAGAAAATAAAAGCAGGAAAAAAGATTATTGACAAGTCAACGAAATCAATAACACTCCCAGTAATACAATACAAATGCCGAGACCGTTAAATCTGACCCTTCGAAAATTATCTTGTTATTTATTGGAAAGATATGGGGTCAGTTGGGTCATACCGGTACAGCACAAGTATACACACAGACTGAGCACAAATGGAACAGCCACCAAGCCGGATTAGACTGCAATGTAGTGTATAACGTGGGATTGTTACTTTGATTGCATTTGCAACCATGCTGTCCCCCCCCCCCCAAACTGTTTGTTAAACAGACCGCTTTCTGATTCTTCGAAACTGTCCCTCCCCCCCCCTCCCCCTTCCCAGATTTCAAATGACATTCTTTGTAAACAAAATTCAAGGAGCATCAAGTGTTATGTAAAGTATATGGCCCTTTCCCTATCTGTGAAATGTTCCAAACCTCCGGAAAGATTTGAAAGGGTCCAGAAAGAGTTAAGCTAGAAAATGCATAGCAAGCCACGTGTTAAATTTCAAAGCACCCTTCCCGCTGGTCATTGTCCCTAATTTCATTGACCTAGACAAGGTAACTGCTTGCATATTCTGGGTTTCACCATGGAGCTAGCTCCATGGTTTCACCTACATGTACTATGGACAAGGTAAGTGCTTGCATGTACTTAGCCATATGAAACATCCTTATCTGTACGCTGTGTTGTTTATTGACACACGGTTCACTGAACACCTGAAGCAGTAAACAGCCGTATGCTTCCTGGTAATCCATAAGCGCACTGCCACAAGTGGGCAAATGCGCTAGGCCCCTGCAAGTAGGATCGTCCATTTTACAAAATAGGGATTTTACTTTGAGCATGGAGGTAGAATTCTACCTCCATGCTTTGAGAGTTCGTGTGTGACTGTGTGTGCATATCATTGTGACTGAGTGTTAAAAAAGGATAACAATGAAATTTCAGGTGTTTTGATGACCGTCCCCTAGCCTAGCATTTAAATGTAAAAATTGGCTGTGCTACGACCTTAATACACCACAATTCAAGACATTGTCATGCATCAAATCATGATTGATGATTAACTACTGCTAGTGTAGTGATTTATTGTCAGGAACCCATTTTACACTGCACTTAAGAAACAAAGTCAAGACAAAACAAATTTGGGACAGAGTTGGTTTGTTGCAGTCAAAGGTGACAGAAGGTGACACTGGCTATACTGTTCCTCAAATTTAAACACACAATTTAAAAAAAAAATGTATCCCTTCATTCCACACCCTCAAAAGCATAAGCTGAAAAGAGTGAATGCCCTACATATAAATTCAATAATAGCCCTAACAGTCCTGAATCCTCCAATTTCAATATGATTTTGCACACCCCCTAGGGAGTGTGTTCCTTCCTCCATGGGTTAATTAAGGTGTTGCCCTCCACCGACGTATTTGCGTCACCGGATGCAAATTCCATCTTATGAATAGCCCTACATATATAAACGTAAATTTTTTGAATTATTTTTTTTGGGGGGGGGGGATTTTTCCTCAGTAATGCTCAAGCCCAAATTCCAACTAATTTCATTATTTATAACATTTTTATTATTATTATTATTCTGGTTTATTTAAAAAAAAAACACCAAGTCGGCAGCCACTATAATGTGCCTGAAGAGACCGGCTTACAATAGTATAACATTATTGATACACATAAAACATATAAATAAAAGACATATAAAACATATAAATAAAAAGAGATTCATAACATTTCACAAATGCTCAGTCCAATACATTTGGTTGGCTCTTTAAGTCACACGTGCAGTGTGATTTACTCGTGCTACTCTCAGCAAAGCCAATATTGGCCAGGGATATCAGTATTCAGGCTAATGTAGTCTGAATTCAGGCTTTTTCAGGTTTTTGGAACAAGCTTGATTGGAAATGTCTCGGAAGCTGCAGGCCAATGAATTGGTGTTCATGCATGAGTCACCTGATTGTGCCATGTATGCAGTGTTTTTGGTTTTTTAACCACAGTGACCCCATGATGACCTTTGACCCAATTTGGTCATGTGACATGTTGGGGCTGGGCTACTGATCCTTTTGACAAAAACTTCGGTTGAAATCGGTCAAATATGTAGGAGCAATAGACAATGTCAATGTTTGTTTCTAACTCATGCACTAACTAACAGAGAGACATGATGATTTGTTGAGCTGCTATCCCGCAGCTAAAAACAAATTCAGAATTTCCATCCCTTCAAAGGCCTGAGAAATTAAATTCTCGTGTAGCACGCACTGAGAAACAAGCTCGAATGCATGTTCACCTTATTTTGACCTTTGACCTCATAGCTGTAGGTCAGACGAAGAGTTCACCATGGAAATTTTTAATGTTTGATGAAGGCCAACATGTTGACAGCGATACTTTTGTCATTTCAGCTTTCTTTGAAAGTTGGCCTACTTTGACCTTTGACCCCATAACTGTAGGTCAGACGAAGAGGTCACCATGATTTTGTAATCTTTGATAAGGGCCAACTTATTGATAGTGTTACTTGTGTCATGTAAGTACAGTTGCAGATATTGGAGGGCTATGCAAAAAAAACAAAAAACGAGTAGTCAATGTTGGTAAATTTTGAAGTGAAATGGAGGGTCTGGTCTAAACAATGGTAAAAAAACCCTGCTCTTTTGGTGTAAATCAAATTCCATATTATAATCTTTTGGTGTAGTTTAGTGCATGTCTCTTTGAGATGCCAATGCACGACCAGCTGAAGCAAATTGAAAGATGCTTTAACTCACCAGCCAAATGATTTTAGTGTTTTGAAACCTTTTTCCCCCCCTCTACAGATAAGCTGTAAGCAGTGTTCAGTGATGAGAGGCTGTCTCCAGTAGCAGCATTGTACGGGTGCCTTCTGTGCAACCATGTATCCGTCCAGGTAAATATTTCCTCTCTTAAAAGTTGCTTTTGTGGGTTTTTTTGTGTGTGAGTTTTTGAGATTTTGTTTTTGAATGACACTTTTCCTAGCAATACAAAATTTGATCCCTTTTCAATGATACATTGAGCAAAAAAATCTGGGCTCAGTATGCATAACTAAACATAAACAATGCTGGGTACAGCCTACGAACTCGACAGTGCATCCTCCAAAATCAACCAACCCCTTTTTTGTGCCTCCAAAAGCCTCCCAAACTACCTGGAGAATTTTGGAGGATGTAGGAGTGTTAGGGTTAATTGCGTAGTTTCTTATTCCTACACTATCCATCGAAACCTTCCTGTAGATTTTAAAGGAATTTGAAGGAATTTGAAAGTGTTTCTTCCTGAGTTGTGTATTGGAAATATTTGGTGCCAACTCTATTTCTTTATTAATTTGTGTTTTTAAAGAACAAGTAATTTTTTGTTATTTCCCCTCGCTCCCCTGCCATTTTTTGCTTGGAAGAATTCAGAAATCTTGAAATTATATCTCACTAAAGTTAACTAATTCTTTGAACTCATAAAAAAAAGTTGGGCTTGAACCTGATATCATTAAAATAAGGGTGGTTGACCTGTATAGTCATGAATATGTCAATTTGTTTCAAAACTGGATGTAAGGTTTTGACAGATTCAGATGAACAACTTCAAAACAATCTCATTCCAAGTGGATGTAAAGTGCTTTAAAGATTTTGCCTAATTTTTTTTCCTTCTACCTCAGCCACAATATTGCCAGCTATACTCCCTTGTTTGCCCAGGCACCGGTGTTTGTGCCAAGCAGCATCTCTCAGCAGCCAGTACAGCATGTCACCAGACCCCAGCCTTGCCCCTCTCCCCCACAGACTGGGCTGCAGGTGGTCTCCTATTCCTCTACCTATTCCTCTACCCCCATGTCCCCAGCTTACTCCCAGCCATCACAGGCCCCTGTGAGATGCTTTGTTCCAGCCTCCCAGCTGCCGGCTGGTGGCAGCAGCGGCGGCGGCATCTGCAGTTCCACACAGCCCAGATGTGCGCCTGGTCCTCCCCCAGTGAGACCCTGGCAACCGCAGCTGCAGCCAGTGATGCGACCGCAGCTGCCCTCGGAGAACCATTCACGGCCCCAGCTGCAGTGTGGGCCCTGCCGACAGCCACTTCGCCAGCCCAACCCACAGCCTCAGCCATATCCAACCGCATACCACCACCCACAACCCCAGCCAGTACCCCTGTCTCACCCACCACCATCCCACCCCAAGGGCCAACATCCACAGCGGATCAGCACAGCTGCGTACTACCCACAGTCTACCTCGCCCTCAGTCCCTTACGCAAACAACTCGAGCCTATATGAGGTTGCCAAGACCTCAGAGATGAATGGCGCAAGGAGCAGAGGCTTTGGAGGCAATTTAAGTATCCGAGACCAGCAGACAATGTACCAGAATCAGTACATGCAGAGTGCAGCGCAATGGTCTAATGAGGACTACACGGTGCCTCTCACTGAACCGGAGAGACAAAGGCTTTTCAGGTAACGTAATTCCAGCGGAAAAGTCTTGATGGTACTTTCCACAATGTCAGATTCATGACCCACTTGTTATTTTATGGTTTTGTGTACAGTCATCTAAGCACATTGCAGTGTACTGTAGGAAATGCAGGTACTGAGGAAGTATTTCATTTTCTCTGCATAATGCAAGATTTATGAGTGTACATGGTGTGCATGTATTTCCACTGTCAAATGGATTGTACCATTCAAAAAAATAATTGTCCACAGATCACAATAAAGGTAAGTGATATTTCAGCAAAGTGAAAACAATTCACGCATAAAAAAACACATCAGAACACTCTTAACCATGATAACTGGCACTTTATACATGTATCATAACCTTTATTTAAACGCCCTCTGCTTCTAATGATTAAACAACATGCTTTACAATGTCAATAGTTAATAGTCTTGCCCTGCCTTCTACACTCAACCAAAAAAGAAAGTCCCCCTTAATCCTTTTTTTCTAACTCAAAAACTTCTTCTCACATCTTGCTCAAATTTCAACTGATCAGTACAAAAATTCCTTAGCAATCCAGCCATACTCTTCGTTTGGCCCAAAATAGTGATAATGTGTACAAAATTATGCAATTTATGACAAACGGTACCGAAAAAAGTTGCACTTTTGTATACGTGCAAGGTGAGCGTGAACCACAACTTGCACGTATACAAAAGTGCAACTGTTTTCAGTATCATTGCTCATAAATTACATAAAAGTTGTACACAATATTACTGTTTTGGGCCAAATAAAGAGTATGGCTGGATTGCTATGGAATTTCGGTACTGATTATTCGTTATTTTAGCGAGAGATGCTCAGTAGTTTTTGAGTTATACAAAAAAGTATTGGAAGGGGGGGACTTTCTTTTTTGGTTGAGTGTACTTGGCTATCCCAGAGACTTACGAGATAATTCTGATATCATTTTCATGATACGACATGCTTTCATTTTACTGAAATATCACGCACCTTAAATGTGGTCCGTGGAGACAATTTTTAAAACTGTGTTTGTGTTCAAAATTCCATTACTCAAAAAGTATGTGAGGGATTTCATTGTGAAAGAAATTTTGTTAATTGGGCTTTCACATCTTAGATCAGGAAAACGCTAGATGCAGAACTTCTTCACAAAATAGGGGGCGCCATTTGGGTTTCCTTTTTTTTTAGTCCCCCACAATTAGGACAACGTTGACCTAGAAAATGATACAAATAAAAATGGTCTAAAATAAAAAATAAATAAAATGGTTTCATGTTTTAAATTTAAATCAGATCTTCCCTTGGAATTTGTAGTTTGGCTCTAGAATATTTATCAAAATCATTTGACTCCCGTGAGGATGCTCTTACCCACAGAAATTTGCCTCAAAGTGACTTGCAATGTGTTTACCAGTCCTAGTATTGTTTGTCTCCTGCAAGGTGATTGCTCACCCCCTTGAGACAAGGCAATGTCACAACCTTATATTTTTGTTCAATTGTATTCCTCAGGCATGCAACTTTTCCTCGGATCAGCTTTTTCCCTCTTTTTTTGACCTCCCATGTGTGTCATTGAAAATAGAAAAACACTGCACAAAGTCTTGGAAAGATTTGAATTTCCTCTTTTTTTGTAACTTATTTTCTGGTCCCTTTGCAGTTGGCAGCCTGTAACCCTTAGTGCCTTGTTGGGGACAATTTCCATAGAATCAGAAAAAAATGAAACACAACAGAGATAATCTGAATCAATATGGAAATGAAATTAATGGTCATTTTGTAAATTCAGTCAATTTCAAGAGGTCCTCGGCATCCACGGAACCCTGGACGTGTGCGACAACCGGCTCCTCAGCATCTTCATGCAGCTGCCTGCCCCAATCCGCCGGGGAATCAAGAGGCTAGGGGGCCTCAAGCCATTCCTGCAGCAGGCCGAGGAGTTCTTCATTGTGGAGGGAGACAATATATCACTGCGATTGGAAGCCACAGATATGGACCAGGAGGTGCAGGAGACTTCATATGACCCAGCAGAGTGGGAAGACAGCAGAACCGAAGATTTCTTTATTTCAGAGTTCATAAAAGGTTAGTCATTCATTTTTTGACGCTTTCTTGTGAAACTTAACATCGATGAAGAAAAGTAGCACATGTATGTAAAGTGCTTTGAGATTGTTGATGCGATGGAAAGCGATAAGCATTACTCTTTAATTATTATTTATTTATTTATTTTCTGTTGGCCATCATCACATTTGTCATCTCATAATACATTTATAGACACCATGAACAAGTACGCCCTCACGGCTACAAATGGAGAATTTGGGTAATAAAGGGAGAGTTAGGGGGGCCCACTGGGAGAGACATTCGAACATATTAACGACGACGCCTGACGCTCGCGCAAAGATGCTTTGACTTTCTGCACATTCAGAATAAAAATAGTTGTGCGTACGTCATGCTATTGGCGCGTGGACCAGTATGCGCACGCAGTGTGCTCCACCATCTGCTCGGCTCTTTAACCCTCCAGCTGTCTGAACAGTCACAGACAGTCAAAAACTCAATCGTCTTTTCCCTGCTTAAGCGTATCTGTGTCAAGTTACATAAACGTCACAGCCCTTCAATCCCGCTTTATGTAGGCTGGGAGCTCTTAACTGTTTGGAAAAAAAGTCACTTGATTGATTTTGACTGAAAGGTTCTTGGGACAGAATGTATGTTTGCATAGGAGAGTTAACCCTAAGCTCACCTAAAGCTACAAAATACTACTTCTAAAAAATTGTAGTATGAATACTTCAGCATATAAGTGTGCACAACACTCAGTGTGTTCTGTAGTACTCAGTTCTTTATCCCAAAGTAATGGCTAGGACGTTAGGGTTAAAGTGGTATTAAAAAGAGTGCTCTTTCTTGTTGCGCACTGAGCCCATTGAAAATTTTCGCATCTACGCGCCATCTACTGTTCGTGAAATAGAATTGCTCAACCTTTCCAAATCCTTCAAAATTCACCCAAAAGTTTTGGAGTGTCCACCTCTCTTTTTTCACCCTCCATTTTTGAAGGGTGAACTTGTGCATGGATGCCATAGCAGCGTCATATACTGTGTATCATTTTCAAGTGAAAATCAATTCCCGTTTTTCACATTTGCCTGTATTGCTGTGCATGCAGCACCAGCCGAGTTGGACGGTTTGCAGACCGGAAGTTCTCAAGGTGAAGAAGACACTGAGTCGACCACACTGTGGGAGATTTGCTCCTTCCTGACGTCTGGCTACGGGAGTGGAGGCGGTTACTATGACGACTATAAAGTTCTGTTTCCAGGTAAGTCTTGGTCTTTCCCTTTCTCAGTTCACGTGACTGATTTGCTCTACACGTCAAGTGACAGTGCACTTCATTATCATCCAAATGTTGCAAGATCCTTGAAAATCCACACAGAGATTTGAGAGGATTTTGCAGGATTGAGGAAGGTGGAACCCACTACAGGGTATTAGTTTTTGTTGTTTTTTAATGTGTTGGTGGTTTAACATTATCCCTAACTCCCTAGGGTGATTTACTACAAACCGTCCTCATCCTTGCAAATCCCAACACCATATGGTAAACTGTACACATAAACAGTTGGACTCTGTTAATTTGTGGTATGCCCAATCCCAGGTAAAGTACAGTCAGTTTACTAGTGCAGTACTCATCCTAACAGATTCCAACAAACCCTAGTGTTGGAGTTTGGCTGGCTGGGGATTGTTAGGGTTAATGCACAGTGGAGGAGTTTGGAGGATTTAGGAAGTCTGTGATGGTGTGGCATTAGGACACTCCCCTCTCTCTTGTTTCTTTTTTTTAAGGTACAGCCTCCCCATTCAAATGTAAATAATGTTTATTAAGTACATTGTACCAACTACTTTGTGAGATACCCCACCTCCACAATAAACAGTGATTGGGCTCAAGTGGCAAGATAGGATGTCACTTCCTGTGGGACACTGGTAGTTTGTGTGATGGTCTTTGTACTAGGGGTCATTCTGATCTAAGACTTTGATAAGTGAGGAACATTGACCACCACACCAAGCTAAAGCAGTGTCCATTTGTCTTTATTCTTGCAGGTATGTTGTATTCTTCTTCACATTATCTTGATGACAGATCATGGAAGTCAAGAGAGGAAACATGTAGTTTTTGTGTCAGAATGTAAAGTTACTTAAAAGTGATGCCAGAGTCTGTTACATTCTTAGCTCTTTTGTCTAAAGACAAAAGAGCTAAGAATGTTGAGAAAGCCCACAGTCAGAATGTGCCAGAGTACAGGGACAAATAGGTTCCTTCGCCCAGTCTTACTCACGTTTTCCACTTATAAAGTAAAAAGTAAAGTCTGTCCCGAGCCAGTGTGGCTCATCAGGCCGGCGTTTATCTCCGGTTTCAGTAGCATGAAACGACTGAGAATATTTCTACTCCCCCTGGATGGGATGCTAGTCCATCGCAGGTTACTCCCCAGCTAATGCCGGTACCCATTTATACTCCTGGGTGGAGAGGGGCAAGTGGGGTGAAGTGCCTTGCCCAAGGACGCAACATATGACCAGCAGCTGGATTCGAACCCCTGACCCTCTGATCATGAGTCACGAACCCTAACCACTAGGCCACACACTCCCCTTTCCACTTATAAATGTTTCCTAATTTGTCTACTAATTATGATTAGTGATTGTTCTTAAAACTGAGAGAATAACTTGTATGGGTACTGTGTACTAGTATGTGCCCTTGAACCGGTCCTACTAAAGCGCATCAACAAGCGTCAACAAGCGTCAACAAGCGTCAACAAGCGTCAACAAGCGTCAACAAGTTTTAGTAGTCGTTAAGTGCGCGTCAACAAATTTTTTATAGGCTTTTGAACAATAAAAACAGCTTTATATGGTAGAAAAAGCAATAATGAACATCTTCTGCATATCAATTAAAGTTAAAATTACTTAAAAAGTGGTTTCCAGCGCGAAATCTACGACGGGTTTTTCGGTTTAGTATTGGCCGCCATCTTGTCTGAGATCTACATACTACGCATGCGTGGAGTGTACCATTCACGCATAGGGGTTTCTTTATACTATTCGCTTTGCGAAACCTCGTTTGGTTTTTGCATTGGGATTTTTTGGCAGATATTGTGAACAGTGTCAGTCGGCATATTTTTCAAATAATTAGCCAAGTACCGTGACCAAGTTTGCATAATTTATAATTGAAAAAAAAAATAGTTTTCCTAATTTCTAGAATTGAATATGTGCAAAACACCAAACGAGGTATCGCAAAGCGTATCGTATAAAGAAACCCCTATGCGTGAATGGTACACTCCACGCATGCGTAGTATGTAGATCTCAAACAAGATGGCGGCCAATACTAAACCGAAAAACCTGTCGTAGATTTCGCGCTGGAAAACCACTTTTTAAGTAATTTTAACTTTAATTGATATGCAGAAGATGTTCATTATTGCTTTTACTACCATATAAAGCTGTTTTTATTGTTCAAAGGCCTATACAAAATTTGTTGACGCGCACTTAATGACTACTAAAACTTGTTGACGCTTGTTGACGCGCTTTAGTAGGTCCCAACACTATTTAGTATTTCAGTGTTATGAAAAATGCACTGTCCTCTCAGCTTTAGTCGAGATTGTCCCTAGATACCAAGTTGATTTTAGCTTGCTCATCCTGGACTGAATATGCCAGGTTCTTGAGAGCTGGTTTTGACAGTGCCATATTGCCTCTGAACTTCTAGAGAGTGTCAATTGTGATTGACTTTTATGCTTGGAAATTGTTAGGAATGATTCCTCTGCTTACTTTCCTTTGTTTTTTTTGTTTTATTGAAGGCAAAGATATCCCTTTAAATATGGACTTCACCTTTTTTGGGGCTGTACATGATATACATGTATTGTACAATGTTCATTAATTCTTTGATGATGTGGCATGTGTCTTACCTTTAGTTAGAGCATAGCGCGGGAAGTACTCATGCATGACCAATTAGTATTGAGTCATTCTTGGACTAGAGATAAACCGTGAGGTTTAGACATGCTTGGTATCGATTTAGGTGATGGAATTGATTATGTTAATCAGAAGTGAGACAGAATCAACGTTTTTATTGATACCATGCATACCGAGGTATTTTACTCGGAGACAAATGTACAAAAAGTTGTAATGAATACATATTCTTAGTTTTGAGGGGTAGACCTTGCGCGTAAAACTAGTTGATCTTACATTAAAATACCGGTAGCTTACTGACCATGTTACTATTTTTGCATCACTATTCTTTATTTTATGCATTTATTTGCACCGGTATTATTGTTGTATGTCATTCTGATCTAAGACTTTGATAAGTGAGGAACATTGACCGCCACGCCAAGCTTAACCAAGTTCGTTTGTCTATATTCTTGCACTTTTGCAGTTCTTTAATAATGAACACTCTGAAGAGGCTGCTCCCTTGACCGTTGGGGTGTAACACTAGCAAAAACATATGGCTCAGATGTTGGGTTAATGACAGCTAACTCGACATTTAAAGTTGATATACATAGTTCCAAGATTGTGATGTACTTAATTACACACGTAACTCCACCCTCAGTACTAAAAAGTAGGAAGATTTAAGGCTATGTCCGGAACGGGCCTCTGGAGTGACAGCTACATCTATTGTTGGTTGTTCCCATGAAGTTGTAATGGGTGTAGACCTACACAATGGCCCTAGACATTAGATTATGGATGCGGCCTAACTCTTAATTGACAGACAGCTGATCTGATTGCAATACCGGTATGTGTCAGGTGCCTGAGTGTGTTTCTGTTACATGAAGACTCCAACTTAGCCACCTGCATGAACTAGCTAAAATTATGAAGTAGTAGTTAAAAAATATATATATAGTTTTAGGCATTAGAGAAAATGAATACAAACTACTAAGTACCTGAATAATTTTGAGAAGATAATTCTTGTTGTCATGGATATTGTAAAATTTGATTTCTCTGCTTAGGTAAGAAACCTACATTTGAAGACAAGAAGCTGGAGAAAAGCCCCTTCAAGGATATGGGAAACAAGCTAGCTGCCAAGGCAAAGGAAGTCAAAGAGGAACCCCTCCCTGATGACTCAGTCTCTGTGCGTATCATAAACAATCAGGTGTCTGTGCCACCGAAGTCAGCATCACCATATATTTCTATGGGGAACAGGCTGGCTTCCAGAGCTAAAGAGATCTGCATAGAAGATGCCAAAAATAGCTCCAGGCAACTTGGCACTGGGGCTACTTCAGAAGCTACTCCAAATCCCTTGATGTCTTCGCCTATTCAAGAGGAAAGAGACGCTTTGCCTTCCCCACCAGCAGCAGAGACTGCTGCAGTCGTACGAGATAGTGAACTGCATCAGAGTGAAAGGTGCACTGCTGAAGAACGGGGACCAAGTGAAACTACGCAAACATTGAGAGAAGAGGAAACCAAGACGGCTGCCATGCAGAGAAACCAGAAAACAAAACCCAAAATGGCTTCCATACTGAGTGGTCTGGCAACAGCCAATGGGCAGGATGGATGGATACAACACCTGAAGAGTTTGGCATCTGCAAAGGAGGAACCACTTCTACCCCTGCACTCTACAAGCGACTCGGAAGGAATGGTGACAAATAGCCAGATGGATGAGGAAATGTCCAGCGAGGTACTAAATCGCCAACAGGAGTTGCCAAGGTCAGCCGAGAAAACCTTTGACTCCGAGTCTGTCCTAGAGTGTTCCGACAGCACTGACTTTGGTTCCAATGCAAGCTTGTTGGCAGATCTTGAAAACATACTGTGTGCTTCCAGTGCAGATCAGGATGTAAACGCCGAACAGGTCTCGGATAGTTGTCCAGAGACTGACCCCAGTGTGACACATGTGGCTCATCCTCCTGTTCAAGACTCAGACTTCTCTGGTCCTGAACATTTCTTGGCGAGTGCAATCAGTGGATATTTATCCACAAATGCTGGTGATGTCAGTGAATCCTCCCCATCAGATGTAGCCCAGAGTGATGAGGGGAACAGCCCAGATTGGCGAGAGAATTTTGCAGAAGGACCTGTTACTGTAAAGGACAGTTCTGAACAGGTAATACCTGATGCCAAAGGGGCAGAAGCTATTCCGGCCATTCAGTCAGATGAGGATCAAGAGATTGATTGTGAGACTAGGAAGGCACGCTCTGAAAGAACTCTAAATCCATCAAGGATCTCAAATGCTTCACATAGTCATACTGCATCAGAAGATCCATGGAAATCAGATCAACACAAGTCCCAGGGAAGCATAGAGGATGCAGCTCCCGAGGGAGACTATGAAAGCACAATTGCAGCCTCCAGTCCAAAAGATTCAAAGGACATTGTGGAGTCTGCCAATTGCCATTCTTACTCTGTTGAAGAAGCCAGTCCAGGTGGCTTATCAACCACCTCAGGAGAGCTTGAAACGGAGGCTTGTAAATCTGAAGACATCAGAGAAGAAGTCCATAGTGTCCTTCAAGACCAAGTGTGTAAACAGGATGATCACCCGGGGAGCAAATCCAGTGTCAACACAGGTGCCGATTCGGACTGGTTCAGTGTGAAGGAATTCTTGCCTGAAAAAAGAGATTCCAACATTGCCCAACGTGCTGAAGCTAGCCTCACTGAGATGGTCACTGACTCCCACAAGACACTCGCTGCTGAGATGCATCCAGAAATCCCAACTGAAGTCTGTGACACCCAAGCTGACAGTGCCCATGTATCACATGGTAATGGTCCACTCGATAAAGAGGACATACACTTTGAGTTTGTTGATGACGGCGAGTATGACGTTAGTGAATATTCTTCTACGGGGTCAATCCCAGCACAAGACATGAAACTGCTGTCATCCTTCAAAGATGAACCTGTTTCAGGAAGTGACCTGAGTGAATCCCAAGATCCCTGTGGAGAAAAGGAGCATCCTTGTTTAGATTTGGGACATCTTGACATGAATGCTAAAGTTTCTGAAAGTAATACAGAGTTAGAGGTTAATGACGATGATGACGTTGGACCAGTCAGTTGTGAAACAGCCGAGCAAGAGCTAGAAGGGAAAACCGAGCCTGGAGAGACAATAAATACCTCCACTGGTGTATCCATGGCTAGAAAAGGTTCAGAGACAGCTCTTCCAGGTTTGACGCCTGCTGCATTGGAGCTGAAAGAGACAGTTGCTGATGATGACATCCCAACAAGCAGTGACAAGGCTGTCAATACTGGAGGGCACGTCTCAGCAGATGATGGGTTGGAGGATAGAGAATCAGTTGACAATTGGGAAAAAAATCTCGCACAAGGTCAAAATAATACTTCAGAGTCGGAGGAAGGCATTGCCAAAGAATCACCCTCCAATCTAAGAAAGGACCTGAACTTGGACGCATACCAACAAAATAAGGAGAGTTGCACAGAACAAGACGAGGAATGCAATCAGATTCCTGTGAATAACAGAGTATCAGACTCTTCAGCAGAAGCCAGCCACAAGAACAGGATGATGCAAGATGATGATATATATCCAGAGGAGCAAACATACCAGATCTCAGATCCCCATCGAGATGGCAGATGCACAGTTGGAGATCCTCCTGTCCTGGTTGGAGAGTCTTGCTCCCCCTCTTCAAGTCAAGATGCCACTACCATCAAGACCCCTGTCAAAACGAAGGACAAAGGAGTCAATACAGATGAGATCAGAATGTGCACGCGGGCCATCAGCACCAAGAAGATCGTCACAAAGAATTTTGGCATCGCAACGGACCTCGCGACTACTGTGAACCGGGCTGTGGACACACCATCAGAACTCGAGGAGATGTATATGAAGAAATTTGTTGAGGCGGTAAGTTTTGCACTATCGAGAGAATTTCATCAAGTCTAATTTCTTGCACTCCAGTGTAAATTATGTTGTCAGTAAGCAAAAGACATCATTTTCTTTCCATCACATAATGTGTGATTGTATCCTAGTTTTATAGGGCACAGCAGTGATGCTTAATATCCAAAGTCTATGCACTTTAAGGTAGCAGTTGTCATACAAACTATATTTTTGCCACTAAGGCATCTGAGTTCATAACGCTCAAAAAGATGTCTTTCACTTTTTACGAAAACGTTTTTGTGAAAATTACATGTAAATGAAAGTTACCCCATAAATCATCAGGCCAACTGCATGTTTTTCACTTTTAATAGGCAAAAGACATGAAAATACACCCAATCTTAACGGAAGTGTTACTTTCAAACATCTGCAGTTACAAAGAGTCAGCATCTTGGAAATCACCTTGCAGTGCGAGCGAGACCTGATGGCGTCGCAGAAGAACAATCACAGTGTGGAATCCAGGGAATTGAAAGATAGCCTTCAGGAAAAGCATGCGCGACTGATGGTAAGATGGAGGATTGTTTATTCCCCAAAGAATGTTGCCATAGAATTTGCACTGTTTTTACCCTTGAAATGCCGGTTAGTTCTCAGTGTGATTTTAAAGTGAGTTGAAAATGAAATGCGTGCGACATAATATGATGATCTGCAATGTGATCATGGAATCACAAATTTCTTGCTCATTGGTATTATAGAGCCTGAAAGTAAAAAGTCACTTGATAACGGGCATTTTACATTGGGTTACCCTTTCATCTGATGATATTTTTGGCCGAATGATTTTTAATCGTAACCACCCCAATAAACACTCATGCTGGAATTTTATCTTGGTATTCTTCAGGTAAAATTGAGGAAAAAATCACTTGGAGATGAGTAAAAACAAAATTCTTTTACGACCTTTCACATCCGGCATTGTCGTTCCTAGGTCTCCTTGCTCTGTGGATTTTTTTAAAATCATATCATCTACTTGTGTGAGAAAGAGAATTTATAACGTTGCAAAGATTTACCTACTTGTAGCCAATGGGTTCTAGACTTAGTGGGGTTGGCTTGAGTAGATCATGAGTGCAAGTCTATAAAGGGTCTATTTTAAATTGACCATCTCATCTACGTACACCAATTTAGGGGTATGCAACTGTAAGTATCTTAGATTTTTGGAAGTAAGAGGTCAATTTTTGGAACAATATTTCCCTTTCAAGTCAGGCGAGTTATCAGTTTCATAAATTGATATGCTAGTAACAAGTTTTAAAAGGCCCTTTTTGGGGGTGATTTTCTTTGGAAGTCAATGAACCCAAAACAATTGCAAATTCTGGAAATTTTACACATTAAATTTCCCATCCAAGGGTCCCAGAAGCGCGTCACCAGGCTCTATTGTTTGGAAGTATAAAACTGGCCTGAAGTATGAATGATACATGTGCATATTCTTTCATTTCCTGGTAGTCCAGCTGTAGTGAATTCTCCATGAAGTTTTGGTAAACTTTTACCTTTTTTTTTTACCTTCTTTACATGAGTCCTAGTTTAGCCAATTTTCCTTGTGGTTTTAATTGATGGGTAATGTGAAGCCATTTTTAAGGCTTGCATCAATTTTATGCTCCTGGCATTGTGACTTTGTGTGTGATCTCTGGACACATGGCACTTACTTGGTACATGTACTTGGTACTTGGTAGAGTAATCCCATCGCAACCCAATTTGGGCTAAACTGGGATGTTGTGCAGAGGTGACGTAAACAGCCATATGGATAAGGTGTCAAAAGTGAAAAGGAAGTGAAAGGTGCACTTTTTAAAGGTGAAGAAGAAAGACTTTACGGGACAGTGTTGCCATACAGAGGCTGCATTGCTCTGATGGCAGGGAGGGCTGGTGTTTGGAAGGCCTGTACGGATGGGGATATGTATAGAACGGCAGATGGTGGCAGCCTGTTCCAAACTGACATAGTCCTTGGGAAAAAGGCGTATTTGTATGCATTGATAGTTGGTATGATCAGAGAGGTGTATTTGAGTGGATGATCGATACGTTGTGAAATATGTGTAGCTTGCTGGAAGCACTGTGGGAATGTAATATTGACTAGGTTGTAGTGGAGTTTATAGTACAGAGTGCATTGTTGAATCAGGCGACGGGTGTGAAGTAGATCCTAGTTAGCTCAATTTATAGAGTGCTTCAGGGGTAATATACATTGGCATAAAGTGCTATATAAGCATCACATTATTATTTGGCATTCAGAACAAGTTTGCATAGTTTTTATTATGTTACCCTAGGATGTTGAGCGAGAGCTAGAGGTGAGACGCAAACAGTTGATGTCGGAGTTGAAGAAGAAAACCCTGGAGCATAGGGAGCTAGAAGGCTGCTACAACATGCTCAAGAGCAAATATGTTGCCACAGAGAAGCAAAACTCATGGTAAGAATTGCGTCGGCACTGTTGCAGTTTTGAATTTGGACTGGATGTATTATTCAGACTCATTGGTTGTATTGCTTATGCCTTAGGAGACATAATAAGGTCTTACATGAGGGTTATACATACATATATCAAAGATTACAAATATGAATAAATCTGAAAATAGAAACAAATCATCCTATTTAAATTTTATTTAATTATTTTGTTTGTTTTGGGGGGGGCACTTTTTCTCTGTGCCCAATTCTGTCTCATTTTGCCAGAACGCCTCACAATTGTGAATAATCAAAATAATCGAGTGACGAATATGATAGTTTTGTTGCACACAAGGTGATGGATCATCTTTTGACATTGTGAACACGATATGTCAGTTCATGGTGTGGCAACTATCCACAATACACCACTTCATGGTGCAACCATAGAGCTATATTAAATTTCTGGAGCGCTAACTCCTCATTCTTGCCCGTGGAGATGCTTTGAAGCCGCTCTGGGCGCAGACATTTTGAATTTATGTGCATGTTTGTGTAACAATCAAAATAGATGGATTGAATTTTAAAAGTGTACTCTAAATGCAACGCCATGTAGAAGATGCGCAAACAACTTGAAAAGTAAGCACGTCATGACGGTTCAAAAAACGTCACGGCGAAAAGCATCTGCAGCGGAGGGATGCGCAAACGTTGCGCTGTTTGCGTAGAGCAAAATGAAACGCTCATTTGCTGATCGTGCATTTTGGTTTTGGGCGTATCGGCTTCGATGACACACCGGTATGGAATACAAATGCAGATATGCAAATAGCCGTACAAAAGCCGTACAAAATGTTTTCCATAGGTTTGTGCACAAACATGGATGCGCCCATCAGGCATTACTTTGTACATCGAGTTAGCGCTCTAGTAATTTAATATAGCTCTATGGGTGCAACCGACGAAATAATCATGTGACCCGTCTTTACTGAGAGAAGTTGTATGCTCATTGATTGATTTCTTTATCCGTTTTTTTTTCTTCAAATCGACCATTCTTTTCTAAAAATCAGTGCTAATGTAACACATGACAAACTGTTTTTGTCCACTTCCAAAGCCTGTCCCGTGAGCTGGAGTGTGTGACGAGACAACTCCTGGATCTGGAGAAAATCAGGGACAAAGTCATTTCAAAATCGGAGGCGGGGACGGACACGCAAGAACTAGACAAAGCTCAGGAGTACTCGGATGGCATCACGGCCGAGCGCATGGTGGCATTGATGAAACGGGCCAAGTCTGCTGAGCTTGAGGTAACAAAAAACAAACAGGGGCTGGCTTGCAGTCGTCGAGCAACAAGGGTATCTTGAAAACCACTCTTGAAATTTGTACGGCTCTGAAATATTTCCACATTCATGCTCCATCCATTCAATGGATGAGTAAGGGAAGAATGCAAAATTAAACAGGCTACAATTCGAGGTTCTACAAGGTTTGACGGGTTTTCAATGGAAGTAACAATAGCACTGTGTGGCCTACTCATTCCGCTTACACCTATGTGACGAGACAACTACTGGATCTGGAAAAAGCCAGAGACGATAAAGGTTGCTGGTAATGGGTTATTTCTTCAGGGTCTCTTGAAGTAGATTTTAATATACAATAAGAGGCATCTGCAAAGAATGAACGCGAGCATTGATTAGGCCAAAAAAAAAAGTCGGTCTCTGGCCAGCATCAATTTTTATCGTACGCGACAATTTTTTTCCAAAATTGACAGCACCCTCTATTGATGCACCGCCTCCAATGTTCGTGGGCAGGTCGTACCCAGTGATAGATCCCGTACGAGGTTGATGTTGAATGAATGATAGTAGGCCATGGGTACGAGGTTGCTGCCAGCTGATCAACAGCAATGGCGGCTAGTCGACAACGCACATTTTGACAGGATGGAATGTGATTTGAGAAATTGCAATGTATTGTGACCAGAAACTGACTACTTGTTTTTGGCCTTATGGCAGTAAGCTTACCTTTGCAGCCTTTTTTTTTGTTTAAAATATCTGGGCACAATTTCCCTTGGTTAGGCATTTGGTACAAGTGGTTTGCATATCTCTGCATGAAACCCATGGGAAAAAAACAATCCAAAAGCACAACAGAAGTGTCAGCTTTAAAGTTATTTTATTGTTTATTTTCCTTTTAAAACAACAATTTTCAATATCAGCCCTTTCCCCCCCCCCTTTGTTTTTATAGATGCTGGAAATGAAGCGCCAATCCATCGAACAAAAGATTAAGAGTGCGCTCACTGATGCTGAGTATACTTACAACATCTATGCCGAGAGCTCCCAACTCAGGTGACCATTCAGTTTTAATAATCAGTTGATTTTGTCCGATATCTTACATTTCTGCATCGTGAATAATTTTTGAAGCTAGCTAAGTGCAACGGCAATATGATGCATGCTTTTCTATTGGCACCCTCTTCATACTTTGCCGAAATGGCAGCATCAGGATGTATATTCCCCAGGGAGCCGAGATTGTCGTTGGAATGTTTCATTGGCCCAATGAGCAGGGTACTAATGATGTAGCGCCTTGAGCACCAATATGGGTGAATACGTGTGCTTTCTGAAAATACACATTGTATTACGGTATCAAGACTATTTTGTATTCAAGATGTGGCTAGAATTTGAGGCAAACTTTTCCCCTGTTTAAAAAATAACTCTGTTTATAAACACCTCTTCTTATTGAATTCTCGAACAGCTTCCCAGAGAAAGCTCATCTGGTCACCAAATGGACGGAGTATCAGAACACGATGCAGACTCACACCACAAAGCTGGAAAGCAGGTACAACAGCTTGGTCAGGTTGATCCGAAATGAAGACAGGGAACTAGACAAGCTGCCTGAACTGGTCGCACCTGAATTGGATGCCTTCACAGTCACATTGGTAAATAAAGAGAAATTCATTTCAAAGATCCTCAATTTCTTTCAATTTTGTCCCCCTGTTTTTACTTGGGGAGAGTTTCATTCCATATCAAGACTGTTGATTCTTTGGGTTACATCAATGTTGAAGTTTTTTGTCAGATGGAATTTGCGTCAGAGACATGTACATTTTATATTAAGTTTTACCCTTCGCCGAGGTGTGTTATAAACACTGTATACTCAGTGTTGTCCGAGGGGTTGCTAGAAAAGAATTCACAAGCTGACATTTGACAATAAGTTTATCACCTGCTGCTACATTAGGCTTGAACCAGCCGGCCAACCCCAGCAAGCTCGGTGGTCAAGTGGTAAGACCTCTTCACTAGTGCGCAGGTGGTGTGGGTTCGAGTCCCACCCAAGTAGCTTGTGAATTTTCTCGCAAGCCCTCTGACAACACTGAGCATACAGTGTTTATAAATAGGCAAAACCCTAGATAAAAATTGATGCTCAAGGAGTTTCTTTGGAAGTACATATTCTCTTTGTACTTATCAGCTCAAGTTGATTATCTGCTGACGTGGTTGATAAACCCATTTGGAAAGAATGTTACAACCTGACGCTACTTCGGCGGTTGTGTACAGAGTCTATGGAGAGTCAAGAACATTTTCTAAGTATTTCCTAACAGAATTAGAAATGTTTCTCAGTCCAAGATTCATGTCTTATCATCATTTTTGTAGTGACTGACCTTCATTGAGATGATAAATGAAGAAAAAAAACAGCGTCAGTTTGCAACATTCTTTTCTTCCATTTTTCCACGAAATAATTGCCGAAATAGTTGTGTAATAAGTTTTCTTCATCAGTGGATCTGGGGGGTGGGGTTAAGGGGTCTAATCCCCCACATAGAAAAAAGTTGCACATTCCTTCACCCCACCCCCAAATGACGTTCGAAACAACGCCCTCCCCCTCCCCCTTGAGCCAAAGCCGAATCTGCCCCTGGTCTTTTACTGCATACTTTTGCCAATGGATACATATGTTAAAAAATGAACCTTGTCTCAAATTTAACCAAGGTAGGTGATTTTGCAAAGATTTTCCACGTTGTTTTATTTCTTCCGTAGCCCAAACGTTCTACCAGCAACCACCCCTGTGGGACAGCCAAGCTTTCCAACCAGCCCCGTTCAGTCTTCCAGTTCTCAAGCCAGCCCCGTCCAGTCTTCCACTTCTTGGCCCAGCCGGCAGTGAACACTCACGCGGTTCCCAATACCTGCTCGTCTGTGTCTTCAGCTGTAGAAACAATGAATGATGTCCATCCAGACAACCAGATGCCGCCTGACCTCCCTGGGAGTGAAACCTTGATACAGTCGGCCAGAGCTCCCAAAGCGGTCGGGAGGGGGCGTGGTCGGAGGTTGTCCAGCTCTCAGTGTAATCTCAGAAGGTTAGTACTGGGCAATTCCTTAAATTCAGACGAACATGTCAGACCCTCACCGTTACCGTGTCATACGCAACACAGTGCATCAGGGCAATTCGATTACAAAATTGATTACTCACGTTACAAAAATGTAACATGAGTAACCAATTTTGTGCGTCTTGTTTACCATACATAACACATTTTACAGCCCAAGGAAACTCAAAAGTACATCAAAAATGTAACGTGAGTAACCGCGGAATATTGCCCATCAGGTAGAAAAGTCTGGTGCACTTTGATGCATTCAGCTACCAACACCAAAGCATAAACGGCTAGTTCTGAAACAATGAGAGCTAATCCCATTAAACAATGCCACAGTTGTATCCAGCTGCATTCGGTGGCCACTGACTCTGAGGCAGTTTGGCATTGAGACTTTTGGCCCGACGGATCTTGCTGCACTGGGCAGGCTTGTCACTTGGACAAGTGTTGCATGTGGCTGCGTTTGGCAGGGTTTCTAGCCACAATGCCCTGGAGGGTTAAGGCAAATCAGCTGCTGTTGGAAAAGTGATTGGAAAACAATAACAGACCAAACTAAGGTACCATCCCCTTCATGGCCTTATACATCATGTGGTCGGACATATGCATAGAATGGATTTTACGGAATTGCCCTACAATTGATCTTTTCTCATAAGTCTTGAGAACCTACAATTCGATTAAAGCAATTTAATGTCATTTGATTGTGATGTGTAAAAATGGGTGGGCTAGCTGTACGTTTCTGGGCTCCCAAAGTCCTGGAAAATCCTGGGATTTAAAAGCTATCATGGAAAAGTCATGGAATTTTGCTATTTTACAAAGAGTTGATATTCCATGAAAAAAATCATGAAAAGGTCGTGGAATCCTGCACAAACCATATGATGATTCTTCGTAAAATTTGGATTTGGCAGTTTTCTGGTTTGCCTTTGAGATTATTTCCTCTTTATGCATGCATGCTCTATACTTGTGGCATGTTCAGTGCACCATTGTGCTGCTTGGGCTGACATACATTTATAAACCATGAGATCAAAGTATATGATTAACACTGCAGCGGCTGTTTGTTGGAGCTGTCCGTTTGTAACTCTTCCGTGACCCAGTTGGCCCTGTAAAACTTCCCACTGCGGAGGGATATACTAACAACCAACAATCGACACTTAACAGTTTGGGAAGTTTACACTGGACTTGGTCAAGTTGACAACAGTCTCTGTACGATTTGCCAAAAAAAAGTCCAATGCGGACACGGCTTAAGACTGATATTTGTGAAACTGATTGAGTATTTCAAAAGCTAGAAAATTTAACTGCAGCACACATTCCCTGTCTGATGGTGCCTCGCTCAAATCATGTTGCCTTTCCCACCAGACCTGGTGAGCAGCCGACTCGGGAGGCTGATAGCATGGATCAATCTTGCTCATCAACGGAAGCAGCAGCGGCAGAAGCAGCATCAGGGGAAACCGAAGCACAAGATGAGCCGTCAGTTACAACCCGGCCATTGGAGATGCCAGAGACTCTGCCTCTCCCTTCACATCAGACAGATCTGTCAAAGATGCCCTCTGATCTTGAGAAGGAAGCCTTGCCACAAGGATTCAGATTTGGAGGTCCTTCAGGAGATGGAGGGGGCGTTCCTCCTGGACCTGCTGAAGAACAGGTAAGCTTCATAAATATGACAGTTATGACACTCGTTCTTCTGGTTCTTAAATAGTTATTCATAAATACCTCAGACAGTTTAGCTATTCCTATTGGTCGAGAGCCCGTCACGTGGCCGGTCTTAAACGGATGATAAAGACATGGCTAGCTGGTCTTAAACACTTTTCCAGTGTCACAATAAAATGTGGACTCCTAAAAATCCAGTGCCTCTTACCGTTTCATTGGTTGAACGTTCACAATCCTCACGTAGGCATGCGCAACACTACAAGCGAGTCAGAATTTTATAGTTCTAAATTCAAAACGGAACGCCCCAGGTGCGTTCTGCGTGACATCGCGCAGAACATGTTACGCGCGCGTCAATCTCCATAAAAGGGTTGTTTACATCTTACTCGCCAGCTGAACACTCCATTAATTTGCTAGAGGGATGTTTCAAAAAGCATGAAGTGAACTTGTTGAACAAAATCGGGATTTTTTGAACAAATTATTTGATATTTTTTTACGGATAAGGTATTTATGAATGGGAATAAATATGTGCTCGGTCGGTATTTATCACTCTGTTTAATACCGCTTAGAGTCTGGGTGCTGATAATTACCCTCGCCTCCGGCTCGGGTAATTATCAGCACCCAGACTCTAAGCGGTATTAAACGAGTGATAAAAACCTCCGGAGCACACATTTATTCCCTTATTAACATTGAGGTTTCTGCCCGAAATGACATCACACTTTTGCTCATCAATATGGAAAGTTGAAACCAAATAGGCACCAAAATTCCCTTGAAAATGGCAAAACAAAAATTTAAAATGAGGTTAAATGGGACTCAAAGGTAGATTTTCAAGGATAGCATAACAAAATTACATTGCATGGGCCCTTTAAATCACTCCAGATGTCTTTTCCTGCATTGACTATGCTGTAGAACTGTAAAAAACCAATGTAGTGTTAATATATCCTGGGTAAGAAACAATACGTCTATTCCTTAAACACTGTTCTAGTTATCCGTTGTCACCTTAAACTTAAATTTCATATTGTAAAAAAAGTAACCTTGATTGAGCATTGCTTTATTTAACTTCTTTTATGTATAGCATGCACCAAGTGTTACCCAGTCAGAAAAGCAGCCGAATGCACCCAGGAGTCATTCAGAGCATATTTCCAACATGCAGAAACGGATGCGCAGTGCCTCAATGCTGTCACGTCTGCGATCGACCTTCACTGAAAGACCCCAACACCAAACTGGAATGGACGGTATGCACACCCTGGGACACTCGGCCAGGAAATTGAACATGTTTGCAGCTCCAATCTTCAACAAGAAGGCTCCCACATCTCATCAGTCAGACGAATTGTTGTCAGAGAGATCAGCTGATGCTGTGGAGACTACTTGTCAGCCTGCTCCCTCTTGTGGCACATTTGCCAAATCTGATACCGGCGAAGCACCCAAAGAGGTGACAATCAGCTCCTGTGACTATCAGTTTGCCAATGAGGAACTGCAAGAGTCATTGACTATCCCATCAAGTAGCAGCATCCTGGCTGGGGTTGGTGCATCCCAGACAAGTGCAAGCCCTGTCTTGAAGTCAGCCGAAAAAGGCAGAAACCCTGTGGATCCTGGGAATCCTTGTGAGGTCTTGTCTGAAGGCGATCAGAGTAGCCTTACCCCTGCTCAGAAGATCAGCATGGACTGGAGGTCCCAACACACTGGCAACCAGCTAGCAGGCGTGTCTGAAGGCATGCAGAGTTGTCGCCTGGGTAGCGAGGCACCTGTGCCTTCAAGTAGCATTCAGCTGCAGCCTTCTGTTTTGCCCACTTCTTCCCAAGCATCATTGTCCAATAAACCCGAACCTCCTATATCCACTCTCCAGCCATTGACGCCTACTCCTGGACCATTGCTTCCCACTTCCGAGCCGTCAGTGCCCACTACTGAGCCATCAGTGCCCAGTCCCGAGCCATCGACGCCCACTACCGAGCCATCTGTGCCCACTCCTGAGCCATCATATCCCAATCCTCAGCAATCGTATCCCAATCCTCAGCGCTCGTATCCCAATCCTCAGCGCTCGTATCCCAATCCTCAGACGTCATATCCCAATCCTCAGCAATCATATTCCAGTCCTCAGACATCGTATCCCAATCCTCAGACGTTGTATCCCAATCCTCAGACGTCGTATCCCAATTCTCAGCAATCGTATCCCAGTCCTCAGACATCGTATCCCAATCCTCAGACGTCGTATCCCAATCCTCAGACGTCGTATCCCAATCCTCAGACATCGTATCCCAATCCTCAGACGTCGTATCCCAATCCTCAGACGTCGTATCCCAATCCTCAGACATCGTATCTCAAACCAAGCCCTCCGTTGCCTACTTATGAATCATTTGTGCCAACCTCTGCAGCATTGTTGCCCACTCCTGGGGCATTTGTACCTACTCCCGGCGCGTTGTTACCTAATCCCATGCCACTGTTGTCCGCTCCTGAGCCACCATTACCTTTGCTGATACCACTGTTACCAGCTCCTCAGCTAGTATACTCTACTGTCAACTCCAACACTCCTGCATCTGCCGTCCACAACCAGGAAATGCGACATGACCAATCATGGCATCAGCCCAGCACCCAGTGGATGAAATCTGACACTGACGACACAAGCTTTCATGATAGGAGGACGCCTCTCTACCAGCGCAAGCAATCCGACCTGCCGCCCAGGTTCCAGGCATCGCGGCGTGTTCAACAACAAAGACGTCCGTCACAATCTGAGGATCACTTCACAGTTGCCCCCGATCCAATCAACATTGAGCCAAAGCTGAGTGAGGTTGAAGGATTGAAGAAGCGGAAGACTCCAGCTCTGGACCAGCTGGATGATACTAGAGGAGATCAGGTGGCAGCTGCCAAAGAAGCACCAGTTGAGGAGGAAGCTGAAAAAGATGAATGGCAGACACAGGTAAGAAGCTAACAATTGTAGAATCTCTCTCAAAGAGTTTTGCTTATAATAGCCTGGGCCATTTTCATCAAGTCACTTAGCACAGTTTGGAAACACAGTGATGGACTATACCTTTAAGTAAAGGGACATACGCCCTGAAACTGCTGAGATTTTTTGAAGATAGTTCACTCATCCTGTTTCAAAGTTCTGGTTGACAGGAAACTATTATGTCTCACTGTTCCTGAGAAAAGACAAACAATCACGGTTGTTTACTTCTGAAGCAGCTGACATTTTTTGCCATACGCATACATGTTTCCAGCTAAGTCCGTTCGTTGTGTTGTACACGTTGATAATACACACAGCACCAATACACAAATGTAGTGTCTCGCACTTCTGCAGAATGCGATGCACCAACAGCTCGATTTTTGAGAGTCAAAATTTTGACCCCTCGCAAGAAAAACACCAAAAAAACCCCAATTTTTAAAGGACAGTTGTGTGGACCTCTATGTCCTCCTTTTAAACGCTCTTTCCAATAAATATCATTTCATTTAAAATGCATTTTGAAGCTTCATTGGGTGCATTCCAGGACATAATGGCGCTTTAACATTTGCTTAATAGCAAGAACAGCCAAGTTTTCATGCAATGTGTAATGCTTGCGACTGGCTGTCAAGCTGATTCTTACAGGTGATTTACATATAAAGTCGGCTTGAATGTTTGTTTTCACTGCTGCTGCTAATCTCAACATTTTGTATTAACCCTAACACCCTAGTATGCTTTGGCTGGAAACGCTGCTAAACGCAGTAGCATGCAACACTTGTCAAAATGACGAGCCTGCTCAGCGTAGCATGATCCATCAGGTCAAAAGTCTCAAGGCCAAACTGCCTCAGAGTCTGTGGTCACCAACTGCAGCAGCATACAGCTGTGGCATTGTTCAATGAGACTAGCTCTCATTGTTTCAGAATTGGCTGTCTATGCACTGGTGTTGGTAGCACAATGTAACAAGGTCCCGCAGACAGGATAAGGGTTAAATTTGACATGTACATGTAATAGGTCTCGTTCAAATAAACGTCATTTCCTACAGACCATCCACGTGCTCAGCATTTTGAGATTAACTTGCATAACGCGCATGGGCTGCGTCGTATTTCGAACACATTTTGAGCAACAAGCGCGTGTGTTTGGACCATCTTCAACACTGCGCAATGTGTGCTTGATTGCGTAAAATACGCAGTTCTCCTACAGAGATGGCGGTAATTGAGCGAGTCCTATTTCTGCACTCCCCACTTGTAGATTAGTAAGAGGAAGAAGAAAGCCCTGGCGCATCTAGAAGCTGAGCAGAGGCAGCAGCAACAAGCAAAGGCAGGGAAAAAAGGATGCATGGACAAGCTCATCGGCGTGCTGTGTGAGCAGTTTGATGTCAAACAGTGAGTACTAACTGCTCTGCTTTCTCCTGTTCATGCCGAGTCCTCCCTCGACCAGAATCAAATATGGGTCCGAAACTTGAACTGACCTTTCCTGAAAGCTTACTCTGTTGTGCTGGAGGACCCATGGGTATTTCTGTGCTTAAAATCCAATTGTTAACAGTGCACATGATGTGTTTACAATTGAAGTTGCTCTACTCGTGCTCGTAGATATATTCAATTTGTTTTTACCTAACAAATCTTCAATTTGCATGTATTACTTATACAGGAAATCTTTTTTCCCCTATTGTGGACATTTTGAGCCCTCTTGAAATAGGCTTTTATTTTGGGTTGCTGTTGCGCCCGTGAAGCACAAAAATATATACAAATAACTTGAAATTTGTAACTAGCATGTTTTTCTTTGTAAAAGCAGAATAAATCATTTACAGCTATCCTAAAAGTAACCGACGAATTTATTGTTGAAAATCTCACTTGGTTTGAAGATCCCAAAGGTATTAAACTCCCTGTGAAATTTCCAATAGTAGCTGGTTTATAATTATGCGAATCAGTGATTGGGTGCACGCAAGTGTTGACACAATGCAGCGCCATTGCTGTTATATCATCAGGTCAGTGCATGACATCGCTAAGCTGCAATGGGCTGAATGAGAAGGCGATTTCGGGCCAAATTCCAAACATGACTCAGCTACTTTTGAATTGAAACTGAGATCCCAGAATATTGTTTTCTCGGAATATACAGCATTCACAGAGCCAAAACTTCATCAGGTTTGGTGTTACTGTTAAGCACCCTTCTTAAGATTTGAGCACTTTAGGCCAAACAAAAAAAGCTCCGGTTTCTGGTCTGCATGCGCCGCTGTAGCCATGCGCTTCGGCAAAATGAAAAAAAAAAATTTCAATGTCAGATTATGTCTCAAAACCGCCAAACTCACTGGTTTGACTGGAATCCTGCTGCTGCACAATTTTAACGTGTTTTTAGATGGGGTTACGATCGAGTATAAGCTTTATGTGGCCTCTCTGGACTCCCATACATTTGGCACTAAATTTAGTCGGGCACCATTTGCAGTCATCAGCCGACATTTGAAGAAAAAATCAAGTAAAAACAACACACAAAAAAGCTGCGTCGCCGCACCACTTTTGGGACAAGCTCCATACCAGAAACCGAAGACTTTTTTTGGGGGGGGGGGCCTTAGTTGCTTTAAACGAAAACAAAAATGCACAAATGACAAATGATCTACCCTACATTTAATTCACAGTAAGGACGTTATAGATGTGATCAGACAGGTCCGGATGGACCACAATGGCAGTCTAAGCGGGACTCCCTTCAGTGCCATCATAGCCGAGTCTAGGCTGTACCTACAGGCCAAGCTTGAACCGCCCAGACCCCAGCCCATGAACACGCCCCAGCTGCCCAAGCCCAGGGACAGGGAACTCCCGACGCTCCAAGCCATCCAACGGGCTGTACCAAATCAGGTATGCGTTGTAAATGTCATTTAGCTTTCCTTTTTCCTGAACCTGTTCGGCCCACAACTTTGGCCAAAAATGCAATCACTTTTAAGGAAGAATGCAAAATTTAACAAGGGGTAACTCAAGGTTTCACCCTGAGGTACCCCACAAAACTCTGTTAAACGGTTACCTCGTAAAACCTTGAGGTAAATAAACAAGGGGTAACTCAATGAGGTATCTCGAAAAACTCTGTTAAACGGTTACCTCGTAAAACCTTGAGGTAAATAAACAAGGGTAACTCGAGGTTTTACCCTGAGGTACTCCACTATTCCCTATTCACCCTTTTAAAACCTTGTGGTAAATGAACGAGAGGTAACTCAAGGTTTTACCTTGAGGTACTCCGAAAAACTCTGTTAAACGGTTACCTTGTAAAACCTTGAGGTTAATAAACAAGGGGTAACTCAAGGTTTTACCCTGAGTTACCCCACAAAACTCTGTTACACGGTTACCTCATAAAATCTCGAGGTAAATAAACAAGGGGTATTACTCCAGGTTTTACTCCAAGGTACCCCTAAAACCCTGTAAAACCTCCAGGTAAACCTCAAGGCAAACCTCAAGTTACTGCCTGTTTAATTTCGCATTCTCCCCTTATGCTGCCAGCTCCTTGATTTTCTTTCACAAGTAAGTTTTGGACAAGGCACACGTTTAATGATTAGACCTTAGGATCCGCACACTCCACGCCAGAACATACGTTCAATTGTTCTGATGGAAAAATGAAAGGTACAGCCCTGCATGCAGCTGTGGGTATACAGACCAAACTATCCATAATGCCCTCAATAATGGCTTCAAGGCCTTCCACCACAGGTGATATGTTGCGCTGTCCTGGCTGTTGTACCTGGACTTTAACTTTTAGGTTGCATGCTATACAAAAGATGAGCAAACTTCACCCTTGTTGCTAAACCCTAACCGCCCTGAATCCTTCAAAATCCTCTTGGCCAAAGTCGAGGATTGAGGTTACATGGCAAAAGTTTTCGTAGGATGTACTCTGTCAAGGTCTTCGACCGGACCTTGTGTTGTTTTTGCTCAGCCATGCATAAATATAGGCCTGGATTATGCTTGAAATCCTCCATACTGCTCCAGGATGTCACTGTCCAAGCCTCAACATATTGTCACTGCCGCAGTATTTTGCAGGTTCAGGCAGTGGTCACCCCTCCATGGGCCATTTCAAGAAATAATGGAGGAATTTGCAGGATTGAGGCTATATATGCTATTTTTCCATGAGGCCAATTGGAGGATTTTTCAGGATTTTGCAGGATTGAGGCTACATCCTAGCAAAAAGGCCTAGTGAGTTAGGGTTAATGTCAAAGATTATAGAGCTTTTTTTCTTTTCCTGAACTGGATCTCATACAGGGTACGGATATGTGTGTCATCTGCCAGGAAGACATGAACTCCAAGAGTGGTGATGTCAGAATGCTGGACTGTGGACACCTGTTCCATGATGAGGTTGGTTGTTGTCTGTCACTTTGTGTGTCTGTTTGACTGTCAGTCTTTTCTGTTGTTATTATTTATTATTTCTGGTAATGAAACCAAGGATTCCTCAAAAGCGCCCTGTGCACTAAAGCTCACAAGCCAGAAGAAACCTGTAGATAGAAAAAATTACAGTTTTTTAGGTAGGAGGAAAATACCGGAAGAATATTTTTGGGACTGAAAACCCAATCCACATATTGGTCAAGGCGGGATTCGAACCCGGGTCACAGCGATGGAAGGCGAGGAACGTACTATTACGCCAAGCTGATTCTCGCTACATGTGTGTGTCTTAATCTACCTATTTGTCTCTTTGTTCTGTCTGTTTGTACTTCGTACTTGGTTGGTTCTTCTCCTGAAGACTTCCACGAGGGAGTATTACTAGGAGGCCAGAAACACCGGGGCAAACCCCTTCTCTTAATAAATAGCAATAAGTGTTACTGTGTTCTTTTACGTGCGTTAGGCCTTATACAACACACAGGACCTCCGGCTTAACGTCCCATCCGAAGGACGAAGCAATGATGGTTAAGTGCCTTGCTTAAGGGCACAAGTGTCCGGGCCCGGGCTCGAACTCACGTCACTGTTGCCTCTGAAACACCAGAGCATGAGTCAGGTGCTCTTAACCGTTAGGCTATGACACTCCACATGTGGTGAATCATTCTCTCTGTCTCTCTGATTGTTGCGTTGCATCATTCTGACTTGTGTTCTCCTTCGTTCGAATGTCCCTTCCAGTGGTCTCCCCCAACTCTCCCTTTCTATACTTGGTGGATCTTGTGCATGGAGCAGTATTTTACTGTAGCACATTTCATATCCACCAGTGGTCTTACTTTTTTTTTTTTTAAGTGTTTTCGAAGCATTAACACAGTGTTATACTTGTAGTTTACCTTGAACATTGCTAGATTCTAATGACTCTGTACCCAATTTATTTTCGCATCAAAAGCCTGTAAAAAGTGGAGTACCTGTGAGCAAGGTAGGAAGCAACTGATCTGCTGTGTAGACTTGGCTGTGTGCTTTATTGTGTAGTAGTTGCACGTTATTTTAATACGGTGGCTTTCAATATTAGTTTTGTCCGAGCAAGAATTGACAACTGCATTTGTTGCATGGGTGTGTATACATGTATGTTGTTTATTTGCTTTCCTGTGTTGGCATATTATGGCATTGGGAGTGCAAATCCTTGTGTGTCTTGAAACCTTTTTTTTATTTTCATTTTATTTTATTTATTTTTTGAATATTTTTGTGTAGCCCAGATGCATGACCAAAAAAGAAAAAAATACAGTGAATAAGCCATTCTGAGTCAATTGATTCAAATGACGTATTGGTTTTTTTATAGGGACGTTACGGCATGGGATCTGCTATATTGGGCTACAATACGAGTTGTATACACAATTTTATAATTGGAAAGAGCATTTAAAGTAGGATATCCACACAACTATACTTAAAAAAACTGGGCGTTTTGTGTTATTCTTGCAAGAAGCATGCGAGAATGAATTTCGGGGGTCACAATTTTGACTCCTATTAATGCTAGTTGTAAATCCTGCCGCACAGTGGTTTGCATTCAGTGGACATGTAAAAAACAAAATTTGTGTGTTGGTGCTGTGTGAATTGTGTGAATCCCACACGACGTGTACAATTCACCGAATAGAGTCTTATAGAGACGGCTTGAAATACGTATGCTTATGCCACAAAATGTCCGCCATGTCTGACGTAAACAACCGGGGGTTTATGTCTTTTCTCGGGAATGGTATAAAGACATTAGGTCAGTTTCCTTTCAACCATACCTTTGAAATAGGATTTACAATCCAGAACCTGAACATTTCGGGGATTTCGGGCAGTAATTCTCTTTAAAGAAATCCTTGCTGTGGAGATTTGCATACTGTTATAGTGATTCATGTGTTGATTTACTGAGCTTCAATTTCAGAGCCCAGGATAAAATATACATATGGCAGAGAGTGAAGTTTGATACTGTACCGCTTGGACAAAGTGGCAAAAGGACAAAATGAACTAGCACATGCAGTTTTAAGTTATCACATAGAGTGTGCCAAATTTCTTCATTGATATTAGAATGCCCAAACAGTACCAAGTTTGACTGAGCACGTCTAGTTTTGTTCCGAAAAATATGAAAAATTGTCTAAAAATACCAACAGTGTCTGACCATAGTTTCACCCACTGCATAGAGCTTGGATCATTCCCAACTATTGCAGCATCAGCCAAGTGGGACATAAATTAGGCTTTATTAACCCTAACTCTCTAGTGTTTTTTACTCGGAACTGGACCAAGTCCATCAAAATCCATCAATCAGTGTGCTTCCAATACAAAACTGTACATGACATAATGGAATCCACCACTGACGCACTGGTTGACATTCATGGACTTGCTACACATGGCTTTTATCACAATAGTAGTACAGGAAGCTAGGCAAAATCAATCTGACACCCCTAGCACTGCCCCAGGCCATTAGGCCCAAGTCCATCATACTCCACCAATATTTAGTCACGCCAGGCCTTCTGGACTAAGTCCCCCAAAATCCACCAAAATCGGGGGATAGATTTTGATGGAGTTGGGGTGGTTAGGGTTAAGAAGTCATTGAGTGATTGCATCTTTGTCACCCCACGTACACTTATTTCCTTTTTGTCCACATCCTCCTTACAGTGCATCAGCATTTGGTACAACACTAGGGAGAGGACCTGCCCAATCTGTCGCTGCCACACCCTCTTTGCTGAGGACTTTCCCCGCCTCCAATGAACCCCGGCTCCGGACGAGGATCGTCCAACATGAGTCAACAAGTACTAGACTTCCACCAGATTTCTGCAGATTTTACAGCCAAAGCAAGTAGCTCACAGAAGTTTATTCTTTTCTTATCGTCACATTTTACATCTTTGCATGTTAATAATACTTGTAAATAGTACTTCTAAAAGGACTTGTATTGTCACTAACTTCAAGGCATTCCTGATCACATTCAGTAGATTATTTGAAAATCAGTACAAATTTTAAACAATCTGGTACAAAAACATTCAACTGAGCTGACATCAGAGGAAACAGAAACAAAAATTTGTCAAATAGGCAGCATTTTATTCAGCTGCATGTCTATCAGTGATTTGTGTGTGTGTATTAACCAGTGAATCCGTCCATGATGTGTGCTAAGTTTTTAAAGTAAAAATAGTAAGATATGATTTTTGTATTTTCAATTTATTTCATTTGTACTTTGGCCTTCAATGCATCAGTAATTGAGAGAGATTTACAGTTACATAACTGTTTTGAATGTTCAGGTGTTTTTGTTTTTTTTGATTTTGAAGAATCACAACATGGTCCGTTAAATTTACAAACTCATGATTTTCCCAGGAAAATTCAAAAATGCAATACATTTTTTAAAATCGCTTTTTTTGTCAATTGAAGTACACGTAGGTAATTTCATAAAGTAGCTATAAAAACAAATTGATGTTTAATTTGTATTTTGCAAGTATTCAGTATTGAAATACATTTTTATTCAGGGCCTTTGAATTAAGCTGCAGGGGTATTCCAATGTATAAGCAGGAAGTTAATTCATGACAAATTTGTTTATTTTGTCAAGCTTTTGAGACAAAAAGTGCGGCATTTAAGAAGTAATGGTTTATCATAGGTGCTTTGTTTACAGTTAAGAAACATATTTACTGCATGCTACATTGTATTTTTGAAGACTGAGTTTCACCATAAATGTCTATGTACATATTTAATATCTTTCGGTTCATCTGGCTTTGTGGCAGAATTTTGTTGGTAGATGTCTTCATTGACAAAACTGACTTATAAATGTCAAATGATGGTAAGGAAATGAACAAAATATGTGTAGAGCTATGCGAACAAATGCGTAAACTGCACACAATTGTGATTGAAAGATGTTAAAATTTTGAATATATTTTTAGTGCAACACCCCAGAAATCATCTGACTACTCTAAAGCACTCTTTCAAACTGAGGCGGCGATGTTTTTTTGGAAGAAAAAAATCTTGAAACACACACATGCTGCTATTCCAAGAATGTTGGCCCCCCCCCCCTTTTTTGTTTGTTTTTTCTGTTTTTTTAAACTGGTGCTATTGAGCTTTGCGTTTAGCTTTTGATTATATGTATTATGACAGTTCAATGTGCAACACTAACCGGAAAGAATTCCATACACGGCCACCACTCATATTCCTTTACATGACCTGAAAAGCACCAAAAGTTGTAAATCTGATGAAGAAACACTATTTTGGGAGTGCACACATTCTTCGATAATACTCTTTAACTTTTTCTGTCATGGCCCATAGACTTTGTGCAGGAGGTCTGCGTGGAGGTCGTGTATGGAATTCTCTCCCACATACCAGTCAGTCAGGGTTTGCGGATCGCTGTAGATTCTGTCACAAAGGCCCCCTTCAGTTGCGAAAGCATTTTGCGCTGAACAGTTCAGGGGTGCGTTTTGGCGGTCATAACCAAGAATTGGTTCGATGGTTTCTCTTTGGTTAATTGTTGTGGAGATTTGAGTACTACATGATCATGCGTAATTCTAACCCAATTAAAATTGCTGAAGAAATTCACCAACAAGAAACTACCGAACCAATTCTTGCTTATGACCGCCAAAACGCACCCCAGGTAATCTGTGGCGGGCAAATGCTTTGTACAATAGCGTGCACAATGGTTTCTCCATTGAAGGGGGCCTAGTGAGTGTATACAGTGATTACGTTCATCTATGTACATTGTACATGGGGGGTCTCGTTAAGACCTCTGTAGATGATTGTAATATGAATGCCAACTACAAGATAGGCTTTAAAATAAGTTAGGAATTGTTGTGTAGTTAGGAAACTTGTATTCATGTAAATAGCTCAGTAGGTGCTTGAGGAATCCATTAAGGATGCGTCTTAAAGAACGTTCCCAGTGCTTTGCAACACTCATGTTCCTTTCAAAATGCTGCATTTAGGAAGGCGGTGCACTCTTACGTCAAAGCAATAATGCCAAGTAAATTGGATGTTGAGAAACCGTTGTGGCAAACTTTGCTGGAGCTACTGGTAAGACCTATCAAATTTCACAGTGCAAATACCAGGGTGCATTCTACAGGGCGAGTTAAAAAAAAAAAAAAAAAAAATTTTGTAACCTTGTCGACGGATCGCGATAAAGGTAGGGGATATTTCAGCAAAACGAAAACTATTCACATACCAAAAACACATCAGAACACTCTCATCACCATGGTAACTGGCACTTATCATAACATTTACGTGTTTAAAACCTGCTACTTCCAATATTAAAATGTAAAAAAAAAAAGCCTTGCCTTGCCTCCAACTTGGCTACCTCGGAGACTTATAGGATTATTCTGATATCATTTTCAGGATACGACATGGTTTCATTTTACTGAAATATCACGTACCCTAAATGTGTTCCGTGGCCAAGGTTAAAAAAACAAAACAGTGTTGGTGTTCAAAATTCCGTAACTGGAAAAGTACATGAGCGATTAGAATGGTTCTTTCACTAAAACAAAGCTTATTAATTGGCTTTCATATCCCAGATTTGGAAAATGCTACATGCAGAAATTATTAAAAAATAAGGGCATCATTTGGGTTTCCCTTTTTCTTTTTTTTACCCTGTAGTCGCACAACGTGTTTGCACTCGTGAGCTAGTCCATGCTAATGTGCCAACCCTAAATGGAACGATAATTCCATAGAAAAACTGTTTGTCAAAATGGCGGCGCCCTGTACGCCAATCCTACAAGCGTCACTGTCTGGATAGTAGTTTTTAAAATACTCTGGGAATGCGACTGGGAGTGAAATGTTGGCAGTACTACATGAACAATATGGGGATTTAGAAAAACAAAACATTCTTCCCCGACAGGACTATATGTTCATTGCGTGTGTTGCAGTTTTGGAAAGCATAGCGAACTACTTGAGAAAACCGTTCACCTTTGCGATGTATTAAAGTCGCGTTAGCTTTCACACTGAATATGAACCAATCTTAACATGTTGACCTCAGCCTCCTCAGGAAACGGACGTTTAGTAATTTGTTCAGACTGCAGTTGCAGTAGTGTACATTCCTATTAGCACCAGGAGCAGGCATAGTGTTGTTAGCGGCAGATAATACAGTGTCGCTAACTCTTGTTATTTAACATTTATTTTTGTACACCTAGCTTTGCCTTTCAGAAACATATTGTATTTATATTGCCTTTTCAGTATTTGTGTTTTTTACTTGCCAAAAAAAAAGTGTTAAACAAATAAAGTATTTCATCTTTATATAAAATTGTTTGGTTTTTTATTTCCTTGTATTATTTCAGTTACTATTCAAGTATTCACACAGGCATGTAGGAAAGGCAGAAATTAATTTCTGAAAGTTGTAACTTTCAATATTGTTTTACTTTATTTCAGTACTTGAAGTACATGTACAAATGTACTACATACAAGATTTTATCAATTCAATATTGAAAAGCTTGTGAAAATCATAAGAATGCAAATTTATGACAAAAATTGCAGGCCAAAAGTCACAGCCTTCATTTTAGAGGTAAGTTACATGTACATGAACAGTGCCACTTACAATGGCAATAATACTTTCTTCAAATTGCAATAACGATTTCTTCAAACATTGCCAAGCACAATTAATACTGTATTCGTGTAATATCAACAGTGAGCCAATGAAAGCATTATAACCATTGGTACTTTGGTAGACAAAACACGCCATTTCTCATTCATTAAAACGACTACAGTTTTCCTCAATTTTAGAGTCTGGCGCGGCCACTGAATAAATCTATGCTTTTGTAATGCTTTTTGGAACAGGATAGCCACTCAAAATGCAAAACAAAAATTAGGGGAACGTTTTACTCATAAAACTAAAGATGATAAGGCATTAGTTTGCATCAACACGCCACTTCTTACCAAACATTTCATTTCCGCTAATATTTCAGATTGCTTTCTTTCGATATGCATTACAGAATATAAAGAAAAAACTAAGAGCACTATATTTCAATATTAAGCAGCATTTAAAATAAAATGAAATAAACTCATGGCGTAATCAAAAAGGATGAATTCTATTTACGTGATGCGAATGAACTCCCTTGAAATTTCAACACAATTATGAAGATGCCTCTTATAAAAATAGCTTGTAATGATTTGTAAAGGCATGAAAAAGTAATTTTAAGCACCCCCCCAATAAAAAAAAAATGGAGAGTCGGGAACCCAATTTCATGGATCTGTGTAGTGAAAAATATTGCCAAGAAATATTAAGTGCAAACGAATATCCTGAAGAACCAGTAATACTTTTTGGGCTGGTTACCTATTTTTACTATCACTTTTTGTGTGTTTGTGCTTAGCCAACTTCTATGCTTCAACGGCTCCATGAAATTGACCCCTGATCCACCACCACATTTCTGTAAAGACGCTTGCTGGAAGCATCAAGCACTGGATGCACCGGCAGGTTCTTGCTTGGTCTCGGACGGCTCGGGATACTTCATTTCCCCAGACGATGCGTACGCCACATTGTCAAAACCCGGAGCTGTGAGGTCTGTGACATTGGCGGGACCCTTTGGAACTCTGTTGCGGGTAAACACGAAGAAGGCAGCAACCAAGATGGCGAGGAGCAAGACCAGGACACCAAGGACAATGCCTACAATAGCACCAGTTTCAAGACCTGTCAAAGACAAAATCAAATAGGAATCTGAGGGGATTTTCCTTCTACAATGGAAGTCCCAAGTTAGAAGGATGAAATCCACTCAAGATCAAGTGCTACAATGAAAAGTGATGGAGGACAGAAATAATGAGATTCACCAATTCAGAAGAAAAGAATCAATCTTCCTTTTTAATGGAGAGCAGAACTTCTTCTTCTTTCGTATGGCGTGCACAGCCTACAGTTGTAGGTCAGTGGTAGACATCCATGCCAGGGCATCATCGGTTATAGTGTGGATGGCTTCAATAACTTAGGATGAAGTAAAGCAAGCCTCAACCAACATAGTCTTGGTCAAGTCGTGCAACGATAGAGAGTCCGATGATCGATGGTCAGCCACCAACAAAACAGTAGCCACGCACTATGCAATCACACGTACTGTACAAAGCACGAACATCGACCTCACACAGCTATAGGCTAGGATATGCAAATCAGGTGGTACTGAACAAACGCCTTGGAACATCCATGGGCCATGGCCTATCTTTGGGGGTAATTTTCTTTATTTTGTCCCTGGATTTATATCAAGTTATATTTGTTCTCGGGACTCCAAATTTGTTGGAGAATGTAGCCACACTATCCAGCTCTCTGTCCATGTAAAAATATGAGCGTCCAGGACCAAACACTGAATAATAATCTCATCTTATTCACATATGGGTTGTCGCTGGAAATCCAGCGACAAAGTAAAGAATAACATGAACCAAGGCTCACGGATGTTCCAAGGCATGATTGCTGATTTGCATATCGTAGCCTAGCCACGTGAGGTCGCTGTTCTCACTTCGTGTATTACATGTGAGTGCGTAGCGTACAGCTTCTGTTGTTCGCAGCCAATCATCGATCATCGGAATCTTTGTTGAATGCCTTGACCAAGGCTACAACCATCAAGCTCAACAAAAAAAGTCCTGACAAGGCTCACCACTGAGTTAAAATAGCCCCGTGAAATTTGGACCAAGCATGATCTTTCCCCTGAACCAATTTGGAAAAAACACAGCCTACAAATTGTAGCTCTGTATAGAGGCTTATGGTAATTATGACAAAAGTTCAACATGTATATTAACACATCATGGAAAGATTAAATGTGAATCCAAGGTGTCTTTTTCCAATGGAAGTCGTCCATTACAAGACCGAACACCTCTTAAGGTCAACGGCTGCAATGAAAAGTCTATGGGAGCTCAAACAAAAGGAAAGAAAGGAGATTCGCCAATTCAGAAGGAAAAAAATAAATATTTGTCATGAAGAACAGATCACAGGATGAAGGAAAGCAAGCCTCAGGCTAAGAGGCCCCACGTGGAAAAAGTGCTACTTGCATAACTCTTAGTCCTACACATGGGAATTGCTAGATTGTATATGGAAACAGCAAGCCAAATCTCCAGCCAAAACAGGGGAACCGAACTTGAAACACCAGAGGAGCACCTATCATGAATATATTTGTAGAACAGGCAAAGGGAAGCAACTGACGAACAGTGTGATAACGATTGTGCATAGGAAGAACCCAACTCCTCACTGACTAAGTCTGGGTGTACTTTATTCTGATTTGGATTTGACTCTTCTAATGCAGGCAGTTCCTAACAAGCGCCGCAATTGAGGTCCCTGGACCAAATCCAGTCTTGGGAACTTTAAGGCAGCAATACCCAGAAAAATTCCGAGCATAACTCATGCGTGCGCATGAGCTTGAATTCATTGAGCTCGAGGAACTTCCTGGCTAGCACTGCCAAAGTTCCCAAGATTGATGTGATTCATCTTATTCGATTCACCCACCACAGCGGCAGCCTTACTGCACTTGCCAGGCTGAATTAGGGGAATAAAATCCAAATCCACACTTGGACCAAACTTAAAGGGAATATACAACATTTGCAAACATCAAACAACAAAACTGCCAAATTTTCACAAAATACCTTACTGGACTGTTCGTGAATAACAGTCAAAGCATCCTGTAAAATCATGGCATCTGGTGTGCTAACATTTAAAACAAAACTGGCATTTTTGTATCAATTTCCAACGCTCGTTAGCCGATCAGCGTGTGGAAAGAAACTGGCTTTTTTTCCAAATACTGCCCCCAATTTTTCATATTTAGTTAGTCACCATTTTCTTTGCGATCGAATACACACCTGATACAAACCAGCTAGACTGATTCGCTGATCTGATAATTCCCCGATGACTATAAACTGTTCCATTTCATCTTAAGTGGGGTCAGGGAACTAGACTACAAGAAAATGACTGTTTTTCTTGGTTTTTCCACCATCTACAAACTCAAAACTTTACACAAGTAAGTGAAACAATATTTGCTATGAAATACCACCCCCCCCCTCCCCAAATCCAGCCATTTCTGGAAATTACAGCAAAAACAAATGATGTATATTCCCTTTAAGGCTGGGCTCTAGTTTGCCCTACAGGTCAAGTACGTTGGACAAGATGGTAGAGCAAGGTAATGCAGGGCAGAAGCAGAGAAAGCTGAGCAGTTGTTGACGGGATGTACACATACCTGCTACCGGCTTTGGGCTCTGCCGAGTGGGAGGGATATCCGTCGAATTGTCTGTCAGAAGAGAACACAGACAAAATATGTGAATACAGACATGCCAAGCAGTACAACACAGAACACCTCGGGGGGGGGGGGGGGGGGGGATCATTATAAGGCTTGCCTGTATCTGAAGGTCCAGTTCAGGATATTAATTGTCGGTTTGTAGTCTGTCCCAGTCCCAGTGCAGGTCAGTTGGTCAGTCATTAAGTCGGTCAGTAACTTGGCGGACAATAGGCCGACCATTCAGGTCCAGCCATAAAACAAAGTGATTGAGCAAACCGATTAGCAGAAAATTGAAGTTGAAAAGTTTCTTTCAAGCATTTATTTTCCTGCTGTATTTGTGTTCTGAAATTGTGTTCAACTGTTTAACAGCCATCAAGCTGACTTACGGGCAACCAGAAGGCGGCAGGATTCAAAAAGGTAACAAAATGGCGTTTTCAGAAACAAGCACTTCAGATATATATACGTACGCGTTTTAAGCTTCTTGCAGATGAAGGTCCTAAGCTGGTTGCAATCAACGTCATTCCACTCGCCACTGGATGTATACATCTCCACACAGTTCTCGTGCTCTCCGTTCCAGATCAAGGTCGGCTCGCCATTCACCCAGTTGTCATATTCCACGGGCTCTGAGTCCATCCACTGAAAACCTCCTGAAAAATCCATGCGATATGAATTGATGTCCAATCTCTTTTTTGTTTGTTTTATATTTACAAGTGCCAGTATCACTTCATTTGTTGGGAAGGGGGGGGGGGGGCTGCCGGGGGGCTAGTCCATTTTATGATGCCACTTCTGTGTATGTCTGCCTTCTTTGAGGGCAACTCTGTCTCAACCAAAAAAGAAAGTCCCCTCTTAATACTTTTTTGTCTAACTCCAAAACTACTGGGCACATCTTTCTCAAATTACGACTGATTAGTACAGACATTCCTTAGCAATCCAGCCATACTCTTTGTTTGGCCCAAAACAGTGATAATGTGTACAAAATTATGCAATTTATGACAAATGGTACCGAAAAAAAAGTTGCACTTTTGTATACGTGCAAAGTGAGTGTGAACCACAACTTGCACGCGTACAAAAGTGCAACTGTTTCCAGTATCATTTGTCATAAATTGCTTAAATTCATACACATTATCACTGTTATAGGCCAAATAAAGAGTATGGCTGGATTGCTAAGGAATTTCTGTACTGATTGGTCGTTATTCGAGCGAGAGGTGCTCAGTAGTTTTTGGAAGGGGGGGGCTGACTTTCTTTTTTGGTCGAGTGTTTCTTGTGAATTTTTGCTAGGGAAGCTTTAACTTGTGTGACATACAGGGCCCACTTTAATGGAGGTAGTAAGCGGAAAATAGCCGACTACCAGTCACAAGCAAAATACATCACGTGACATTTTGGCTGGTAACCAAATATTATCTGTGCTGAGCAAACTTCTGTGCTTATAGCAGCTGCATAAAATTGGGCCCCTGGAAGTTCAGCTCATTTAATAGTTAGTTACTTCAAAACAAAACAAGCTCGAAATGATCTCGGAAGCAGCAGGCCAACGAATTTGTGTTCATGCCTGAGTGACGTGATTGTGCCATGTAATTTCTGGAAGGAGTAGTGTTCTGAGTACAAAAATCAGGTTTTTAACCCTAGTGACCCCATGATGACCTTTGAAGGTCAGTGGAGACCGTCAAAGTCACACAAAAGAGGGCCAGACATTCAAATAAGCTGCCAAGGTATTCCTATGGCATTGGCATGCCCACTGGCATTTGTGATCGTAATTGACTACATAATGGAGTGCTCCATGCATATAATCACCCACCTTCATCGGTGCGGTACAAGCCTAGCCAAGCTGCGTCGTCTGTCCGTACAGCCAGGATGTTCTCCTGGACAAACATATTCTCCAACTTGTGGTGAATGGTGACCAGGTTGGCCCCCATGTCGTTGCAAGTGCGCTCTGCCTGGTACTCGGAGACTGGGTTCTGGTCGGCTGCCTGGAAGTACATGCAGTAGCTGCCGTACGGTAACCAGCCGTCGTCACAGGTGCCCGGTATATCGGGTGGATGAGTTGGTGGGGATTCTGAATAGAGTAATGTTGGGGGAAACGCATGGTAAAAACAAGACCATGAAAGTGTTCTAGTATTGTCAATTTTTTCTTTCTTTTTTCAGTTAGATGCTAGGGGGTGCTCCCCCCCCTGTCTTATTTGTTATTGCTATTTCACAAATCTGTATGGTGTTAAGGGGATGATTTCAACTAGTCTTCGCTCCTATGATTTATTGGGGGGACAATACATAAGCCGTTTCGCGGATACCGCCATCTTGCTTGAAATCGCAATTGCACAATGGCTTGGAGGGCACGTGTGACCAAACCCACAATAGAATGCACACATGAGCAGTACGTACATGAGGAGTGTCCGGATCGTTAGTGCGATACCAAATTTTCCGCAGCGTTCATTTCATGCGCGGTCACGTGACTTCTTTTCGCGATCGATTTTTCCTTTTCAAGCTTGGTGCTGTTGCATGTGGGATATCTTTATAATAACTTTTTGCACCCATGGACAGCTCAATGTCCCATTCATCAGTTTTTAAAACTCTGTATCCACAATTGTGTTTTTTTCACTGAAAAAAAAAGAGATTTTTCAGAACAGCTCTGACCTCCCCATGCTTTCTACATTACGGATTTTCAGTCATGGTAACGTTTGCCCCCCAAGCTATTGCGCAATCACAATTTCAAGCAAGATGGCAGTATCCGTGAAACGGCTTGTGTGTCATTTTTGTGTGGCAACGCCAGTGCCGGTGGTACATGATTCGCGGCGGCGCAGGCGGACTAAACCCGGTCAATTACCGGCTTGATTTCAAGTCTTCCTTCCCCCCGGCCAATGTGACGCCACTTAATTTGTAATACACAAGTCTGTCTCCTGGTGAAAATGTTGCAATTCTTTTTCAATATACATGTACCTCATTTTAACACACTGATTCACATGAACCACTTTTCCAAATTCTCAGATTCCATCCAAAAATCAAAACCCCCAAGTACTACCATACTTTCAAAGTTTTACAGGCTTTACTTGTTTTAATGCCATCTTATTTTTCTTTTGGTTTCATTAAACTTGTTAATCTCAGAATAGCACTTCACCATAGTCATTTCTACTATATTGACTGCCTGCCAGGTGTAGTATTACACTGAAACAAAATAGGGGTTAACCAATGTTCCAGTATTTTGGGGTCCTTTTTCCAGAGAAGTTTTCCATTTGTTTATTATACTTTTTACGGAAAATAGGGGTTAACCAATGTTCCAGTATTTTTGGGTCCTTTTTCCAGAAAAGTTTTCGATTTGTTAATTATACTTTTTACGGAACCTTGAAAAGGCAAAGATGTACATAACTGCTACCAATTTCTGCTTTCCACATCTACATGTAAATAGGGAAAAGAGTACTGCAATTATTGGACTTTGTTTCTTAAGAGTTTGTTTATAAAACTGTGTTGTCTGTTCTTCATCAGGGTGACTGCTCTATGTTCCGACACCCCTATGTTCCGACAACCTAGATTGTGTTACTCCCGGTTAGGGTTAGGGTTAGGGTTAGGGTTAGGAATAGGAATATGTGCAGTCGGAACATAGGGGTGTCGGAACATAGAGGTGTAACCCTTCATCAGAGGGATGGGTTGTTATTTCACAGTAATTTATATTTTTAAATACCTAAACCTGAAAATAAATGCACTTACTCAAGGAATACTTGCACAGGCTCCCAAATTTGTTGGTGCAGACGGTGTCGTTCCAGCGGCCGTTGAAGTCCATGAGCACGCAGCCCTCCCCTTCCCCCTTGCTGGGTTCACTGGTGTCCCAACGGGTGTAGAAGACGGGCCAGTTGTCTAGCCAGCTGTATTCTCCGGAGGCCTAGTTAACAGACAGAGGGAAAGGGGGTTTAAATAGAAGAGATGCAGCCCCTTAAAACCTCGAGCTTCAGGGTGTCCCAAAAAAGTTGTGCAAGCAGATATCCTTTAAATTCTCAAAAACTACTTAAAACTACAGACCATAATTTGCGGTTATCTAAAAAGCAACTGACATAATTATTGTTGAAAGATAGTAAGGGAACTAAACTCCCTGTGAAATTATTCTTTCTGGCAAGCTGTCATTTTGAAGAAATCAATGAAAGAAGGCCTTTCCTTGTGTTAGTAGTTCGTTTTTTATTTGCCGAAGCGTGCGCAAGTGTTGACACGACACATTGGGTAGCTGCAATCAGCTCAGTGAGAACGTGTCTCGGACGCTGAATTCAGGCCCAATTCAAAACATGATTCAGCAACTTTTGATTTGAAAGTAAGATCCTAGAAAGCTGTTTCTCGGAATATACAGCTGAAGCCGAGCTGAAACTTCATCAGGTTAGTTGTTCAGCAGCCTTCTTCAGATTTTGAGAACTTTTGTTGCTTCAAGTGTCCAGAGAAAAAAACCTGTGTACATTGTCCGATTTTTTTTGCTGATGAACCCCCCCCCCCTGCAAAAATTCCATGATCCGCCCCTGCATAGCCTTTTACAATCTGTTAGATCTCTGGTTTGCATGAACGGATTTCCATGGCATTTTCACTGATTATACACAAGAGTATAATGAATATGCTCCATCAAGATGAAATACTCATGTTAAGTAGTGTTTGATAAATTAAACGATATCTTCTTGCACAACTGTTATTGGGACACCCTGTACTTTGAGCAAGTTTGAACACCAACTGTACTTGTCTACAGAGTAATATAGACTATAACTTCGTTCAATCCTTCTCAAAGGTTATAAACATGATGGGCTTACACACACTCAGTTGATATTTCCAATTGCACGTACTTGCCAAAATGCTCCGTTTTTTAACCAGAAATAATTTCCTGGGCTGAAATTTTGACTTAATATCCCTTACAAAAAATACTTCAATTTGTGACAGATCAACACACCTTGGAAATTCCTAGTTTTGGGGTAAAATCCAAAAATCTATTTCGTGATAACCTTGTGGAGACCTATAGAAATTGCCCTGTGGAGATGTATACAATCTTTTGATCCCTATTGTGCACCTGTCTCCACAGGGTACCGTGTACCAGATCATGGCTCACGTATTCTGAGGAAGTCCAGTATTTAAGACACACATGTAGAGACTATAGGGGTGTGCATTTAGGGGTACGTACGGGAACCGGGTACTCGACTGAAACTCAACCCCAAAATTCAAATCTCGGAAGTTGCTGTTCATATTGTTTTAAGGTCCACAAGATAATACTACCTCTTTGGTGCATCAATATAGCAAGATACTAGCGTGTACAGTGAGCTTTATAGCTTTATGGTGTACATTGACTACAATTTCCATGAGCGTCATAAATGTGAAAAAATGTTTTGTTTTAACATGTAGCCTGGCTTTCATTTTGAAAATTCCCGACAAATGACACTGAACACCTTTTCCTTTTTCGTTGTCTGACAAGTTACTAAGTAATTTGTGAAGTTGGTTTAGGGTACCGGATCCCATAATTTGGAACCGGTTCCTGACATCAACGGTCAGGTGCTCGGGTACCCGGTTCCGATGCAAAGCCCTAGTGGGGACTAACGTCTTTATAGGTCATGCCAAGCCACAGGGGCTTCTCCTCGGTTATACTTCCGTCCGCGTTGGCCGCCGCTTGCACCATGAGACCGTCCGCGTAGGCCGCCTCGTACGGGTCGTTCAGGCTGGCCAGGGTGGCTTGATTGCCCAGGGCCTGGCACGCCGTGATCGCGTCGCTGAACGTGACAGGGTCCGGGAGGATCTGGAAGCAGCCACCCTCGTCGGGCCAGTAGGACCAGTTGATGCCACAGGGATTGAGGGGTGTATGGGGTGGATCGTTCTGGGGATCTGAGATAATTAAAGAAAAAGCCACTCTTTACTGTTTGCTGTTACTGGGGACTTTGCAAATATGAACACAGTTAGCCCTTTTGTGTACTTCAATCTTTACTTTGACACTGATGAAAAAACAACTGACATATGATTCCTGGCGCAATACCCCTCACTCGCACTTGGTACTCATACGATATGATATGGATTTGTGCACACTTAGAATATAACCGATCGTCTGTAGGCGCATACATTGCACAAACCAGTGTTCACAGTATGCAATGTGTCCCTCCTATTAAGTTCTTACTGGTTGGCTACAAAGCACTATTTACTGTTTATGCATGGGTCCATGCCCGCAAAAAAAAAGGTGGGTACAATTTTATAAGTTATCAAGATTGCAGCAAAGCATTTAGTTGCGTTAAAGGAAATATATACCTGTGTATATATATATTTTACTTAAAGCAGGGGCAGCTTTTTATTTCTTCATGAACCCCTCCAAGGATAAGCATACAACCTCAAATTCCAAAACATTACCAGTATTAAAGCTACAGTCCATCATTTGCAGCTATTCAAAATGTAAGTGATGTAATTATTGTTGGAAAGCATACTTGGTTGAAAGATAGTAAGGGGACTAAACTCCTTGTGGAATTATTCTGGGGGGGGGGCTTAACCGCGAATAGATTTTGGTCATTCTGGGCAGCGTACAAACTCTTGCTTCATATGGCTATTGAATCTAAATAACTTATAGCCTCTAGTACTTAAAAATCTGCCCTAGACAGAATGTATATTTTCCCTAATTCCAGATCGGGCATGTCTGCATGTAAAGCTCCATGGTAACAATACAAAGTCTTTTTTTCATGTCATCTCAACATTTATTTCTACAATGTAAAGTAAATTTATTAAAGTATACAAAGGGCTAATATCCGACAGATTGCAACACATTGAAAATGGGGAATAAAGGAGGCATGTTCAAAATAACTCGTAAGTTGACACCAGGTTCTTTGAGCTTATTACAGCTGGACAAAATAATGTGCAACTTGACGTGTTCTTGGACAAAGATACTTGTGACTTGACTTGTGTTTAGACCAAATGACTTGTGACTTGACTTGTGACTGGACCTAATGACTTGTGACTTGACTTGTGACTGGACCTAATGACTTGTGACTTGACTTGGACTTGCAAAAAATGACTTGCTGCCACCTCTGACAAGGACAACATCTTTCCACTAAACTGTGGTCAGAAAAATGGCCATCAGCATCACACTGTAATCATGTCTAGTTGAATACAGAATAATGTAAGGTTCTTGTGAATGAGTGCCTGCTTACTTTGGTGCTCCCTTTAGTGCCCCACTTGAAAGAGGTTAGAGTTGGGGAATGTGAAGGAAACAAGATTGACCCTGCCCCTCTAAATATTGACCCCGCCCCTCTCAATATTGACCCCGCCCCTCTGTAACTTTCTTTTTCTATAGTTAGCTGTACCTGGTTTGCTTTGACAGACGTAGCCGTTCTTGGTGTCACAGTTCTGGTCGTTCCATTCACCAGCATCGTTCCAGTGATCGTACATCTCCACACAATCTTCCTACAAGATCAAATGAAACCAAACTTAAAAAACAAAAACAAGATTAGGCCAAAAAAAGGTCTCCGGTTTGTGGTATGGAGCTTTCCCAAAAAGTGGTGCGGCGATGCGTTTTTTTTTTCCCTCCTACTTTTTTTTCTTCAAATGGTGGCTGATGTTGCAGATGACACCTTAAAACTCTTACAATATCCTTCAGAGTCGAGCTTGAGGTGATATCAGTAAGGCCATAAGGCTTGAGAAGTCTACACCCACTTACGATCTCGACCGACACAGACATTCTTCGGGAAATTTGGAAAGTCATGACAAAAGTCAAGGAAAACGGTAACTTCAGATGGCCATACATCGACATCGTGCACGAGCTGCTCCAGACTGGTCATTAGTCTGCTCCCTTACACATTGCGCTAATTAAAAATTGTTGAAAGGTTCCAGATACACGACCATCGCTCCCTCAGTCTGGCTGATTACAAACTTGCAACATCGTCTGCAAATGGTGCCCGACTAAATTTAGTGCAAAATATATGGGAACCCAGAGAGGCCACATAAAGCTTATACTCGATCATAACCCCATCTAAAAACACGTTAAAATTGTGCAGCAGCAGGATTCCAGTCAAACCAGTGACTTTGGCAGTTTTGAGACATCATCTTACATTGAAAAAACTTTTTAATTTTGTCGACGTGCACGGCTACTGCAACGCATGTGCATACCAGAAACCGGAGCCTTTTTTGGGGCCTTATAATTTATGCCATCTGGGCTGTGGGGGTGGGTAGGTGGAAGAAATGCGCCACTAAATAATTTGTTTTTTCTTTTAAACCCAGAAAACTATTCAATCACAAATTTGGAAAATGGTTTGAACTTATGAAAAGTTACAGATGTACATGTGACAAACAAATGCATTTCTTACATTCAGAAACAGTTCTACACTGAAACGTTCCGAGTCTAAGTGAACAGTTTCCCTGAATTTTTTGTGGTGTACCTGGTTTTTAAGAAGATTAAGAAATTTCAGATGGAAAAAGACAAATTGCGGAATCTGGTGGAAAAAAATACTTAAACTCTGGTATTTTTTGGGGGGGGGGTTGAAATTCCGTACAATAACAATTTTTGTTACATAGAAATTTGGAATATTTGTATTATATTTATTTATTAATTATTATTATTATTATTATATTTTTTGTGGCGGGGTAGGGGGGACCCTATTTTGATGTACCCACTCTTGCCCACAAAGAACCACAATCGTTTTTATGTGACAAAGCTTTCCTACACAAACTGGAAAAAAAAGTGGGGTTCGTGCTGTATTTTTGTGCTCAATTTCAGCTTTTTTTTCAAAAAAGACATTCAAAAATGTGTTACGATCAAATCTTTATCAGTAGGGCCGGGCACAACCATTTTTATACATGTACTACCCCCCCCCCCAGCTTGCTGAACTTGTTTCACTTAGCTCAAACTGATGCTTACACTGATGTTACACTATTATTTGTCAGCTGTTACACTATTTTTTGTCAGCTGTTACACTGTTATTTGTCAGCTGTTACACTATTATTTGTCAGCTGTTACACTATTATTTGTCAGCTATTACACTATTATTTGTCAGCTATTACACTGTTATTTGTCAGCTGTTACACTGTTATTTGTCAGCTGTTACACTATTATTTGTTTAGCAAGAATTGTTTCCCGAAAATGACCACAAAGCAACAATGAAGGGGGGGGGGGTTGACCATGCAACGGAGGGGCTAGAATTTGTGTATGAAATATACACAATACCTGTCCACCATATTCATTGGGCTCCCCCGAATTCCAGTTGGTATAGTCCAACGTGGTTCCATCAATCCACTTGAACTGGCGATTGGTCGTGATGTCGCTCAGACCAATCCAGATGTGGAACTTGTATTCCTCCAGGAAACTTGTCAATTTGGCTGCGGAAAAGAATTCAAATACAATCAATCCACAATAAATAAATGGAGCCAAATCGTTTTTTATCTCAAAACCAGCTAGAGCACTTAAACCTTACAGGAAATGTTTCAGCTGTAAAACAATCTTTCAATTTCTGCATTAACAATTCTTGATGACCTTCATTATTCACACACACAAAAATAACCTTCAGTCCTTCACATCAAAAATACCTTATCCATGTGACCAAGTACAAAGTAAATATGTTGAAGATCCCCTCACGTGGCACAATTTGATTTTTTTCCCAATAGTGCCTAGCAAAAAGCACAAGTTTGATCCCAACTTTCATAATTTGAAATTCTTACAAGTTCACTTGAAAATTTCTGAGTTTTGTTGAAGAGTGCCATAAGGCGACCCTTTGCCCAATATTAGGCTCAATTTTCACAACTTTTTTTGTGGCTTTCTGAGCTACGACAAATAAAATGTTCACATGGTTTCCATAGCAAGTTTTGTTTAGGCAATAATGTCAATATTTAACTGAATAAATTTGATGCTCATATACAAAAAGGTTTGGCAACAACAAAAAACTGACACAAATTTTATCCAAACTTTGATACCTTGCACAGCCTGGGAGTGGATGGTTGCCAGCTCACCGCCAGGAACCTTCTTACACTCCAGGCTAGCGTTTCTCCAAGACAATTTGCTGTCAGGTTCCTTTCCAAAGAAGGTGTAGCAGCGGTTCAGGAAGCGGACGGAATCCTTGGGGCAGTAGCCCGTGGGCGCTGGGGTCGGGGCGTGGGTGATGGGCCCCACTGAGCTCTCGTGCTTCTTGCAGATGAAGTTGCGCGGCGTGCCGCAGTTCTGGTCGTTCCAGTTGCCGCCAGCTATTAAGAGGAGAATATAACATTCTTTATGTAAACCCAAGAATGTCTGATATAGACTGATCCTGTTAAAGCTACAGTCCATCATTTGTAATTTGTGCATTTTGTTCGTTTGAAGCAACAAAAGAGTTCAAAATCTAATGAAGGATACTGAGCAACTAACCTGATGAAGTTTCAGCTAAGCTTTAGCTGTACATTCTGAGAAAAACAGCATTCTAAGATCTCAATTTCAAATCAAAAGTTACTGAATCATGTTTTGAATTGTTTTGAATTGCAGCTTTACGCGACGTCGCGCACTGATCAGACGAATTATAACAACCGCGCGCGTGCGTGCGTCGTTCCAATACTTGTGCGCGCTGCGCTGAATAACAAAACGAACTACTAATTTAAATTTTCCTACGGTGCTTCTTAAGAATCACCATTGGAAATGCCTTCTTTCGTTCATTACTTCAAAATGACAGCTTCCCAGAAAGAATAATTTCACAGGGAGTTTAGTTCCCTTACTATCTTTCAACCAAGTTTGTTTTTCAACAATAATTACGCCAGTTACTTTTCGGATGGCTGCAAATGATGGACTCTAGCTTTAAGTCTTGTGTTTTGGTCAATCAAATGCGCAACCGATTGTCCAACAAAAGTCCAACATAAGTGCACTTGCATAATGGGGCTAATGGCCAAAGTAGAATGGTCCATTTATGAAGTGGGTGGGGCTAATGGCCAAAGTACAATGGTCCATTATGAAATGGGCGGGGCTAATGGCCAAGTAGAATGGTCCATTATGAAGTGGGTGGGGCTAATGGCCAAAGTGGAATGGTCCATTATAAAGTGGGTGGGGCTCATGGCCAAAGTAGAGTTGTCCATTATGAAATGGGCGGGGCTAATGGCCAAAGTAGAATAGTCCATTATGAAATGGGCAGGGCTAATGGCCAGCAAAGTTGAATGGTCCATTATGAAATGGGAGGGGCTAATGGCCAAAGTAGAATGGTCCATTATAAAGTGGGCAGGGCTAATTGCCAAAGCAGAATGGTCCATTATGAAGTGGGCGGGGCTAAAGGCCAAAAGCAGAAATGCTCAAATCAACAAGAAAGCAACTTCTTGCACAATTTAATCAAACTGACAATTGTGATTATTTCTCAAAATGCAATTCTCATTAATTTCCAAACAGTTTTAGCAAAGCTTGGATGAAGAAAATCAACAAACGCATGCAAATGAATAGTACGCAAATGCAACAGACTGACTTTCGCTATCTAGTCGAGGGTACATCTCCACACATTCCTCCTCCCCATTGAAATCATTGGGTTCTCCCGTCACCCAAGCATCGTAGTCGAGTGTCGTGTTGTCTGCCCACCTTTCATCACAAAATGCAAACACAAAATCTACATTACAAGTTGCTTTCCCCATGCTCTTCAACAAATTCAATTACTTTCTACTAATAAATGCTCAAATTGTATGTTTTGTTTCTCCTTCTTTGGACGTCTGAAACTGTCTGAAAAAAAACTTTTTCGGTTTTGGGCAAAAACAGATCTGCCAGATATTATTGATACTGATTGTGGGGTGGGAACCCGCCGCCTACCCCATGCAACGAAACTATTGTCTGGCAGCCAATTTCTGTTTAAGTACTAATGATATAATTTTTATGTATTTCTTTGTATGTTTTTACAGTCTTTGTAATTGTAATTATAACTGTGTACAGGTGATGTTTCTGTGTGTATATTTCGTATGTATTTTCAATGTTTTTCGGCACGCAATGAAATTATTCGAAATTGTGAAGTAATAATTTAATAACTAAACATCGGCCGATTCTCTCGATCCATACCTCATTTAAAAGTGAATTACCTTTGTATTGCTAGAAAAATTTAGAAATGGAATCGATTTTTCGGGATGAAACTCGAAAATAGAATGTCAATCGCCACTTTAAGGAACTGTTTTCACGCCAGGGACAACTTCTCGATTGATTGATTCCTATGGGCTCTCTGCTCAAGTACCCCCTCAATGCCTGGTGCTCAAACGAAGATGCTATGCTTTTGTGCACGTTCAGAATAAAAGTAGTCGTGTATGTGTTCATCTTTTCAAACCGTGGACAAAAAATACCAGAGAACAAAAGCAAACAATATCGTCCACGATTCCCAGCATATGTTCGCAATTGGGGTCATGTACAAAACATATGGGAGACTTCCTAAAAAGTTTGAGTACAAACAAAAGAGGGACAATAGGACGTCCACAATCGAAGGTGAACACACGTTTGTATGTGTACTTTGTGCTGTTAGCGCACAAACAAGTATCTGTACACGGTGTGTTCCGTACACTAGGCTCTTAAAAGTAGTTAGCCTCATAAATGTGGCCAATTTACTGGACTACCTCCGTAAATAAAGGCCACACTTGGAACATTTCCCCGAACATGTAGAACTTTGTCAAGTTTCTATTTTCACTTTGTTTGTAGATTATTTATGTTTTAGAAGCACACTCACCCTCTTTAAAACGATAGAAAATTAGTCCCCCCTTTTTCAGACGTCTATATTTTGTGTAATTTCCAGGTTCGTTTGCACACATTAGCGTATCTAAATTCCAACACGAAATTACACGAAAAATAGACTGTCGGAAAAAGGGGGGAATAATTTTTTTTTATTGCTTTAAAGAGGGCGAGTGTGCTTCTTAAAGCATCAATAAATTACAAACAAGGTCTTAATGTGAAAATAAAAACTTGACAAAGATATACATTTTCGGGGAAATGTTCCAAGTGTGGCCTTTAATACGGAGGTAGTCCAGTAATTTGGCCACATTTATAGGGCTAGAAAGTAGTCAAAAGCACCCTCTCTTGCTTGTGCGCAGAGCCCATATGCAAACCACACAATAAAGGCAACATTTGGGAAAGTTTTACTGAAACAATTTCTCTGGTATGTCATTCAACAACTAATTTGTAAAGGAAGAAAGACTGTGCAGATCCTGCTTTAATAGTTCACAAAGTCTGAGTTTCCTTTTCTCTGTTTGGTTTGCAGGACTTACCGGTATTTGCCGTTTTTACCAAACTCCCGCAAACCGATCCAGAAATCTCCACTGTTTTCACCACTGACCTGAAAGGCAACATTAGGGAAAAGTACAGTATTGGGATTCTGTACTAAATCACTTCAATGAATATTGAACATTCCAGCCTTAATTTTTTTTTACCAAATGTGTTTTATAGTAGTGGGTATTTACAAAGCGCATGTGTCCACCAGGACTGGTGCTCAAGGCGCTACATCATTATTACCCCTGCACATTGGGCCCTTGAAACATTCTAAATACCATCTCAGCACCCTGGGGAGTATATACAGCTCGATGCAGCCTGTTAGGCGCAAGGAAGCTAATTCAATCACAATTACCATCTCTGCCCTCACAGGTACCCATTTACTCCTGGGTGGAGAGAAGCAATGAGTGACAAAGTGCCTTGCCCAAGGGCACACGCACCATAGCCCCAGGCTGGACTCGAACCCACAACCTGCAGAATTACCTGCAGACCACAAATTCAATGCTCCAGACCACGAGGCCACAGCACTCCACTCCTTGGTCGAGAGCCCGTCACGTGAGTGGTTTTAAACGGTTGATAAAAAAACGACTGGTTTCTGACACTTTTTTCCGATGTCACTTGAAATTTTGACTCTATGAAATCTGGTCCATTAATAACTCTTTTACTGCTTGAACCCTCACACGTGACCAGTCACTCTGCTAATTGTCTTCACTGAAGCATGTGCAATACTACCAATAAGTCCATTTTTCCTGGTCCTCAATTCACACCACACCAGCACCACTGTGTTCTGCGCCACATCGCCTTTCAGCTCGAGCCATTACATCCGGGTCTAGGCACTAAACTTATTTTTAAAACGTACTTGTTTAAAACCGGCCAAGCACATATTTATTCCCTTTTTAAAAAGAGTTACCCCACCAATCTGACAACCCAAGGAGTAAATTATACGATTAGTTTCAATAAGGAAGTTTAGTTCCAAGTTCCAAATCTAGAGTTCAAACAATATTCCCCTTTCCAAATTGTGGTTATAGAACTGGTTCTACAACTACTTCTAGAAGTTGTTCGTGACTTGGTTCTAGAACTAAATGAAAAAAAAAAGTTCTAGAACTAGTTGCAAAACTTTGTCTACAGAGTTGGCTATTAATTGAACTGATTTTATGGCTTGTTCTGGATCTGGTTCTACATTTACTTTTAGAACCACTTATAGGACTAATTCTAGAACTACTCATTATAGGACTAGTTCTAGAACTGGTTCTAGACTTGATCCAGAGCTCATTATACACTGTAGTACTACTTCAAGAGCTATGTCTAGAACTCATTATAGGACAAGCTCTAGACTTGGTTCTAGAACTCATTATAGGACCAGATCTAGATCTGGTTCTAGAACTTGGCCCTACACCCTACCAGCCCATAGAGGAAATCCTGTTCGTCCTGGCCGTGTACGGAGGCAAGGTCCGCCCCTAGCTTGTGACAGTAATTCTCGGCCTCTGACCAGCCTAACTGGGTACCTCCTGGACTCAGGTAGTAGCAATAACCATTAAAGCTGAGAAAGCCGTCATCAGATGGGCATCTGGGGACTGTGAAATATCACAAATAGGAGACGGCTTTACACATGAACATTTATAGATTTGTTTCTTTCAATAAGATGACTAAAAAACATAGGCATGGGCATTGCATGTATTTTTTTGTCTATCAGTAATGACTGCGCGGAGCCATGGAGAGTGCAGCAGTGCGCAAGGGCAGATCCGGGGGGGGGGGGGGGGGGGGGGGGGGGGGGCAACAGGGGCCATGGCTCCCTGCCCAAAAAAAACCACTATTAAAACAATTTTTTTTAAGTGATGTCCCAATAAAGGCAGGCACTGTGTACACCGCCATCTTTTCCTCACAAAATTTGGTTAAAGCGGTCAGAAATTGTCTCAGATTGCACCACAGAGCATCTAGAATCCAACAATTTTGGGGGGCCCTTGAGCAGGCCCCGAACCCCACGCCAGAATTTTTTTGGACACAATTTTTGTTTTTGGGGGACCACATTTTTTGTTCCCCCCCCCAAAAAATGTGTTCTGGATCTGCCCTTGGCTGTGCTTCATGAGGTCTAAATGCTGGATGCCCAACACCGATTCTGGAGAACCTCCTAGAGCTGATAAACGCCAATTTACAGTCAGCCACGCAATCATGAACGTCTGACACTGATGGTAGTTGGACACTAAACCTTTTGAGGGGGCAGTCTGTAGTTGTTACGTGACAGGTACAACTTTGCTTTTTACACTTTATTGACTGGAAATTTTAAGGGACAATTCCCATGCATTATGTTACCAGCCTGCCGAATACCCAAAAAACTGAACACTGCCGTCCATTTGGTTTGGATATCGGTGCCATATTTGCATACATATTTGAATAAAGTGAGGTCAGCGACCACGTCAAAGTTCAATTAGTTGAACTCTGTAATGTCATCCCCCTCGAATTTCAGCAACTAGTCCCTGGTGATGTCAGCGTCAACTATAAAATGTGTGTAAGATAATCATGTGTCAATTTTCAGCCACGCAACCATATCACGGGATGGATTATAAACCGGTATTAATGGAGAGTTTATAATTAAGACGACCTTATGTGTATTTATAACACCACGTTTACCAGTTCCTTGAAAAGGTTCATAAAATCATAGCATATTGTTTCAAATTCTTTCAGTTGGGAGACCCAAGTTTGACTTACATGTTACTGGAGGCAGGGTAGTGGCAGGCATCTGACCTGAGAAAAATCAAAATTAAAAAAGTCACCATCCATCGTGAAAAGCTCGTCAACAACTCTTTTAAGAACCATTTTTTGAAGACACTTTTTCAAAGGCAAAGTTGCATCAGGTAATTTCATCCTCTATACCACAAATTGTGTTTGTAAAACAAACAAAAAGGCACTGAATCAATAAATCTATTATTTCAACAGTTTCTAGTTTATAGCAGAGATTTAAAATAATTTTTAAAAAGGAAGATAAAGCATTCAAACAATCCAACGAAAGATACATTCAAAAGGGACAGAAGTTCATTTTTGCCTTAGACATAGATCCTGCTGGTATCAAACATTATCCGCTCCATTCACAAATACCCCCTCACCGGCAAAGAAAGCACAGTTGGGGGTGACCGCCCGACGCCATCTTGCCTGACTGCAATTTTGCCGCCACGCGCGGCCGTACCATGTACCACTGCGTGTACATAGTACAAATCCCCTGGTGTACGTGCGTCACACACAAGGAACGGTGCGCGTCAACCAGCCAAATGTCCCACCCATGGGACGTCGTTGCCTGGTAAAAGGACGCCCTCTTTTGTTGGTGCATGGAGCCCATAGGCCCTGTAACTTTTTATATTTGTGTGCTTGCAATGCTTACGGTCTCTCACAAAATAGATGGAGGCTCTGTTAGCAAAAATCCTGAACTTAGCAAAGATATGAAATTATAGGGTGCTGACCTTTAGGGAGTAAACACACAGTGTTACGCTTGTTGCCCTGGCAGGGTAAATCGTTCCATCCGTGGCCGTTGAAGAACATCTCAGTGCAGTCTTCACCGGATCCCGCGTCGTTGGGCTCCTTGGGGTTCTGATGCCAGTTGGTCCACTGCACCAGGCTCCCGTCCACCCACTCAAAGGCTGACAAAAATCAACAACAGATAATATAATCTTGAAACAACATTGTTCTCGGCAGAGTGGGAAATGGGGGGGGGGGATCGGGAAGGGGGATTGGGGGGGGGGGGGTCAACGGGGACCATGGTCCCTAAAAATGAACCCTGTTTTAATTTTTTTTTAAATGTTGCAAAAAAAGGCAGCCACTGCGTACTGCACCATTCAATTGAGCCACCAAGCACCAATGTCGCTTTTCATATCAAACTTGGGGCAACAAAGTTTTGGACCCACTTTTTCTTACAAACCAAAACGTCTCTTTCTTACATAATCATGGTGTTAATATGCTATTTTTGGCAAGGATGTTGCCAACTGCGGCTTGAATTTATGGCCTTGGCAGCCCATAAAAAATGATGCTCAGTGTTCTAAATGTCTTAGGCATCTCAGGATGGTTTCTCGGTGACTTCAGCCTGTGATCTTAATTTCATTGCAACTAATAAAACCTCTGTCCCTCTGTCATAGAGTCACAATGCCTAAAAAGTGTCAGCAACCGCTTCTGTGCTGGACATTGAAGTGCATTTTGCTTCCAAACCAAGCATATGTTTTGGAAATTTATTCCAACGTTTACCTCCTTCTGCTTTGCTATCATGGAAGCCAATCCAGTAGGAATCATCGGTGTCACCATTGCTACGAGAGAAACACAAGGAATAATACAATTGATTGTTGCTTTCTAAACAGAACTGACTTCAAGGTAATGGATGCCATTTGCAAACACTCCAAATGAAAACTGCCAAAACTTTCTGAAATAACCTGCATGACTGTAAGTAATATTGTATCGGTGACAAACCTGTGTTCATTACAAGAACGGAGTGCCCATCTCTCTTTCGAAGCGATTGGGCCAGACCTGAGTCCATGAAATGCTGCGGTGGGGGTCGCCACACCTCCTCCACAGCGAGTCTGTTACCTTCCCAGCATTAAATAAAGCCGGAACCCATTTAAAACCTGGGTTGAGAGGAGTAATTGAGGTAAAGCGCCTTACTCAAGGGCACAACACCCATGGCCACGGTGGGGCTCTTACCCACTATGAGAAGGTTTGGCGATCCCCCCACAGAAGCATTTCATAGACTCGAGTCAGGCTGGCCCAATCGCTTTGAAAGAGAGTCGGGCACTCCGTTCCTGTGAACACAGGTTTGTCCCCTTTACTTTGACCTTTACCTTACTGTAAGTAAATAATAAGCATCAGGTGCAATCATCGCACCTGGTATATGCTGTAATTTTCAATAAAGGAGGAATTATCATCATGTCCCAATGATGGCTTGAATCGACCCACCGTTTTGAAAAAAATGCCTTCTTTCAAATACTGCATTTGTTAACAGGCGTACTATATCACTCTCAAGGAACCTTCAATCTTCACTCCAATTCTGGTCTGTACTTACGCCAAGACGGTCTGCGCAACAAAATGGTCCTCTTCACCCTTGGAGTGGAAGCTGGTCAGGTGGGCTCCCATGTTGAAGCAAAAGTTCTCGGCTGACCAGAAATTCAGTTTGACATTTAGATTAAATGCCTGTCAGACAACGGTCAAGGAAAAGGACCAAAGGAAAAAATAGCGTCATTTTGAAAAAAAGACATGACGAAAAAAGGCTTTTATTTATGGATTTTACAAACAAAGAGGTTCCTCTATGAACAGACTGGTTCCTTGTGCCTACATCATATACCCTGAAAGAAGGGGGGGCAGGAACCAGTCAATCTCCGACAACTGAGTTATTGCTAAGGACTGTAAATCATTCAAATTTGTAGATGCAATTATTGAAAAACCGAACATTTTTTTTTCGTTCAATGTCTCATCCAAAAGTACAAACTTGAGTATTACTAGAAAACAGACATTGGATTTTTCAGAGGTAAAAGTCCAAAATGGCCGAGTTACAACTTTTCCGAATTTCTATCCTTACCTTCATGCAGTGAGATCCGTAACCGATCCAGCCCGGTGCGCAGTCGTCGTTTGTTGGCGTGGTCTGCGTCCCCTGCGTGACCTTGACGGTAGCGAACCCGCCCCTTGCCTTCTCGCAGACGTAGTAGAAGCTGGCATTGCAGTTGCCCACCATCCAGAGGCCGCTGGCTGTGCCGGCGGTCGCGTACACGCAACGCCCCTTGGACTCATCTGTGTAATGAATGAAAGCTCAAAGATAGTTGGCAACTATTAAGGGTCGCAATGGACCAAATAGTAGTAGGTGTGATTATATTTAACCGACATACAGATCCTTGTCATTTGATTGGTGGAACTCACATCTTGTGACATTCGTTATTGCTCCCATTCACGCCGCTGCTCAAAAAGTACTATCTGCCCATGGGGAATGGGAAATACTATTAAACAGTTACGATCATGACGCGGTATTTGCGTGCAAATTGCATTGCGCATAGCGCGTATTGTTCCAAAGAGTCAGCGCTACAGCGTTGGGTTAAAACATTTTCGTGAAGGGGTAGTTTGGAAGAGAGAAATACATTTTTCTCCAGTTTTGTATTGAAATAAAAGTTCAAGTATATCAAATGACAAGGATCTAAATGTCAGTTATATAAAACAAATATTGAGTGGCTTTAAATTGTGAAATGGGAGGAATATTATCACTCGGTAAAATCTTGACTTTTCCAGTTCACTCGGCTTCGCCTCATGAAATGGAAAAGTCCAGATGGCTCTATTTTGAGACACCTTGGAGCAGGTTTTACAATGGGAGACTTTTGAGATGTTGGTGCAGCACATCGGTTATTTTTCCATTGTTTGCATCATACTGAGCATGCGCCTTACCTTAAACATGACGTAAACATTTGAAAAGGACCAGTGTGTTTACTGCCACCAACGTTTCAAAAGTCTCCCGTTGGGCACGGAACAGCTCTTCAGGGATGCACAATTTGAAATTTCATCATTACAAATTGTGGTCCCCAACACTATTTCAGGTTCAGACCGAGAAACGGTCCCTTGCAAGCTGTGTTCTAGTAGTTCCCTTACACTAGTTAGTGGGGGTTGTGGGTTCGAGTCCAACGAGAGCAATTTAGTGAATTTTTGGGGGTTTTCAAACTCTCACTGAGAAATAAAACGCTTATAAATTTAGGAATGCAGGTGAAGGGCAAAACCAAAAATTGGAAATGTATTTTGGTTTAACCAAAATACATTTCCAATTTGGGTTTTGTCATGTATCAAAGTAAAACTTTGATGCATGACAAACATTTTCAACTTGGAGGACCTGAAATTACCATATGGACCAAATTGCCGTCCTCAAGTCCATAAATCTGACGGGCAATATTCGTTTCTGCTAAGCTGTTAATATACAAATATTGAGTGGATCAGCGTGCAATGGGAGGAATATTATAGCAAGGTCAGTAAAATCTGGACTTTTCCATTTCAAGAGGCGAAGCCGAGTGAACTGGAAAAGTCCACATTTTACCAAGCGATAATATTCCTCCCATTTCACAATTTAAAGCCACTCAATATTTGTTTTATATAACTGATATATCCTTGTAATTTGATATATTTGAACTTTTATTTCAATACAAAATTGGTGAAAAATGTATTTCTCTCTTCCAAACCACCCCTTCACGAAAATGTTTGAACCCAACGCTGTAGCGCTGGCTCTTTGAAACAATACGAGCTACACTGAACGCGCACACCAGCATGCATTTGCACACAAATACCGCGTCATGGAACAAGACTGATCCTAACTGTTCAATAGTATTTCCCATTCCCCAAGGGCAGATAGTCCTTTTTGAGCCGCGGCGTGAATGGCAGTAATAACGAATGACACGTGATGTGAGTTCCACCAATCAAATGACAAGGATCTGTATGTCGGTTATATAAAATGATATATTACACATTGGTTTGGAAGATACGTTCACATTCAGGAGACGAGTGCATACATGTACATTTGCCACTTTTGGCCATATAAATACTTACCGGGTTGTTGTTGTCCCCAGTTGTCGTAAGTGAACGTTTCTCCACTTTCCCACTCGTAGAAGCCCTTGATGTTGCGATCGTGCAACCCAATCCAGGAGTGCTTGTAAAAGAGCTGTTTGCCCATCTGCGATGTTATCACGGACTGCTCATACCTAGGACAACAGAGAATGTAGTGGATTCAGATCAGTGGTATACAGCAAAGATGAATTGACTGATTTTTTGCTTTATATAAAGTTAGGTAATTCGTTTTGCTCATGACCACAATGTGTGTGAATGCATATAAGCACCACTTGGACTAGCAGTATAGCCAGCGTTTTCACCATGGGGCCGGGGTGGGGGGGGGGAGGGCTGGATGTTACAATGGGGGCGCACAATTTCTGTACATCTGTGCTGAAAGCTAGACAGGGATTTTTCAATGGGGACGTGTCCGGGGGGCATGCCCTCTCCCCGCATATATTTTGAATTGTTGAGTCACATATATATAGTCTATTGTTTGCGGCCCCATTTTACTACTGTCATAACATTATGCAGTGGCTGAATCGGGGGGGGGGGGGGGGCATATGCCCACAAACTTGCCTTCAAAATATGGTCCTCAAATTTGATCAGAAATGTTTACATAAGTATCCCAAATGGTCTGGCAATTAAGTTGTTTAAAATCTGTAAACCTAGCCAGTACAGTCATAGCCACAACTCCAAGTTTCACCCTTTCGTTTGGGGGGGGGGGGGTTCTGCTATTAAATCAAGCAGTCCGTGTTGACATCAGGCATCATAAGTCAGTCACAAATCAATCACAAGCCAATCACAACTCATCACTAGTCAATCACAAGCCAATCACAAGCCAATCACACGTCAATCACAACGTTTCACAAGTCCGATCACCAGACATCAAGTGACCAGTTATCCATGTAAATTGTTACCAATGCTCATCTTGCTACTTGTTACTTAATTGTAATTTGACTATATAATCGTGACCTAAATTGTGACTGACTTGTGACTGGTGTCAAGTCTAGGATTATATCAAAGCGTACTTGTCAGTGATGACAACCAAGCCTCCGCCGTACGTTTGGCACATTGCCAATGCTGCGTCCCGCGTTGCTGCAGTCTGATCTTCAAACTTGTAGCAGGACTCTCCATATGGAATCCAACCCTTTTTATCATTGAATATCAATCAACAACAAACAAAAATGAACAAATAATCATATTTAAAGGTAATATACAACAATTGCTTTTACTGAAATTTAAAAAAATGGACAGATTTTTGAGGTAGTATTTTATGTTACACTTACCTGTTTAAAGGTTTGTGTTCATAGATGCTGGAAAAACTAAAGAAAAAATGCTCATAGATGCTGGAAAAACTAAAGAAAAAATGCTGTTCTTCAAGTCTGATTTTCGACCTGACTTCAGACGAAATGGAGTAAATGCACCCATTCATGGACGTGTATTACCGATTGCAAAGAAAATGTGGACTAACAATATTTGCAAAGAGTCAGTTTTTTCCATAGTTGGCCGACAAAAAATTCCACTTTTCTTGAAAATGACAGCACACCAGGTGCCACGATTGCACAGGATGCTTGGGACTTTTATTCACTTACATTCAAATAAGGTATTTCATAATAATTTGGTAGTTTTGGTTTCGATGTTTGCAAATGTTGTATATTACCTTTTAGCATATATATGCCCAAGTCATAATGTGGGTGTTACATGTACAAAAAGATACTGCTGCAAATTTATGAAAATCTAGAAAGACTGAAAGATTATGGGCCTATTCCATTGTACAAAATGGTGATTAATTACAATTTCAAAATTTAGAGAAGGACAGGCCCACAAGACATGACAAAAAGTTCAAATTTGACTGAAAGATGATGGCGGTCAATTAGTTAGAAAGCCATGATGGCGGTCAATAATTAGAAAGATGGCGGTCAATAATTAGAAAGATGGCGGTCAATAGTTAGAAAATAGTTAGATGATGGCGGTCAATAGTTAGAAAGCCATGATGGCGGTCAATAATTAGAAAGATGGCGGTCAATAGTTAGAAAATAGTTAGATGATGGCGGTCAATAGTTAGAAAGTCACCAGTTGGCACTGTTGCTCCTACCTGATCACAACCACTGGGGGTAATGGGAAACTGGGTGGGCCCCAGATCTTGTTTCTTCATTTTGCAGACGTAACGATGGAGGGCAGTACAGTCTGCGTCATTCCAAAAACCCTAAAACAAGAAATATTCAGAAAGGGACGTCAGTGAGGGCCAGCTGATTCCCTGTCCCTCAAGGAAAAAAATAGAATTGATTTCCGGCCCCAACAAATTATTTTATTGGTTGTCTTCATCCATTCTGCAAAGAGAAACATTTTCACATATTGGTGTCTCATCAGTACAAGGTCCATTTAGGAACACTCCGGCAAAAGGTCCCCATGCGTCAAATATTCTGTTGGAATTGTCAAAAGACGCAAACAATAAAATTGCATAATGAATAAGTAAATTCCCAGTTCATTGGAATAGCTTGTGACATAACTTGAAACTGGAGGATTTGTGATGGACTTGTGAGGACTTGTGTGGACTTGTGTGGACTTGGGGGACATGTGGAGACTTGTGGTGGAATTGTGGGGACTTTTGGGGACTTGCATGTGATGACTTAATTGTGATGACTTGTGATAACTTGTGAGGACTTGTGAGGACTTGTGGGGGACGTGTGATGACTTGTGGGGACTTGTGAGGACTTTGGGTGGACTTGTGAGGACTTGTGAGGACTTGCGAGGACTTGGGACTTGTGAGAAGTTGGGATGGACTTGTGAGGACTTGTGGGGACTTGTAATGGACTTAGTGAGGATTTGTGGGGACTTGTGAGGACTTGTGAGGACTTACATGTTGGGACTTGTGAGGACTTGTAGGGACTTGTTGGGTCTTGTGAAGACTTGTACGAATTGTTGATGGATTTGACTTCAACACTGGACGTCAATTTTTTTTCCAGAAAAATAAAGAGTTTACCAATAAACTTACACTGGTCCTCATTTCCCCGCAGTCCTCAGGGTTGCCCTGATAGTTGTTGGGTTCGCCTGCCCCCCAGTGGGTGTAGGTCACCTCGCTATCGTCGCTCCACTCGTAGGTCATGGACACTTTGTTGTCATTCAGCCCAATGTAGAAGTGGACGGAATCGTCCACTACGATAATGCAATAATACGATAGGGATGAAATGATATATGCCTAGCCCATGATAGGATGGTTGTTGCGTTACACACATTATGATACGGTGCACATTGCGATACAGATAAAATATGAAATAAAGAACCAAATACATATAGAACCATTCTTTTGTGTTTGTCTTGTCATTTTGCAAAATCTATGTGTACTTAACTGTTGGCTGCGGGAAATTGATGCAAACACGCAAATGTCTTCATTATTTCAATGATTATTTTCAATATATTGAAAACAACACACGGAACACACAATTGTTTATTTTTGGTCATGCATGTCTCTACATACATGAAATTCTGATTGATCAATATTGATACTTTTTAACGTTAAATAAATGTCAGTGGCATAGCCAGCAGGGGGAGGGGGGGGGGCCTCTGGGTTAAGGGGGGTACTCCCCTCTCCAAATATTTTGTAACAATTAAGTGCCTTATATTTCACGAGTGTCCTTTTTTCACTAGCACCCATTTTCTTCTTAACGTCATAAAAAGCGCAACTACTACTTTTGGATTTTATGGAAGCCGGGTGTCCTGCGAAAAAAACCTAGTCTACCTTTCAGCACGTATGAGGCAAGAACCCCTTCACGTCTACCTCTCCGATCAAAATGACCCCGCTACGCCATTGAATGTATTTAAACCATACATGATCTTTGTTTCAAAGATCTGTTTCATCCCTAGTACAAGCTCGGATTTATTATCACAATTATCAATCAAAAGTCACATCACAAGCCCGGTCAGAAGTATGGGAGGACCAAGAATGACAACGTGCAGACTGGATAAATTGTGATTAGTTTTTCCATGACTCTACCACAACCCTGAAGAATTGACAAGATTGACACAAAGAATTGTTCAACCTAGGTTCCCGGTTTATATTGGAAAAAAGATATCAAACTTCATTTTTTTTGGGGGGGGGAAGGTTTAATTCAACTTGTCCCAGAACCATACCCCCACACTCACCGCCCTGTGAGACGACACTCGTTACGAACGAGTTCTCATTTGCGTCCCATATTGACGCCAGATCGGCCCCTTTCAGACGGCAGTTCTTCCGGGCATCATCCCAAACCACCTCGTCCGACTGGGCCTGGTAGCAGTAGTCTCCGTAAGCTTGCCACTGGTCTTGACATCGGTAGGTGGGATCCACTGTTGCCGGGACGTCAGGGGGCGGTGCGTCACTTCCTGTGATGAGAACAGTGGAACAATGCATGATGGGAATGTTGGCCTAAACTGCTTAGTGACCACAGCTGGAGGACAGAAGTTGCTAGAACTGACTTGCCCGTTAGTTCTTCACACTGACAAGCTTTGGGCAATTGAATGATGATTTTTGGTTTGGCATTATAAATGAATCCTCACTATTCTGTGCAGAGAGTTTGCAGCAGAGGCCAGTATTTTCAGCCTTCTTTCCTGATATATCAGCATAACTTGCCGTAACACTCTCAAATGTCCCGAGGCTACGTTTTCCTGACTGAATGTAACATCGGTGGGAAGCTAATTTTTATTATTCAAGTTTAATTTTTTCATTAATTACCATATATCTCATTTTCATACATGTATTTCATTTAATGTCAAGTATATCGTGTATGCCTCTGTGGCTTTGGGCCTCTGGTGTTGCCCACTTCTGGTTGGGCCTGGTGTTGCCCATAACTGTGTTATGTGTTTGATAACATTATGTCCGTTCTCACATGTGAACTCCATTTTGTAATGTCTGTAAAATGTTCGTTGTTATAATGTATGCCGCTGTGGCTTTGGGCCTTTGGTGTTGCCCATTTCTGGTCGGGCCTGGTGTTGCCCATTATTATTACATGACAATAACAATTGACAATTCAATTAACCGGCTTGCCCTATCACTGGTATCCGGAATAAAACACTCCTCTGTGGCTGTGGCATATACACAATGATTTGTTTCCCATGTCCTTCAATTCAAGTCGGAGTATGATTACATAATACTGGATGGCTTTAAGGGGGATACAAGAATATAGGCCTATTGCACAAGCTATATAAATATGACAATGTTGCAAGAGTTGAAGATAAGTGCAATACCAATCAAATTTCGCGCTGCTCGAAGCTGCCATTTTGATTGTTGAAAACTGTCTAGTATACTCTGCTGCATGCTGCATGCAGGGCGGTATCTGGACTGTGGTACGTGAGATATCAGCACACTGTTGTGACTATGGATTGACTAATCAGGATCGAGGATTTAAGTTTGCTTGAAGAGACTGACTGATATACCTATAGCTCAGAAACACACTTCTATTTAAAAGTGAGTCCACACCGTGCATCAACCAACTTCATATACAATTTTAGCTCAGGGAATCCAAGGGGGGGGGGTTTATATCTCTCCCCCCCCCCCCCCACTTTTTGACAAGGGGGGATGGACTATTGAATCATCCCCCAAAAAACTTTTTCGTGACGAGAAAAAAAAGCGGTATTTTTCTAACATCCCAACAACCAAAATGTATTCAATAGCACTGAAAAGTGGAGAAACAAAGTACAAAAGCTTGGAAAATGCACCGTTTTGATGTCAGCGCGAGTATACATATTGATATACACCTATATCCTGAAGAGCGCCCCCTAGTGTAATGTATTGTCCAGCCCCGGCCCTCCCCCGCCCCCGGCTTTTCGAATTTCCACGGCCAGGCAATGTTTGGAATTTGATCATCCCCCATCCCCCCACTCGCCGGCACAGATTTACGCCACTGGTTTAGCTCGATTCAGGGATGAAACATATACAACGCAGCTGCCTTCTTTAGATCGAGCTTAAGTTCTGACAGTGTCAACTACTCACTTAGTTAATCCAGTGGTGTAACTATTGATAAATTTTGTTAGGGGCAAGGGCGGATCCAGGGGGGGGGGGCCAAAGGGGGCCATGGCCCCCCCCCCAAAAAAAAACCCACGACATCGCAATAAAGGCAGGCAATGAGTACACCACCATCTTTTCCTAAAAAAAAATTGGTTAAAGTGGTCAGAAATTGCCTCAGATCGCACCACAGAGCATCTAGAATCCAAAAAAATTTCGGGGCCCTTAAGCGGGCCCTGAACCCCACGCCGTAATTTTTTTGACCCACTTTTTGGGGGGACCAAAATTTTTTTGGCCCCCCCCCCCCGAATTGTGTTCTGGATCCGCCCTAGGTTAGGGGGGGGGGGGGATTTTTTTGTTGAAGTTTTTCAGGGTTGTTTTAATGACAATTGTTAACACTTACTCAGTTGGTAATAGTCCTTGTCTGCATCTGTCTTAAGACCCCCGGCAGAGTCTTTGGTAGTGTCCAATAATGAGCACTCCTTCAGGGCACGATCGTAGTTGAACGCCACGCATTTATAAAAAGAGTTGTCAGAGTAGACGCAAGAGTAAGCGCACAAGTCGGGAAAAATGTCAGGAACCACCACTGCGGGTGTGACTTGCAGATACCTGTTGGGGTACGTCGAGAAGTGGGAAACGATGTAACCTATAACACACAGAAGAAAATAAACCACAAACAAATTAAAAAGGGACATAGGAATCGGTGATGACATGGAAACGAAGCTACTGATTTACTAAGGGAAAAAAAGCAGAAAAAAAACCTCGATCAAAGTGAAGAAAGCACAGGTACCAACTAATCTGCGAAATTATTCCACCTCAAATGGTATCATATTAGGAAGGAAACAATTAACAATTGAAGGTGCTTTAGAGTAGGAAGTCCTTGGGCACTTTGTTTGGTATAATTTGATGATAATTAATTCCCATGTACTAGGACCTTGATGTCACTTATACAAATCGGCTGACTGAGATTCATGTCTCGAGTGTCGATTTAGGTTTTGCACATGAGCGGGTGAAATTCAATATAGGATACTTTTGAGTCGAAAGGGCTCGTAATGGAATCCACATTAAGGTAAGGTAGATCATTTATCATTGGTGCATATTTTTTCCGTTTGAAACAACAAAAGTGCTCAAAATCTAAAGAAGGGTGCTTATCAACTACTCTGATGACATTTCAGCTCATTGAATGATTTATATTTTGAGAAAACAATATTCTACGATCTCAATTTTAATTCAGAAGTTGTCGAGTCATGTTTTGAATTGCGCCCAAAATCAGTATCCAGGAGTGACAGGGACACGTTCTCATTCAACTGATTGCAGCTTTGCGATGTCACGCACTGAAATGACTAATAATAGCATATCACACACGTGTGTGAATGTTTGCGCGCACCCATTTACCGATTCCCAGAATTACGAACCAACTACTAACTGATATTTCCAAAAATGCGTCACTTGATGCATTTTTGGAGAGAGCCCCAATCAAGCAGGCATTGTGTAGTGTTGAAAATGTTCCAAGGTTCAATCAACAGTCCGAATCTATAGCACTGAACGTTATTGTCAATTCAGAAATTTCAACGTAGTGTGCTTTCAGATTAATGAACGTTCGGACTAATTAACGTTATTCTAAATTCAGACTGTTGAGCCTTTGGACAAATGAACCTTTGGATTATCGAACCTTCGGACTAAGGAACCTTCGGACTATTGCTACAAATGCAAGGATTAACTAACCTGATCTCATTTTTCGGACTAATGAACCTTCGTGTTCGAACCTTCGGACTATCACATCAAATGCTAAGATTAAAAAGTCTTACTTAATTTTCGGACTAATGAGCACGGTCATTGGAAAAATTGTGTGTTTGGAATATCGAACCTTCGCATCAATGAACCTTCGGACTACTGAACATTAAGACTATCAAGCGGACCTCGTTAAAACCTACCATCTTTTTTACACACGTATCCCATGGTATTGGAGCAGGAGATATCATTCCACAGTCCGTTACTTATTTTCAATTCAGTGCAGTGTTCTCCTCCGGTCCCCCAATTATTGGGCTCACCTGACAAATAAAGACACAAAAAGTTTGAAAATATGTCTAGTCTGCTGTAAAACATGAATCTAATTTTCATGCAATTACTAGACAAATTAGTCATCCTCCGGAAAACTCAATTCCAAAATTGTATCAAATTTTTTCCCCAGGTACAACTTACGCTTTGTTCCAAAAATGGTGAAACTCTGTTTTTTCATTCTAAGGTGATGTTCTTCTAACTTCAACTTCTAATAAACAGAACAAAATGTTTGTTCTAACAATAATTACAAATGGAACTATAAACTACAAAACACTAACAGAAATGTGTTCGAAAAATCACTTGTAATGGACTCGATAACAACACTGACAGCTCGTACCAGTGCTCTTCCATTCGGCACTAGTACGAGCAAACTTCGAAGGATAAATGGATGATTGATGAGTTCGTACCACTCGCCCAATTGAGAAACTTGAAGGGTGACCCATTGCTCCATTCCCAGCCGCCTTCTGACGACAGGTCATTGGCACCGAGCCAAACAACCGTCTCCGTGTTCAGAGCCAAGCGTGCTGTTTTAAAACAAAACCACCAACTGTAAAAGTTAGGCGGGAACAAGTATACAATCTGCAAGAATTTTTTAATTTATATTTTTTTAAAATTACCAAACGACAGTACTTTTGTTTAACAACACTCACCATAATTGACTGATCTATTTAAAACTCGCCCCATGGTATGTTGACTAATCCGTGGCAGTGGCATAGCAAGATCAATTTGATTGGGGGCATAGACATGAAAAAGGGCACTAGCCTTGTCCGTGCTGACAGGTAGACTGTTTTTCACCGCGGTCACCCGGCCTCAGTAAAATCAAAGAAAATCAAAGGAGGGTGTGGGGCGGGGGGGGGGGGGGGGGGGGGGGGAGGGGGTGGCTGAACACCATCTTCTCAGGGGGGCGCTGTTCAAAGCAGACAATCATGGGCTCTATTGGACAATAGGTGATGCCACAATTGCCAACATTTCTGCCACGTTGAAAAAAAGTCACTCGTGCCCTTTCTTTTTCACAAGTGACCTTTTTCCGAGTACCCTTTGCTCACGAGGGATCTTCTTCTCATGAGCGACTTTTGTTCACGAGTGACCTTATTTTTACGAGCGCCCTTTTTTCACAAGCCCCTTCTCCATGAGTGCCCTTGTGAAAAAATGCAGAAAAAAGGGCACTCGTGAAAACAAGGGCACCCACAAAATTGGGACGTTGAGGGGGGGAATATCTCAGTAAGGCAGGTATTTACCCCCCCCAAAAAAAATATTTTGTGACTGCCCTTTTTTCATGAGTAAGCCCCCTGTTAGCTACGCCACTGCATGAGTGATGTCCAACATGCAAGCACAAAAATCTGTCATGCTCACAACATGTACATGATGCACACAGCAGGAACATGCAGTGTGGTGGTGTTGCCCTTTTTTGCAATGGGTGGGGCCTAATGGCTCAGCCTATAGGGTACCAAAGTGAGAAGTCAGCTGCCACTGTTCTGGTTCACCCCGGTTTGCGTGCTGATACAGACTTAAGCCCGGTTCATACTTCACGCGAATGCGAATGCGAAGCGAATTTGACGTCATGAAGCATTCGCTGCGAAATTCGCCCGAGTTGAAATATGTTCAACTTTTACGAATTCGCAGCGCGAATACTTGCCACGGCGACACAAATTCGCGTTCGAGTATGAACCGGCGCGCAAGTAACAGAATGTGCAGCGCACTTCAGTACTCTATTGGAAAATGCTATCACTAAATCGCAGACACCCAAAATGCACAAGGGGTAGTGGCATTTTTTTTTTTAAGAAAATGTTTTTATTTGGTAGAGCAAGGAAGGTAAATCTTTAACCCTAACAATCCAGAATCCTCTATATTTTAATATTTTCATATAGTTTATTTTTATAACATGCTATAGGGAGTTGGGGTTGAATCAAACCACTGACCATTGAGGTACGTCTGCTCTGACAGTGTAGTTATACTGACGAGATCGCCGCCTCCCGTCTGGCACAGTTTCCTGGCATCCTGCCAAGTTTTGAGGTCACCGGGTTTGAACAGGTAGCACTGCTTGGAGGTCGGGTCGTACTCCCAACCCGTGCCGCAACGGTCGTTAAATACGGCTGCGAAAACGAATAAAGAAACGTCAATGCGAGTGAGCAGAAAGAAACCACAATGGCTGGTATGTATCATGACAGTGTTGTAGTCCAGTTGACATAAGTCGTCACAAGTCCTCACAAGCTATCACAAGTCATCAAAAGTCCTCACATGCTATCACAAGCTATCACAAGTTATCGCAAGTCCTCAGACACTATCACAAGCTATCACAAGTCCTCACACACTATTACAAGCTATCACTAGTTATCACAAGTCCTCACACGCTATCACAAGCTATCACAAGTCATCACAAGTCCTCACATGCTATCACAAGCTATCACAAGTCATCACAAGTCATCACAAGCTATCACAACCTATCACAAGCTATCACAAGTCATCACAAGTCATCACAAGCTATCACAAGCTATCACAAGTCATCACAAGTCATCACAAGTCATCAAACACTATCACAAGATATCCCAAGGCATCACAAGCAATCACAAGCTATCACAAGTCATCACAAGTCATCACAAGCTATCACAAGCTATCATAAGTCATTACAAGTCATCACAAGCTATCACAAACTATCACAAGTCATCACAAGTCATCACAAGTCATCATAAGCCATCACAAGTCATCACAAGTCCATTTACATCAACTGTGACAAAGGCATTCATTTGTTATCACTCATCCTTTGTTACTTGTGTCCGGACTTCAGAGCTGACTGGTGATTTACTTATGACCAGACTTGTGATTCTGCTTTGCTGAAGTGCATCTTGGGACACAAGTGACATTTTTTTTGTAGGTTTTTTAGTGACACAAGTGATTCTAAAATGGAATTTTAAGTTCTTGCAGTAAATATAAATATAAATGCTGCCTTATATTTTGCATAGCCATATTAAACACCAAACAATTATGGCCGGAATTTGAAGTGTCAATGGAAGTGCTATATACATCAGTTCAGGCTGATGCGTTATTGACTTATGACAGAACAGTGAGGCGTAAGATCTCTTGACCCTTCCGTTCCCTATTTTTGCAACTTTAGTTTTGTGCTGACTGAAAGCAAGCAATGAAAGACCCATCTATTGCTACTTTTGTCTTCCTTAAAGTCATGAACTGAACATTTTGATGTGCCCTGTTAGGCTGTTGTTGAAGTTGCAAAACCAACTTGTTAAAAAATGTCAGTTATTAAGATCAGTGATGCCATTTGCAATTTGCAATGAATACTCTTTGAACGGGAACACTTTAGGGACTTACGTGTGGGTGGTGGCTTAGGTGTCACTGGCGGCCCAGTACCTGTGCCAACAGAAAACATTATGATCAAGATTTATTCAGTTGCGTACCGGGGTGACAATAGGGGTTGGTCAAACCTCAAAAGTGTTTGTTATCAAGTAGACAGAATAACTGGTATAAGAGTTGACACATTCAAAGGAAAAGGCATATACGATAGGGCAAAGGCAACTACGATATGAATGTAGAAGGGTGGATAAATAAAATGTGAGGGGTTACATTGGTAAAATAAAATTGTGAGGGAGGGGGCAGAGAGGTTAAGAGGGAGGAAATGATGGTAAGGGGAGGGGTAAAGAAGGAAAGGGGTGGGGACAATAAAGGAGAGTGTCAATGAAGAACAGGGGAGGAGCAATGATGAAAAGCTGAGGGGAAATGAATATAACGGGAATGGTAATGAAGAAAAGGGGAGGGAAATGAAGAGAAGGGGTGGGGCAATGAAGATAAGGAACAGGGCAATGCAAATAAGGGGAGGGGCAATGAAGGTAAAAAGGAGGGGCAGTGAATGTAGGGGAGGTGAAAAGTAGGTAATGTGAGGGGCAATGGATCCAGAGGCAAGAGGGAAACCATGGAAGGTCAATGAAGGTATTGAGGAGGAGCTAAAGTCAAGGGGGAGGAGGTAAGGTAAGAGAATGATTAAGATAAAGGGAGGGGCTAAAGGTAAGGGGAGGGAGCATGAATGTAATGGTAGGGGCAATAAATGTTGGGGAGGTGCAACAAGGGTTATGAGAGGAGCAATAGAGGCAAGGGAGAAATGAAAGTGGGGGTGGGGGAGGGCAATGAAGATTGGGGGACATGGAGGTAATGGGGAGGCAATGACAGCCAAGGGAGGGGCAATGAAAGGGGAGGGGGTAAACATTACCTGCTATCTTTTTACAGATGTAACCACAAATTGTGCTCCCGCACGGCAAATCGTTCCACATCCCTTCCTCAAGTTCTCCGTACCGGAAATGCACGCACCTTTCATTATCACCATTACCAAAATGGTCCGGTTGTCCCGGGGCCCAGTATTTGAAGTTATACTGCAAACGTGGACAAGAAAAACATCAGGTAGAAGCAGTGTAGAAGTCAATTCCTTTAGTATACCCCTTTCTCTTGCCAAAGATTGTTGGGGAAGCTAGGGGGTTGTTGTCAACCCTTGAAATGGAGATATCATCTGACTGCTTACTAAAGTGTATCTTATGTGTAGCAGCTTGGAAAGGGGGGCGCTAATTGTCCCCTCTGGAAAAGCCACCAAAAAAAAGGGGGAAAAAAAGAAAGAAAAAGAGGTGCGAAGTCATATTGCTTTTCATTGTGAGAAAAGTACTGCTACGCTGACCTGATTCCCCCGAGACAACCTAACTCCCCTAAAATGAAGTGCTCTCTGCAAATCTTGCACGAATTCCATGCCACCAGTGAACCTGGGAATCACGAAAGCTTTAAGCACGCGTGACTGCTGCTACCATGTTTGACTTTAGGACTGGTAAATGATGTGCGAAATAAGAGAGACAAACATTTGCAGACTTAGATCGTTTTGGAGACCAATGGAACGTACCGTGGAACCGTCCTCCCAAACAAAGACATTTGATGTTGTTTTGTCGTTCAGTCCAATCCACAGGTAGACTTGCAGCATGTAAGTCCGCACTGAAATGGAAACCAACATAAAAAAAACAATAAACTATCATTGAAAAACTGTTATTGATAACATGCAACTCGCACGTCTTTAGTTGTCCTTCATCTGAAATGAAAAGTGTAAACATAATTACAAAATAATTTGATGTATAGTCCTACATTTATAGTTTTGTGTGTTTATTTTGGGGTACATTTTGAGAGTTGTAAAGATTTTAAGAGTCAGAAAGTTTTACTGCCACTCCAGGCTACCTTACATGTTTGGGTTTTTTTGGTAAGGAGGGAATGTTTTGAAATTGGTAATTTTTAAAAACTGCAGTTTCAATTTCAATAACCCTCCCAAGACCAAACGCTGGATTTGTCAATCGACAGGGTAGCACTGAGATCTGTGCCACCCCAGGTGCCCCCCCCCCCATTTAAAATCTTGAATTGCACAACAATAATATCCCAGTTGCCTTCAGTGCCCCCCCCCCCCCCCCCCCCCCCCCCCCTGAAAGATTGGTGAACCCCAGGTGCCCCCTACAACTTTAATAATTATAATAATAATAATAACTCTTATTATAGCACTCTACAAAAAATGTCTCAAAGCGCTTCACAAATTTTAAAACTATAGAGGAGAGAGGTAGTTAACAAAAAGGACCCTAAATTCCTACCTAAAAACACAAAATTTCAAGAAAAGAACAAAAACATTACAACTTAGACTTAAAGGGAAGATATAACATTTGCTGATAACAAACTGATCAAATTACCAAAAAATTCTTTCCTGGACCGTTAGGGAATGAAAAAGCATCCTGTACAATCATGGCTCCTGGTGTGCTGACATTTTTAAGTAAGTGGTATTTTGTATCAATTTCCAACACTGGTCGGCCGACCAGCGTTGGAGAAAACTTTTTTTTTCTTCAGAAACTGCTCCTAGTTTTTCATATTAGTTATTCTGCATTTTGTTTGCAATTGATTACACACCTGTGGAGGGGTACAAGCCAGCTAGACTGATTCTCTGAACTTATAATTCCCCGTTGCAACGTCTATAAATTGCTTTGTTTTATCTTAAATGGGGTCAGGGAACCAGACTACAAGAACATGATTGATTTTCTTGGTTTTCCAGCATCTATACGAACCCAAAACGTGAAACAAGTCAGTGTTACAATATCTGCATTAACATACTATTCCTCCAAATCCATTTATTTCTGAAAATTACAGCAAAAGCAAATGTTGTACATTCCCTTTAAAAACAGTAAAAACAGCTGGATAATTTAAAAAGGGAGGCAACCATAAAAAAAAATTTAAAAAGAAAGAAAGAAAAAAAAACAAACAATAAGTTTAACCCTAGTTAAAAAACAACAACAACTTTAACCCTAGTTACGCCCCTGGACGGGGGTTGGAGGGGTTGAACCCTCTCCCTACTTCCCTATTGCAACGCTCATGACTGTTATGAACAATAGTCTCACAAGCAGAATTAGGGGAGAAGGAATTAAAACAAAACAGAGAGGACCTACTTGACAAATAAGACTGTTCGTCACTGTCCAAGATGCTCGTCAGTTTAGAGCCTTTGTCCTCGCAGGCCTTCTTGCCCACGTCGTAGGTGTCCGTCTTGGTCTCAATGTAGTAGCAGTTGCCATTGAAGAGATTCCAACCGTCATCGCAAGTTCCGATAGCTTCGGGGTAAGACGGCAAAAATCAGCAGCGATAAAAACAATTTGCATGGACTGCAAAACTGTGATCAAGTTCTCTTATGAAGTCAATCAAAACTGTTCTGTAGGCCCTAGGCACCTGTGTTTTGTAGTCCCTACTCCCATGGGCGTCGCCAGGATTTTTTCTAGAGGGGGGCAAAAAAATTTTTTGCCAAAAAATGCTTGTATTTCTCAACACATTCTCGATTTATCAGTTTTAGAGGGGGGGCAGGGACATTTCCCCCCCCCCCAACTCATTAAATTTACACCACTTTGTCTTCGCGCCTCTTTTTCTTTTCTTTTCTTTTTCTTCCTTTTTCTTTTCTTTTTTTTTTTTGCTTTTCCAGGGGGGGGGGGGGGGCAAGTGCCCCCCCTTGCCCCCCCCTCGCGACGCCCATGCCTACTCCTGCTAGGTACCTGCAGCACCTATTTCACATTGGGCCCAATTTCATAGCGCTGCTTAACAGCCAACTTTGTGCTTACCGAGCCTCCATCTATTTCATAAGGACTGTTAAGCAGTAAGCACAGCAAAAGCATGCTTAACCCCATACGTAACAATAGAAATCTCCAACACGCAACCGTTAGCATGAAATAGTGCTTAAGCAGCAGCATGATTTTCTTCTATAGTAAGCACAACTTTTCTGCTTACTGTTGAGCAGCTGTATGATATTGGGCCCTGGTGGTAAGCACTGGAGCCTCACAATAAGCAAGCAAGGGCAAACAGGTAGCTCAAACATTCTGTTGGCACCGTGTGCTTCAGAACGACAATTTTTACACAAATTCTATGCAGCATACATCAGCGTCAGTTGGTGAAATTTAAAATTCAGAGGGACGATAAAACTTAAAACAAACTTTTCTTGTGTGTGCATTTGTTTATGGTGTAAATCGAGGACCCACACATGCAACATCGAGGACAGGAACCAAATCGAGGATGACCTCGCTTAGAAAACGTGTTCAAAACCAATGAGAGCTGTTGCGAAAAAATTAAAATACAAACAAAGGAAAAGGGAAGAGAAACAAAAAAAATCCTAGATTTACACCATAAATGAATGAGCTAGTGTATGATGAGTATGTAAACACTGGCAATTGTGGACCTAGAACAAAAGGGTTAGGGTACAAACAATATACACACAATTGACTGATAGTCCACGATTGAAATTTGTGTACAAAACCAATGAGAGCTGTTGCTAAAAAGTGACAAAGGAATGAGTATTATCAGCGACCAGGCCTCTAACTGGTTTAAAACCAGACGTTTCAAATGGCATCCCCAACAAGGTTTCTATATTTTAAACACTGCACATTCTACTCAGGATACATACGTGTGGTTGGATCAATAGGCCAGACTTTTTCACCTGTGAGTGGATAAAATTTAAATAAAAGAAAAGAAGAAAGGTTTAAATAAAATGTGGCAGCAGGAAAATGTGTGTGCCACGTGAAATATCACACTTTTTTTGGGGGGGGGGGATGTGGCAGCAGGAAAATGTGTGTGCCACGTGAAATATAACACTTTTTTTGGGGGGGGGGGGAAAGAGGTACAGGTGGAGGCGGAGTTGTCCTCTAAATGCTTTATTTCAAACAAACGAAATGTGTTCCTATTGGCAGGGCAGTGAGTAGGTCTTTTCCAAGTTGCTTAAATACCAAGTCCGGATCCAGAGGGGTGACACAATTTTGGTTCCCCGAAAAAAGTGGGTCCACCCCAAATTGAATATGAAAAGCAAGGGGGAGGGGGCAAATGTGTTACTTTAGTTGAGTTTTGTGGGTAATGTATGCAGTGGCTGCCTTTTTGCGACGTCACTAAAAAAAGGGTTATTTTTTTTGGGGGGGGGGGATGGCCCCCATCGGCCACCCCTGCTCCGCCGTTGTTTAATACCCGTAACTTTTTTTGCTTGTCCAGAGTGCCAGCCTATAGGCTTTGTGCACAAGTACCCCTTCAACGGCCAGAAAAGGAGAGTTGGAGGAGACCTAGACCAGTTCCTGGTCAATCCACTGCATATTTTGAATTATCTAAAGTTATTGGGGGAGGGGATTAGTCTCGGAGACCATCACAAGTAAAATTCGAACGCATTCGCGTGCTGACGATGCCTGATGATCACGCGAAGATGCTGTGGCTAATAGCTTTGGCACATTCAGGAAGTTGCGAGTACTTCGCGCACAAACCAGTAATGTACTGTACATTACGCACACCATGTGTGTCTTGTCCACAGGGCTCTCAAAAGTGCTACAAACGCGCCCTCTTTTGTTGGTGCAAAGACCCCATGGTCCTCTTTGTGCCTCGCTGATCTCACCGGCTGACTGTCGCTTGTGAGTCGGCAGTGCTATTGCACAGGATAACCCAGTTATGCCAATGAATTGTCGTCAATTTAGCTCATCGTGCGCACTATACTCCCAAGGACAATGCTTTGTGTTTCCCTTTGTCCCTGTTATATAACACTCTCCCATAGACTAAGTACACGAACCTACTACAGAGGACCGTTTTGAACAAAAGACCCAACGCCCGAGGACTGAAAGGATCTGTTGTTCTCCCTTTGTGTGTGGGTCCTCGGGGGTTATGTACATGTAGAACACGTACACATCAGATGCATAAAAAGACTTCCAGTGAATAACCAAGAATGATCATTTTGTGGGTTCTGGGACCAGCTTTATTAATGTTGCCTTTTCTTGTTTTCTAAGGAAAGGAATTCGCATATTCTGCACTTTAGACACTGAAATACTAAAATTTTTGGTTGGCCAACAAAAAAAATAACTTAAAAACTGTATTTCATAATACTCACCAGCCTTAATTTTACAGATGAAGGACAGAACTTCATAGCAGTTGCCCGTGTTCCATTTACCCTGGGCGTCAGCTGGTAAAAGAAGAAAATGTGTCATAAATCATATTAAAAATATCTACAGATTAAGAATGTGACAAGATGAGTTGAGATATTAAACCGGTGATTACTTGAGGTTTACCGCTACCTCGAGGTAAGTTTACAGGTTTTACAGGGTAACTTGGGGTTCAACCTCAGGTTACCACTTGTGCACTAACATTGGTGTTTCCCTCGCAAAGTATTTTGTACAAATAACCACAGACCAATTTCATGGAGTGGCTAAGCTCAGCAAATACTGGCTACCAGCCAACATTACATAAGACATATTCTGTTTATCACTAGTTCTCTGCTTCTTTTTGCTTAGCACAACATTTTCTAAGCAGTAGTTTCTGCTTTTAGAGTATATCATTTACAGCTATCCAAAAAGTAACTGGCAAAATTATTGTTGAAAAGCTTCCTTGGTTTAAAGATAGTAATGGCACTTAATTCCCTGTGAAATTATTACTTCTGGATTACTTTAACTTTAAGAAAACAAAAAAAGACGCATATTTGGAATTGGGCGAATCCGTGAATGGCCGGTTGTTATGTTTTGCCAGTTCAGTGCCTGACATCGCGTAGCTGCAATCGGCTGAATGAGAACATGTTCCAGATGCTGATCACGGGCGCAATTCAAAAATGACTTGGCAACTTTTGAATTTGAAATCAAGATCCTAGAATACTGTTTTCTCGGAATATACAGCATTCACAGAGCTAAAACTTCATCAGATTAGTTGTTTAACACCCGTCTTTAGATTTTGAGCACTTTTGTTGCTTCAAACGAAACAAATGCACAAATGACAAATGATCTACTCTACCTTTAACCCAGATCAAATTTGCAATCAGCACAGTTAATTAAAGTAGACAACAAGAATGTCTCAGTGAACTCACAGGTATCGTAGAAGCCACAGTCTGGGTACCCCACTCTATTTGATGGCCCATTGGGTTGCCAGTTGTTGTACTGAGATATGGACGTGCCATCGGACCATTCAAAAGTTCCATCAGTCTTGAAATCTGTCAAAAATCAAATAAGATTTTACTTCGACTGGATTAAACACAATTTCTTTTAACAAAAAAGGAAATGGGGACACTTATTTAAAGTGCAAAGAATTCACTCAGGTTTGCTAATTAGGTGACGTTTAATTAGGATAATTTTTATTCAGAAAGTAAAAGGCCATCGTTTACAAGTTTAAACTAACGACACATTAAAAGATTGTCGTGATCTACCTGTCAATTTTGCATGTGGATATCCACATCTACCTCACCGAAATAATTAAGCATCGGAACACACCGCCTACCTTAAAATCCCAGCTGATACCCAATTGAACCCTGTAACACATTGGTTATTCTTCCTGAAGCACCCATCCACACCCAGATGGTACCCACAATAACTTCCACATAATACATGTACCCAATTGAGCCCCTGCACCACATTGAGTTTCCTAGCTGAAGCACCCACCCACACCCAGTTTATACCCACTTGAACCCATTGATCACCCTGTGTTTCCTACCTGAAACACCCATCCACACCCTGTCAATGTTCAGCTGATCCAGGCTAGCAAGTTGTTTCACAATGAAGGCATTCTCATCAGCACTGCAATTCAAAGCAAAAACAAAAATGCCTTTTTCAAAAAATGATATAACTTTGTAGACATGTCACAAACACTGACATGTCTACAAAATTATATATCATTATGAATTCGCAAAATACATAAACAGCAATATATTATCTATCAATAGGACAATCCGGGCAGACTATCAATTCTGCAGTTGTAATGACTCGAGTTAATCATTCGACTCAAGTCGACTCGACTTGATTGCAACGGGTAACTGACTCGAGCAATTTCTTAAGACCTCCGGCTAAATGTAAGTTGGAATTCCGACTAAATGTACCCGTATGTCCTGCGATGAAAACAATATTTAGATATATTTCTATAGTACCAGAAACACTTTCATATGTTTCAATTTGGTTTTGACATTGTCAGTGTAAAAATTATACCAGATATCCAAACCCAAACAAGAGATAAAACTGAAGTTTTACTTCTGCTTTGCATTCCTTCATCCATTCAGTAATATTATTAGAAAGCGTTCAAATATCACTGACTCGAACTGACGCGACTCGACCAAGGGCGGATCCAGAACACAATTTTTGGGGGGGCCAAAAAATTTTTTTTGTGCCCCCAAAAGTGGGCCAAAAAAATTACGGCGTGGGGTTCGGGGCCCGCTAGGGCCCCGAAAATTTTTTGGATTCTAGATGCTCTGTGGTGCGATCTGAGGCAATTTCTGACCACTTTAGCCAATGTGTTTTGAGGAAAAGATGGTGGTGTACTCATTGCCTGCCTTTATTGCGATGTCACATAAAAAAAAAAAAAAATTGGATTCGTTTTGGGGGGGCCATGGCCCCCTTTGGCCCCCTGGATCCGCCCTTGGACTCGACTCGAGTCAACGTTCTGGACCAAATGACTCAACTTGATTCACTTCCTTCAAATGACTCAAATAGACTTGAGTCACAACGTGTTATAACTCTGCAATTCTATGGGCTCCATGCACCAAAAGAGGGCGCCCTTTTACCTAGCAACGACGTGCCATAAGGGGGACACATACGTTTCCCTGGTTGACATGCGCGCACCGTTCCTTGTGTGTCACGCACGTACACCAGGGAATTTGTACATGCTTAGATTCACCTACATATCATGCAACCCTTCCCTTCTCAGCAGATATGTAACCCAAGACATAGAATTTTTGTGTAAGCCCACAAGTACATGGATGGATTCTACCTTTGGACATTGGCTAAGAAGGCCCGGTGGGCCTCGCAGGTTGCCTTGGCAACCCCCAGGTCATCGGGGAATTGGTGTAGATGTTGTAGCATTGGCCGCCATGGATACGCCACCCTGGAGCACAGGTCCCTGGCGAAAAACAAAAGGACACATCGGAGAATCATGAAAATCCTGATTTCATTCCATTGTTTACAATTGACTGCATGTGGAATCTCATTGTGGTGGCCATGGGGTAGAAATGACCCCTTTTTTTAAGGCAATATACAACGATTGCAAATACATAAAAAAAAAACTACCAAATTATTATGAAATATCTTACTTGACTGTAAGTGATTAATAGTTTTAAGCATCCTGTGACATCATGGCACCTAGTGTGCCGTCAGTTTCAAGAAAAGTGACATTTTTGTATCAATTTCCAACAATGGTCGGCCAACCATCGTTGCAAAAATTGACTTTTTTTTCAAATACCAAATTGCCAGGAAACTTGGAGAAAAAAATCCCCATTTTTCTTCAAGTCATTCAATATTTCAATTTTCAAAAGCTGTCCACACCTTTTTTATATATATAAATGAAAATATTTTACCTGTCCTCTGGTGAAACACATTGGCTATCAGAAACAAAATATGCTGATTTGCGGGAACAAAAATGTCAGGATATCAGTTAAAACAAAAAATGGAAGGTCCCACTTTCACATTGTGTTATGAAATTTTTTCAATTTTTCAAGACAGTTTGAACTGTTTAAAGTTGAACTCTTACTCTTTAGGCCTATATGGGTCATTTTTTTCAAGTGTTTGTTTGTTTTGTTGTTGCCTCTTTGCCCTTATTGGCTTTGTTTTTCTCCCTCATCAAAGGATTTTCAAGAATCCTTGGCTTTATTCAATAGTCAAACTGTAAAAGGCTTGAAAAAAACATCCATATTCCTTACCCTTGTCTTTCTCACAGACGAAGCTTCTCTTGCTCGTGCAAGCCGCTGTGGTCCATTTCCCGTCAGCTGGGTTGTTCAAAATTTCAACGCAGTTGCCTCCACTTGTAAAAAAGCTTGAAAAATAATAGAGAAAATATATTACGTCGGGCTAACATCCACAACCTTCAAGGCGAGACTGGCAAACCATAAGCAGTCATTCAGATCCGAGAGCAAGAGGTCACAAACAGAGCTAAGTAAACATATATGGGACTTAAAGGACGAGGGGAAAGACTATGAAATCAAATGGGGCATTGTTCAGAAAGAACTGCCATACGTAAACAAGAGATGCAATTTGTGTATAGCAGAGAAGTACATAATCATATGTAGGCCAGATGTAGGTACACTAAATAAGAGAAGCGACATCGTCTCCAAGTGCAGGCATCGAGACAGGTGTGTTCTTACTTCAGTGACGTAAACGCGTACTAACTTCATGACGTAAAGCATGTAACGCGTGTGCGCGCTTGATTCGAAATAAGATAAGATGCTACTTGTATTCTATATTTTGTCATTCTGCTGATGAGTGCCTTATGGTAAGAAACAGTCTATCCAGAAGAGACATATGCCAAAGTTTGATTAGCTCATATTCTGAATTTATTGCATGAAAAAAAAAAAAAAAATATATATATATACAGCGCGTTCCAAAATAACAGCAACTTTTTTTTTTGCGAGGCTCTAGCGTCGGCAAGGAAACACTTACCGCCATTGTGTGTATACCATTTTAAAGCTTGAAATCTTAACTTTATCCCTAGCGAGTGAGTATTGATTTGATATTTAAAAGAGTTTTTAAATTATTCGTGTTCAAATAAAGGCATGTCGCAAACAAAGTCAACCGAATTCAAGGAAAATCGATGATGCGGTACGTCAGATGCAAACTCGCGTCAACAAGCTGTTGAAATAACAAAAACAAATTAGATCATTTATATTAAAACATATTGAACTTGAAATGAAGAACAATATCGTGAATGTGTTGAAGGTGCAGTCTGCCTGGATCAAAAAAAAAAGGAAACACAGAAAGTAAAAGGCAAGGAGACCAATACTGCACAAGTCAAAGACTCATGCAATATTTGTATAGCTCTTGCAATGTATACTGTATCCCCCTCGAAGCCATCCCATATCATATAAATATCTTTACCTGTTATCTGGCTGGCCCGCAGCCCAGTTTGTGTTGCTTCCAAGATTGGTATTATCCACCCAAGTATACTGTCCTTGGACATTCTTGATCTAAAGGTTCGAAGAATGAATTTTAAAGACAAGAATTTGAATACACTTGCAAGAAACATTGCAGATAAAAAGAAATTAGAGGTATTATACCACATTTGTAATTTCAGAAATGGATGGATTTGGGGGTTAGCATATTATAGTAAGTATTGTTACACCAACTAGCTGGCTTGCACCTGTTAACCGATGTGTAAACAATTGCAAACAAAATGTGGACTAACTAAATTTGGTTAATTTGGGGCAGTATATTTGAAAAAAAAGGTCAGTGTTTTTCCAATGATGGTCAGCCGACCATCATTGGGAATTGATTCAAAATTTCCACTTTGTTGAAAATGACAGCACACCAGGTGCCATGATTTGACAGAATACTTGAGACTATTATGCACTTACAGTTCAGTAATTAAGGTATTTCATAATAATTTGGTAGTTTTATTCTTTGATGTTTGCAAATGTTGTATATTACAATGTAAGGTACATTTAATCTGTGTCAGTTTGGCGTCAAGAGGGTCTTCCAGCTTGTACCAATAGTTGACAGTCACATCAAAATGACAGTCTATACGACCGACTTACTGACAGTCAACTAATTAGACCGACAAACAGCCCCTACCTGGTCGGTCAGTCCAATCAAGGTCTTCCGGCTAGTATCAAAAGTTGAAAGTAACATCAAAATGAGAGCCTCAGACCTACAAAAAGTCCACTAATCTGACTGACAAACAGCCCCTACCTGATCCATCTACCCAATCAAGAAGGTCTTCTATCTGGTATCAATAGTTGACGGTCATATCAGAATGAGAGCCTACGGGACTGACCTATAGACAGTCGATCAATCAGACAAACAAACAGCCCCACCTGATCTGCCAGTTCAATCCAGAAAGTCTCCTAGCTAGAGTCAATAGTTGATGGTCACATCACAATAACAGCCTACAGTACACGCCCTACAGTCTACCAATCAGACTGACAAACAGCCCCCACCTGATCCATCTACCCAATCAAGGTCTTCCAGCTAGTACCAATAGCTAACAGTCACATCAAAATGAGAGCCTACATGACTGACCTAGACAGTCAACCAACCAGACTGACAAACAGCGATTAACAGCCCCTACCTGATCTGCCAGTTCAATCCAGAATGTCTCCTAGCTAGAATCAATAGTTAACGGTCACATCAAAATAACAGCCTACAGGACTGAGCTACAGACAGTCAACCGATCCGACCGACAAACAGTACTGACCTGATCGGTCAGTCCAAGCCAGAAGGTGTTCCAGCTTCCAGCCACAGACATGGTCAGGATCATAGTCTGCTCGGCATCTGAGTGGATCTGAAGCAGGTCAGCCTCTCGATCCTGGCAGTACTGGCGGGCGTCGGCCCACGTCATGGAGTAGCCGTAGTACCTAAAGCAGCGCTCCACGCCCGTGGTCCAGCCATTGTCCTCGTCGCACGCCAGTGGAACGTCTGTCGTGAAGATGAAGAAATATTAGGTGAAGTTAATTTTTAATTGTTTTTTTTTTATAGGGGGCTACTTTCTACTTTTAAGAAGATATTCACAACCTTATCAAGACGTCGTTGTGGAGGGAATAACAAGAAGAATGTTAATGTAATCAACCATTAGCAAAAAAGATATTGCTTTTCATCTGAAATTTGTTCTTGTATTAAAGCTTAGGCCAAAAAAAAAAAGTCTCCGGTTTCTGGCATGGAGCTTGCCCAAAAAGTGGTGCAGCGCCACGGCTTTTTTTTTTTTTTTTACCTGACTTTTTTGCTTCAAATGTCGGCTGATGACTGCAAATGGTGTCCGACTAAACTTAGTGCAAATATATGGGAGTCCAGAGAGGCCACATAAAGCTTATTCTCGATCATAACCCCATCTAAAAACACGTTAAAATTGTGCAGCAGCAGGATTCCAGTCAAACCAGTGAGTTTGGCGGTTTTGAGACATCATCTTTCATTGAAAAAAAAACTTTTTCATTTTGCCGACGTGCATGGCAACGGCGACGCGCGCGCATACCAGAAACCGGAGACTTTTTTTTTTGGCCTTATCATATTTATTATAAACAGGCTTATGCTGACGACTCCGAAACAGCAAATTTGCAAATCTTGGTAAATCTCGTTTATTTATTTATTTTCTCGAATCAGTCTCCTTTACTACCACAAGGGCGAATCACGGGGGTTGATTTGGGTGGCTAACGACACCCCACAGCCCCCCCCCCCAACCCCACCTGACCGACCAATGCTAATTATTTACATTATGGGAAAAAAATGTTAATTTTCCTGAATAAAGTAAATGATCAATATTGTAAATTCGATTCATTGCTGCAGGCCTTTGACCTTTTTATTTGTTGACTTCAATGCGTTAAACCCCCCACCCCCACCCACATCCTCCAAACACATCCCCCCACCCACCGGTCAAAATAAAGTTGGACTCATCAATACCCCGGCCGGGACTTGCCCCAGAAAAAATTGAAATCTACAATGATCTCTCCTGCATTATAAGACAATTTGAGGGAAAAAAAAGTAATTTTAGCTTCCATTTGTTTTTTGGCCCCATTTTTACTACTATTATATAACTCAGCGGCTGAACAGGGGAGGGGGGTGTTGTTGCGACCCCCGACCCCTTCCCCCTAGATCCGCTACCGTGTCCCCCAACTATCCCTTTATAAGCATTAAGGAGGTACTTCTACACAGAGTCCATAACTTAATTCTGTTGAAATCCATGGGTAAGCTTCGGATTCCAAATACAGGGATTAGGCCATCAGCCTGGGGATTTGGCCAGTATCAAATCAGGGCATAAATGATTATAGTGCCCATGCGCAAGGTATACCGCCCCTAGAGGGGTAACAAGCTTTTTGATAGACATTTTGAAAAAAAGGGTGATAACACCCAAAAAGCTGCCACCGCTGCAATGCTATCACATATTTTCCCAACTCTGGAGGTGTATACCTTGCCAAAAATCGCTATGACCATTATTCCCCTCATTTGATACCGGTGGCCAAAATTTTGGACCGAGGCTGATGGCCTAGATAGAAAGGTAATCTCCTGCTTACCGTTCGGCCTCTGACATATGAAGTAATATGATGTGCCGCAGCCCACGTCATTCCATTTGCCGGTTGGTAACATGGTGACACAGTCTTCATTACCGGAATTGTTGGGCTCGCCTGTATTCCAGTTAGGACTGGTTTATCAAACAGAATAAAACATTCAGCAAGCACACTAACACAAGCAAAATATCAAACGACATACTACATATACCAGAGGGTACAGCATGACAAAGAATGTCTTCATTGTAGCTGGTTTGAAACGCTTGTCGTTTGACTTGAAACTGAATGACACAACATTGACTTGTGTGTGATTTGCCACAGCTTGTGGTTGATGCGATTAACTTGTGATGACTTGTGTTGAGTTATGATTGCCTTGTGATTGCCTTGTGCTTGCCTTGTGCTTGACTTGTGATGAGGTAAGGATTGACTTATGATGACATGATGTGTGGATTACAATTCTTGAAACCACTCTGGCCCTACTTGTCACGCTCATCTCAACGACTTATGATTGACTTGCGATGACGTGTGATTGACTTGCGATGACTTGTGATTGACTTGCGATGACTTGTGATTGACTTGCGATGACTAGTGATTGACTTGCGATGACTTGTGATTGCCTTGTGATGACTTATGATGAGTGGATTAAAAATAATTCTTGAAACCACTCTGGCCCTACTTGTCAAGCTCATCTCCATGACTTATGATTGACTTATGATTGACTTGTGATTGACTTGTGATGACTTATGATATTACAAATAATTCTTGAAACCACTCTGGCCCTACTTGTCAAGTTCATCTCCATGACTTATGATTGACTTATGATTGACATGTGATTGACTTGTGATGACTTATATTACAAATAATTCTTGAAACCAATCTGGCCCTACTTGTCAAGCTCATCTCTGTGACTTATGATGGACCAGTTATGACTTGTTTTTGACTCGCTATGCCTTGTGATTAACCTGTGATGTCTTAAGATGGGTAAATTACAACTGTAAGACTCACTTATTTGCCTGTTGGTCTAGCTCATCTCCGTTGACCCAGACAAACTTGCCCTCCTGGCCTTGATCAGAGAGTCCAAGCATGAAGCGATCGTTTACACTATTGACAAGGTTTGCTACCCAGGTCTGTAAGAAACAACAATTTGAGCAATTGAGGAAAACCTGCAATCAAAAAACGGACAATGCATAGCCACACCCCTGTGCCAAAAAAAAATAACTTTAAAAATCAAGGTCTGTGTAGCCTCTCCATAACAGTTGTTCTACCATGCTATTTTTTAAGAATAGATGTCGCATTTATATTGCTATATTTCTATACAAACATTAACTTTTGCATTAGAATCTAATAAAAAAAGACGCGCCTACATTTAGTTATGGAATACATACTTTACACATTTTGAATGATTTACAACATTCAGTTAATCCTTGTGTGCGTTATGGGTGCAAACACAAACAGTAGAAGCATTTTTTTGGTTAAATAAAACACCCAAAGGAAATTTAATTAAATTAAGAGGAAAAACTAGTACTTTGAAGAGCACTACCTGTGCTCTTCAAAGTACTAGTTTTTTTTCCTTTGATCAACTTTAAATTCTTAGTCATTCATTTGTAACTTTGCTCCAAATCTACTTGGGTGCAGTCCATCTCTCAGTATTCATATAATTTTCAAGTTATGAATTTGGTTTGAACCCTGAGGGGGAACATGGTGCTTATCTTGGGCAAGACACTTTACTACGATTGTCTCTCTTCAACCAGGAGTATAAATTGGTACGTGTGAGGGTAGAGATGATTAGGCTGATCCACTGAGTTGCCGAAAAGTAGTCTGATGGGCTATGATAAACAGGGGTAGTAGCTGTGAAGTGCTTTGAGACTTGGGGTATAAAATGCTATATAAGTACCTCATGATTCCTATTTAAGTACACTTGGGGACTCAGACAAAAATACATGTAACCTTTCTATAAAGGGATCATTAGTCCATTGTGTGTCCATTGTGTAAGTCGGCCCCAACTTTAGAGTAGGCCTAACAGACAAAATAATGGACTGAAAATTTGGATATGGAAAAGCGGCTTTATAGTAGGCTCTCACATTCATGGCGTCATCTTTGATGACCACTAGGTCAGTCAGTGTATCGTAAGCCTTGCAGTCCTTCTGGGCCTCATAGAAGTTCTTCTTGGAGTCCGTCTTGAGGACGACGCAGGTGTCCCCAGCGGTGTACATCTCCCAACCATGGGGGCATCGTTGGCAGAGAGCTATACAAATAAATAAATAAACAAACAAACAAACAAACCAATAAGCAAAACATAATAAAAACAACAGATACAGAAAACACATGTCTTATGTGTCACATGAGCACAGTGAGCCAGTGGTTATGGCGTTTGACTCAGGGGCAACAAGGCATGGTTTAAATTCTCAATGAGAATCAGGATGTTCTTGGGCAAGATACTTTACAACAACTGCTCAGCTTCACCCGTGGGTATCCTGATTTTATTGGCATAGGCTGGAGAAGTAGTGATGTGCCAAATGGGTAAATGCTCCAAAAATCATGATTTTTGCTTCATAAATTCTGCTTCTCCCTTCAATTCTTAGATCACATGAAGCTATAGGAATTAAAGGAGACCACGCACATATACACTGGCAAACCGGGCTAGATTTTAAGACACCCCACTTTTCAGCTGGACCAACCCACAAGATGGGAACAGTTAAAAAAAGAAAATATATTATTATTTTATAAGAAACATCAAATGAGATAACAGTTTTTTGTTTTTTTTAACTCCCCTACAAATGTCTGTGTATGGCAACACCAGGTACAATGTGGACACAATGATAACCAAAGTCATTACTGTCTTATAGATTGCCGGCATTAAGTTAACAGGGCAAAGTTTGGCATTTGTTTTTCTTTGTTTTGCCTTTAACAAAATAGATTGGCGAAAATAAAATTCAGTGACCTTAATGGCAGACAAAAACTGTCAGCTGACCATGCTTTGTGGAAAAAATGCTGGTGATTATGAATCAGAAATTTCAGAACTAGTACTTTCGTTTTGTTCCCTCCACCTCCATGAATGATGGTTCAGCCAATGGATTTTTTTTCTTTTCAGTTTTCTATTTTGTCTGTTGAAATATATGTGTAATTACAATAATTCTTCAACGATCCCTCATAATTGTCCAAGTTCTCAAATTTTACATACTATTTTCAGAAGAAACACATCTACTTTTAAACTTGTCCAAGTTTAAACTCAAAACCCCCAGGAGTTATTTCTATTATTTTACACTTTTATTTTTGTGAAACCCCAAGTTGGAATTTGTTAATACAATAAACACAATAACACAATGCTTGTACATGTTGTTAAACATGTACTAACAACAATATGACTTTCCACCTCGCCTTTTTTCCTTTCTTTTTCCCCCCTTTGGACTATTTTTCCACTTTTTTTTTGCTTTTCCATGGGAAGGGGGGGGGGCACCCCCTTGAACCCCCCCCCCCCCACCCCCGACGATGCCCATGATTATTTGGAGAAAGCTAACAGTGAAGGTACTTTCAAAACAGGATGTCTGCAGGCATACTTTTTATGTGTTAGAAGCCCAACAATTGTGCATATGTTTTCTCTGTCTTCTCAAAATGTATAGATTCACCAAGAAAAACTTCATTAGGTTAGTTGTTATGTAACGCACTTCAGATTTTGAGCAATTTTGTGGCTTGAAACAAAAGCAAAAATGCTAAAAAAAAACCAAAATGATCCTAGATACCTTTAAAAAAAAAAGAGATTAAAGACACTTGGGGGTTTTGTGGTACAATACATTGAACAACCACAGAATTTTGAAAAGTTGTAACCCTTTTTCCTAAAAAAAGTTATGCAATGTTTTGCCAAAGTTGGAAGACCTTATGTACCAGGCCACTCATGATACAACTCCACACTCCACCATGTCACAAATATTAATTGCGATTGTAGCCGATAAGTTAAGTCAACGAAATCAAACTGAGTGGACGTGTAATGGGCTTCACAAGAGTGTCAAAGACCACACGCTATTCAGATCAATTCCAAAGGTTTCCCAAAGTAAGGGCTGTGTCATGCTGAGCGTGAGTGGGGCGTGAAGTTGACTAAGGCCTTTACAGTTTAAAGGGAATATACATTTGCAAACATCGAAAAATAAAACTACCAAGTTTTTACGAAATACTTTACTAGGATGTTGGTAAATGACAGTATAAAGCATACTGTAAAATTATGGCACCTGGTGTGAAGTCATTTTCAAAAAAATGGTAATTTTGTATACATTTCCAACGGTGGTCGGCTGACCACCGTTGGAAAAACCTAACTATTTTTCAACTACTGATCCAAATTTACCATTTTTTTCTGTCTAAATTTTGTTTGCTATTGGTTACATGTTCATGAACGGGTGCGGGCAGACTAGACTGGTTCCCTCACCTTACAATTTTCCGGCATCTATAAATATCGATCTATTTCATCTTTAGTGGAGTCAGGGAACCAGACTGCTTGAATATTTTTGTTTTTCTTGGTTTTCCAGCATTTTCGAACACAAAACTTCAAACATGTTAGTGTAACAATATTTGATCTATTATACTGACCCCTCAAATAGTTCATTTCTGAAAATAACAGCAAAAGCCAATGATGTACATTCCCTTAAGTAATCTGTTTTAAAACAAGAGATCTGGTAAACTTACCAAATGTTTAACAATACACAAAAAGGTGTGTTAACATCAAATACTTGTTCAAACCCTACCAAGTTGCACAATGTTATGAACTTGAAGAATATAACTAGTGCGAACTTGTAAAAACAAATTTCGTAAGGTTTCTTGATAAGCATGTTTACACAACTTGTGCTACTGGATAGTTTCAACTTTTTCAACTATTTTTTTCGTCACTGATGCGTAAACGCCAGTACTTTGATAGCTACTAATCAAAAGTTGAAAATAATATTTGAAAATAGGTGAAAATTGCCATCAAATGTGGATTTCCTTTATCATGAACGACCGTGTAGACTCTTAGTGAAGAATTTGGCACTAAAATGCATTCAATATGAAATTGAGCCAAAAAAAAAAAAAAAAAGATAAGCAAAACCAAAGCAGACAACTGTTTGCTTAAGTGATCTGGCTTATTAATAAAATGAAAAAAATGTTGCAACCTGACGCCACTTGCGCGATTGTGTACAAAGTCTATGGAGAGTTGAGAAAATTTTCTAAGTATTTCCTAACAAGATTTGAAATGTTTCTCAGTCCCAGATTAATGTCTCATCATCATTATTGCAATGAATGACCTTCACTGAGATGATATATGAAGTAAAAAAGTGGCTAGGTTGCATCATTCTTTCCAAATGTAAACTTGGATGTTTTATTCCACCTCCAACACTTCTTTTAAAATATTTGTTAGGTGTCTACAACCCTCTGAAATGAAAAGGCTTTTATGGGCACAAACAGATCTGCTTCACATGCAGACTGGTTCCCGGTCCGTACATTATCAATACTGGTACTGATTGTGGGGCTGGAACCAGCCTACCCTGCAAGAACGGAATTATTGTCGGACAGTAAGTAATTCGAAATTTGCAAAGTAATATTACCGGTAACTAAACATGGGCAGATTTTTTGTTCAGTCAATGCCTCGTTCAAAAATGAATGACTTGTTGGGGGGGGGGGGGGGCTAGACAAATAAACCTAATAAGATGAATTGATTTTTTTCGGGGGGAGGGGATGAAACTCGAAAAGAGCACGGTGAATGCAAATTTAAGTATCATATCCATCAAAGCAGTCTAGACTGCATCCTGATGCCACTCTTGTCATATTATCTCAATGAAGGACAATCATTGCCAAAAAATGTTGGAAAGACTTGAATCAGGGGCTAAGAAACCTTTCTAATTTGTTAGAAAATACTTTGAAAATGCACTCAACTCTCCATAGACTTTGCACACAACCAAAGAAGTGGCGTCATACTACGTTCTTTTCAGAAAACTGAATATCACACAGACAAAAAAAATCTAGGACATATAATCTTGCACAGTCTGTTCACAAAATTATAACAACTTAATTATATATAGCCACTTTCAACAATAAGGCGTTTCACGGTAATATGCGCCATCTTGCCGACAGGGCAATTTTACAAGTGTTGCTGTGTACGCATCGTCAATGAAAAACTTTGGCGCTTCCAAGTCATCATGTGGTCATTCCAAAATGCACCTGCATCTAGCAACTAGTGCTCCTTTTGCCCTGTGATTACCTTGCATAATTACCTTGAAACACCTTATTGTGCAATATGTTACAAGACAAAAAGGGAGAAGCCACGCCCCCCCCACCCCTACAAGCCTAAATGTAGAAATTACTCAAAAGAATATATGAGGTAGACATACCGAGTGGCAGAAGAGCCAACACACAGATGAGAAGAGACCTCATAATAGTTCTTCTAATCGGCCCGAGTCCCCAGAATAAATTTCTTGTGAAACTTTCAAAGGGCTGCAACTTCAATTTTGGAAATTCTCCACCTAAAAATGAAGAATCTGCCAAACTGTGGGTAGACCCAACCTACCAGCTAGAAATAAGGAAAACTACACAGAAGTAACAAATTTTCATTTGATTTTGAAGTTTGGTCATTGCACAAAGGTCAAGCAATTATCTACACTCACAATCAGTGATTTGGACTTCAATAATTGAGCTTTCAACTTCAACTTGCAATTACCATATTTTTTGTTTAAGATAAGGAGATTTATTTGGCTGCCCCCCTGGAACAACATTACACGTACTTTGGCATGTTTGATTCGCGTGCAAATGTGTCAACGCGTTATCAGTTGTAATCTTGAGAGTTAAACTAATTTTGGCACAGTGCACTGATAGGAAATGGCAAAAGTTACTGTATTACAACAAACTTGTTTTGTTCCTGCAAATGCGTAGAAATAATCTGAGAAACCATGATGGGAAGACATCAATGAAGTGGCTCCGTGCTCAGAGAGACCTAGCAATGTATTCATCATTCAGATTTTGCAAACAAAATATAATGAAGCAAATATTTACAGGAAACAAAGAAACAACATGGTTTGAACTAGAAATAGATCAACATTTATTAGGAATATACAGGAATTGTTCAATAAGATTAATAATACAAGTTGCAAAATCACAAAATCGTAGATATTCAACTAGAAAATATATAAAAACATAGATCACTATAGTTTTTTTTAATATTCACATTGTCACTTAACTCTCATAGATCACATATGGCATAAAAATGAAAGTTTTTTAAAATTTTAAAAGTTCTTCAGGAGAGCAGGAACTGGTCAAAAGACTGTCCATAGGAAAGTGTGGATTTGAGTGTGGATTTGATTGTCTTAATTAATGGAATGATGGAATTAAGAAAAAAACATAATCGGCTCACCATAATGGAACAGTAGTGGGTTTCAAACCATCCTCAAAACATGAACAAATTTAGAACAAATTCAGAAGGATTATATCTTACAAACTGAATATTTACACTCGTACACACTAAAACACATGTGTTTCCATGGTAATAAAGTTGTGCCTGAACAAGCACTAAGAGAATCTGTGTGAAAGATAATTACATTCTTACTGATTTTAAATTTTTTTTTACAATTACACAAACCCCATATTGTTGCCTCTGATATGACCATAATTTTTATCCTAATCTAAAAAGGTTTTTTTTAAGGAGGTTCATGATGGTGTTCATGATGTCTTTTATCCAAATTGTACCAGTGTTTCTAAAGGAAGGAAAGGGGTGGTTGAAATAACCAATTCGCTCTTTTCACACTCCGCCATTGGGCATGCACAGCCTCGATCTGGCAACTTTACACAATAAAAATAGCCGGTTCAGTCGACGGGAATCACTGAACTGGCTATATTTATTGTGTAAAGTTGTAAGATGGAGGCTCTGCATGCCCATGGCGGAAGTGTGAAAATCTGAACCCCCAAAAAAAGCAAAATCTCAACCCCAAAGAAGTTTCTGTCAAGTTTGTAACAACAAAAAAAGTCCTCAAAAATTTGGCTCCCACAAAAACAGTTTTAATAAATTTTTCATCTTAAAGCCAACAAATTCCCCCCCCAATACTTCAATACAGATCAATTTACATATGTGAATATTTATTAGAGCACGTAACTTAACTCTTAACTCTGTATGCCCTTTCACACTATCAAAAATATCCAGTTCCAACCCCGACAATTTGACAAGCCCTCTCAGACTTGCGAGAATCTTACACATGTGGCTTTTACACATGTCCGGCATTCTACACAGGTAACGTCCAACCTCAATCGGGACCAGGGTTAAGAGGCTCTATCCAGGTAGACAATCCAAAATTTAGGGTTATCCCATGTACAAGCCAGTGTTAGTGTGAACGGTATGCTTTGCCTACCCGTGTTCAATGGAACCTGTGTTGCAGTGGACCTGTGCTGAATACAACAAGGGTAGGCGATACGACAGTGTGAAATGGCCTTCTCTTTGTTACTGTTCAAGGGGTACTTGTACCGAGTCCATAGTAAAGGAAGATGGCATGAAACACAGATCAATGCAATTAGATCCTAGTTTGTGAAACAGCTATGCCTCGGCTGACGCGGTATTGATGGTGGTGGGGTCACTGACTTTGACCTCTTCCGTGCTGACGCTGTACATGGCGTTGTCGAAGCCCACCGTGCCGATGTCCAAGGGAGCCTTGGTGGTCTTGGAGCGGGACTTCAGGAAGCATGCCACCAGGGCAATCAGCAGGACCGCCACCAGGACAGCCAGGATGATGCCGATGATCACTCCCGCGGACACGCCAGAGGATTCTGTCACGGGGGAAAAACGGAAGGGATTGTTTGAGATTTCTGGAACTACAATGGACTGTACTTGTTTAATGCCACACTTGTTCAATACCGGCCAAGCTCATATTTATTCCCATTTATAAATAACTTATGGTTAAAAAGTCAAAAGTCACAAATTATAAATTTCCTACAATTTTCAACAAGTTTACTTCATGTTTTGTGAAACACCCCTCTAGCTTTGTTTATGGTATGTGTCTCGCGCAAGTAGCATAAACATTCCTTATATGGAGATCAGCGCGTGCGTTGCGTACTGCATGCTGTGGCACAGAACGCAGCGGTGCCAGTGTAGTGTGCATTTAGGACTATGAATACAGACACAATGGTAGTATTGTGCTGCCTAGGCAAAGATTGAACACGCAAAACCAAAACTGACCCGACCCAACTGAAATAGTGGAAACAGACCCGACTGGACCAAACCGAAGTCGGTTTCGGGTCGGATTTGCACAACGTTATTGTAGAGCAATTGATAAACTCACTCTGTGGTGATTTGGTGACTCCTGAATTGGTAGCTGGAGGAGCGTCTGTGACTTGTCCTGGGGGTCCGGTGATTGGGACTGTCAAAAGAGAAGAATGAATTTGAGGGATGAGGTAAGGTGTGTAACTAGATGAGATTTGAGGATTTACATGTAAGATCAGCTTTAAGTGAAAACATGATGAACTTAATAATGCTTGCGAAAAAACTGTTTAAATCCAAACTCAACCTGACGCCAAATATAGTCTAAATCCAGAAAATTTGTGTAAACTAGATGCATGAACAGCCGTTGTCCTCAAGGTTCAATTCTTGCTATTGGAGATAACCACTGCTACTAACCCTGTTGTTACTAGCAATATATTTCTACCAGCAGCAAAGAATCCCAAACACTCTGTACTCCTTGATAAATCCACCCCCCTCCCCCAATAATAACGAAATTTAATGGGGTTCTGCTTTGAAACTTGCTACTTACAGGAAAAATCAAAAGTGAGAGTCTTTCTTTTGACAACAACTGAAAAACATCTAAAATTGGACACTTCATGCCACAAGGCATGACAGAGTTTAAAGTACTAAATTGACACCTGTTCAACCAATTGACACTTAAATTGCTTTACTCCTCTGTGAGTTTGTTAAACTTAACAGTGCTAAGGCAATTTGGGGCAGTATAAGGACTAACAGGCAGGGCAGTTTGGGGCAGTACAGGGACTAAGGGTTAAGCACGTCGTGCCTGGCTCACTTTTGGGCATCTTGCAGACGTAGGACTTGAGGAACTTGCAGTCCAGGTCGTTCCACTCTCCCCGGTCCAGGTACAACTCCACGCAGTTCTCGTGCTCGCCGTCCCATTGCCACGACGGTTCATCCTGTGCCCAGTTGACGAAGTCCACACCCGTGCCGTCCTCCCAGGAGAAGCCACCTGCAAATCAGGACGGAAAATACAAAGATCTATCACAGTCTGATAAAAGTCATCCGTACATCTCATACATATTCATAATGATACTTATTGTGTTGTGCTGATAAAGTGTCCTATACAAATATCTCCAAGCGCTTACCCCTATTCATCAGGCCGTAAGATCATTTATATGAAGCAGTTTTGAGATCAGCGCAATCTGTTCTCTACCCAAACAGGTACCCATTTATTTGGCTGGGTGATGAAGGGAGGCAATTGTAGTAAAGTGTCTTGCCAATGAACACAACCACCACGAACACAATGAACACAGGTACAGAGCGTGCAAGTTAACCTAAAAAACCAGCAAGATTTTTCAGCACATCCGGGCACCATGTATAGGATCTACAATGAGTGTAATGTCCTGGTTTTTTTTTTGCATTTTGTGTCCTGACTGAGTCCATCCAATCAAAGGCAAATAAATGGGTTTTTCGAAATAAAGCATTACAATTTAAAATATATTGAAAATATTGCCAATTGTTGACTATTATAAACTTAAACTGTTGACCTCAACTTCCATTCAAACGATCATGCAGATAACAATTAGGTAAATGCAAACACGGGGTCTGTGACTAAACTATTCAGTGTTTGGTACCGACACGTTCACATAAAAAGTGAACATCGACTGGCAAGACTTTGCACTCTCTATTATGAGCAAAAGTACTGAAAACATAGGAGACGGTCCAGTAAACAGTAGACCATGGCCCTCTCGCTTGCCTTTCACACTTGTTTAGATCAGGGAAGTAGAAACCTTAATCAAGAAAACACTGAAAATCCCTTAAATGTCCACAAAGTCCTCAATATTACCTGCGTCGGAGCGGTAGAGTCCAATCCACATAGATTCAGTCCGCTTGGTGTTGCTGCGCACAAACTCATTCTCTGGCTTGCTGTGGATGGAGGCCAGCTGGCCGCCCATGCTGACGCAGTCAAAGTCGGCCACCGGCCACTCCACCAGATTCTGGCCCTCAGGCTGGAAGTAGTAGCAGTTACTGCCGTACGGGGACCAGCCATCCGGACAGGTACCGGGCGTGTCGGGATGGTCCGTGGGAAGAGTTTCTTTATATGAAGAAAATTTGTAATAATTACACCTGGGGTGCCTTCCACATATCCGAACAATGTTGGCAAAGTTTACGTAAGTAGGACCGGCTGTTTGCCATCAGCGTTGGTGAATGTTAGAAACCACAGCAAATGGTCTGAGTCATTTGCTGAATTTCCCAACATGGCTAGCACACACCATAACTGTACGATCCTGCCAGAGGTAACATTTTCTGTTTTAAACATCCCAAGTATAAGTTCAGATATTACAGGAAGAAATTTCACTGCTATCTAAACATTGACACTTGTAGCATTCGCATACAGGAAGCCGCCATTTTGACAACAGTTTTTCGACTAGCTAACAAATGCAAACATGTTCACTTGAACACATCCCAGTTCAGTATTGCAATACTGCACAGTTGAAGATCAAACTTTGACGACTTCAGGGGCCAATTTGATGGAGATGTTAAGCAGAATGTACTGGTTAGAAAGTTTACGTGCTAAGCATAAATCAGCCGAGAATTGTCCACAAGTAACACAGATTGCATGGCATTTTGACTGTGAAACCTCCTTCTTATTAATTCACTTCGTTCAAACTCACCTAAGGAGTACTTGCACACAGCGGAATACATATCGGAGCACCGTGTGTCGTTCCAGTTGCCGTTGGTTTCCATGGCAACGCATCCCTCGCCCGCCCCCTTGCTGGGCTCGCTCCGCCCCCAGTGGGTGAAGTACACAGGCCAGCTGTCCACCCATCTGTACTCACCTTCAACCTGGTAGTGTGAAAAATTCAAAGCTTGGAATAATTTGATACTGCTACCCAACACCAACAAAAGTACTTTTGATTTCTAAAGATATGCAGGCTAATTTGCTTTTGTTTGCATATTTGTTTCATTTAAAGCAACTGATTTGCTTAAAATCTTCTCAGGGTGCACAACAACTAACCTGTTGAAAGTTCACTTCAGTGGATACTATACATTTTGAAAAAGCTGAGAAAACATGTGCACAATATCTTTGATCGTGTAACTGGACTCTGAGTGTGCCCGTGGGAAACACTTTTTCAAAACCCCTGTACATGTAACTATTGCTTTCTTCTGAATGATTTTCTTCTGATACGATAAGGAGTGTCATGGCCTTGTGGTAAGAGCACCAGACTCATGCTCTGGTATTTCAGAGGCAACAGTGGCGTGGGTTCGAGCCCGGTCTGGACACTTGTGCCCTTGAGCAAGGCACTTAACCATTATTGCTTCGTCCTTCGGATGGGACGTAAAGCCATAGGATACATGTGATGTGTAATGCAATGCACGTAAAAGAATCCAGTGACACATATTGCTAACAGAAGGGGTTTGCCCCGGTGTTTCTGGCCTCCTGTTAAAATTCCCGGGCGGGGTATTTAGGAGAAGAACCAACCAAGAACCAAGAACCAAGATATCAATTCAGGAAGAATGATTTCACAGGGTATTTTTTTGCCATCATTATCTTCATTTTGAGTGAGGACTTTCTGATTAAATTTGCATGCCATTTGCAGCTGAGATATCAAGGGCCATGTGGAAAGGGTTATTTACCTTATCATCCACCAAACCGATCCAAACAGGCGTGCCGCCATTATCGTGGAGTAGCGTCTCCACAAAGGCCTGCTCATACTGGTCGGCGATGCTGGTGAGGTAGACGTTGTCTCTACGACACTCGTCGTTGGCGTCGCTGAACTTCATGGGCGCTGAGATGACTTTGAAACAGCCGGTGCCGTACTGGCTGTAGCCTGCCCGGCAGGCACTGATCGGCACAAGGGGAGGGTTCAGGGAAGGATCTGGTGGATAGCAATAGGAAAAAAAATGCTGAAAGGATGATAAGAAATAAAAGACTACTACTATTGATCTTATCTTCCAGCAAACCATAATGAAAAGTTTGGGGCCCAAACGCGCAAAAGATCAATGTGTGTGAGACAGCTTCACAGCTTGCCCAATTGACCTTGCGATTTGCATACCACATGCAACACGCTGGCCACGTGCACTCACACAACTGACCTCTGCAAGAAATCCAGTCATTGGAGAACCTTTGACAAAAAAATAATCAGTGGTTTCTTAACCAATGAAATCGAGTCTTATATGAATGGAAAGAGAACTTCATCTTCTTTACAAAACCTCTACCCCCAGTGTGCTCTTACATTGGGTTCTCGAGATATGTTGAGATAAACAACCAAAGGTCTGTCACAAACGGTCATTTTCTGTTCCGCTCCATGGGCAATTGCCTCATACCCCACATTTTCTATAAAAAATTGAACAGTGGTTTTTCTGCCTTTCCAAGCCAGACATAGATAGACTTAAAGCCAGAAGAATGAATTTTCATAATCTGCAACCCCCAGATTTGTGCGACCGTCTGTTCTGAAGATACAAGGAATTTAGTGTAAAAATGGGCTATCTTTGTGGTCATTAAATTTCCCCACGTTAAAGCTTGTGTGGACATTTCCGGTTGAGCAGATGCGCGCTACTTTTCCACGATTCTGATTGGCGAAACACTGGCAACAACAGTTGTTGTAGTATCCCGTTTTTAATCTACTGCTTGGCCCATGAGGAATGGCATGTACTGTGCATTATTTTTTAAGTCTCACACATTTAAATAATAATAGATGACCTTTGACCTCAGTAATCCGATGAAGAATTGTGTCTTCCTACCCAAGGGTCACTGCATCCAAGTTTCATCCAAATCCATGAAAGCATGTAGAAGTTACACACTTTTTCAAAAAACCTAAAATTTAACATACAGTCATACAGTCATATGAGAGTCATACAGAATTTAGGACTGAAAGTGTCCCCAAAACTTTGTTTAGGCGACACAATAAAATAGATTATAACGTTTAATGCTGACCTGGGTATGACTGGCAGATGTAGCCGTTGAGTTTGGAGCAGGCGTTGTCGTTCCATTCCCCGGCGGCGACCACATCATAGGTCATCTCCACACAGTCCTCCTATAGAACGTAGCAGGAGAAATGGATAGACTCAAAGTCTATATCTTGCTCAACAGTATTTCTCAGATTGGGACTTCAGAGTGGTTGATCATGAATTGGTTATATTCTTAACACTCACATGGGCTTGATTCATTGGCCGTTGTGCATGGCCTATTGTTTGACAATTTACGCTCCAGTGCACACCTCAGAATATTGAAACATGTGAGGTTTCGGCCAGAAATATCGTACAAATACTGTTGAAATGACTCTTATGAATCAGTACTTGTGGCATTTGGCTGTGTTTGAGAAGTTAGCTGGAAAATTGTACCTTTTGCAAAAATCTGAATGTTTTGGCAAAAATAGTCCTGGCATGAAATAGTTAAGGGACCGTAAACCTACCTCGCCGTTAGCCTCGTTGGGTTCCCCTGAATTCCAGTTGGTGTAGTCCAATGCCGTCCCATCGATCCATCTGAACTGGGAGTTGCTGGTGAGATCACTCAGACCGATCCACATGCGGTAGTCCAGACCCTTGAGTTTGGTGGTCAGGAACGCTGAGAGAAACCAGGATTGAAAAAGAAATTAACCCTTAGGCCCAAAAAAGTCTCCGGTTTCTGGTATGGAGCTTGCCCGAAAGTGGTGCGGCGACACGTTTCCCCCCCTACTTTTTATGGTGCGGCGACGCGTTTCCCCCTACTTTTTTTCCGTTGGGGCACAGAAGTCAGAACAAAGTTGTCGGCTGATATTGCAGATGACACTTCGATCCCCTTAAACCTCTAAAAAATATCCTTTAGGGTGTAGCTTGACTTACACCCACTTACGATCGCGACCAACACGAACATTCTTCGGAAAATTTGGATAGTCAAGAGAAAAATCAGACAAAACGGTAACGTCAGACCATACACAAAAAAATACAGGGACATCAACATCGTGCTGCCAGGCTGATCATTAGTCTGCTCCCTTACATATTGCGCTGATTAAACATTCTTGTTTTAAAGACTTTACTTATTCCTGAATTCTCCCCTAAGCGTCAACCATCAGAAGCCTTAGACTTGCCAAAGAGGCCTTCAAAGTTGTAGGCGGCGCTGGTGGTATGAGCTATCCAGCCTATCGATAGGTTGTGCTGCACTTACACTGGAGCGGTGCGGAGTGGATGATGGCCAGCCGGCTGCCCAGAGATGTCTCGCAAGCCTCCCTGGCATCCTCCCAGCTCTTCCTGTCTGCCTCATCCTTACCAATGAAGACGTAGCAGCGGTTGTCAAACTTGGCCGCGCCGACTGGGCAGTAGCCAGTGGGAGCTGGCGTGGTGGGCTTGGTGACCGGCGTGACCGAGTTGACGTGCTTGCGGCAGATGAAGTTGCGGTCGATGCCGCAGTTGTTGTCGTTCCACTTACCATCTGTACAGGCCATTATGAAATATTTAAATGAAACTGGTGCACATATGAGCACAGACCTCAGCAAATTTGGGGACTACCAACAATAAGATGCAGAGGATCGTTTGCTTTTTGTGAATTTTTTTATCATTTGACATATGAAGACAAAATTTTCCTCAGTCATGATTCTCAGTCAAAGCAGGGGGAGGGGGACAGGGATGGGACATGTACGATCTACTGATAGGAGGCGCTGTTTAAAAGCAAACAATCATGGACACTATCGGACAATAGGTGGCGATCTTCATCCCTGCAAATTTTTCAAACAGGTCAATTTCGCTGTTCTAATTGTGGTTCTAACACATCCCAATTTCACTTTTAAAATCTCCAACCCATTTGCAATCTGACACCGTGCGACCCCCCCCCCCCCCCCCCCCCCCCCCCCCCGCTGTAAACAGCGGTTCATTGTTCACTTTCTTTTAGCTGTTTAAAGCCCTTTTACAGTTGTAAAATACTTACTGCAAAACACTCCAGTGCCCAATAGCAAACACTGCACGCATATGTTAACTGGCGCGCTCTTCGCGCAACTTTTTACCGGCGCAGCATGCAGTTTGCAGCTTGCAGTTTTGAATATCCAAATATTAGGTCAAACGCAGTTTTGAGTTATAATAATTTACTAATTTGGGGGCTAATCATCCTTACTCGCAGCTGAGAAGCTGAATTGCGAAGGACGCAGCTACAACGTGGCCGAGTCGAAGGCATGTACAGGCGCCTTAGGCTGCCACCATATGACCCATGTATGACCACGAAGCACAGCCAGAAATCGAAAGTGTTGACTTTCGCAGAGGGAGGACAACTGGAGAGCTCACACAAAATCCTTGTGGCACTGGAGAGAATTAACTAACAACCCTACTCACATATAGTCCGAGCCAGGAAACGAACCTGGGCCACATTGGTGAGAGGCGAGCGCTTTATTCACTAGCCACCCATACTAAATTATTCAACACTGGACAGCTCTAATATCACTGTTCGCTTACTGTGCTGCCACTTAATCTGACAATTCCCTGTAAAATTATTCTGCCCGAAATTGTATCATTTGAAAGAAAACTAACTTTGAAGGTGGTCTCAAAATAGGGTGCCTGTGGGCACACACATATGTTATTTTACTAGACCAAAAAAATTGTGCAATTTATGTGTTTGTTCCCCCTTGTTTTAGGACTTTTGTTGCTTCCAGTGACAAAAATGCACAAAACACAAATGGTCCTGTGCACCTTTAAGACACAGTCACTGTGACATCGTGAAAATTAGGTCTATAAAGGAAATTTACAAGTAAAAGCATATAGGACCGTTTGCTTTTCATGCATTGTTTGTTCCCAATAATAACACCACTCAAAATCCAAAGAAGAAAGTTCAAAACCTAACCTGTTGAAGTTTCAACCCAGTGGATATTACACTTTTTCAAGCAAACGGTGAAAAACCACGCACAATCTTTTGATCAGGTAACACAATTTTGTCAACAGAACTCTTTACTCCAAAACACAGTCAACTGACTGATCGTTGCTAATAACCTATATTTCTTGATTTCTTCTGAATGACAGCAAGCCAGATGGAATAATTTCACGGGATATTTAGAACCAGTGCGATCTTTAGTCTCAGTAAACTTTTTGATAATAGTTTGGTAAGTTACTTTTGTGAAAAATGATCGTATATGTTTTTAAAGGTCACTGACCTCCATTGTATGTCTCAGCGCACTGTTCTTCACCGTTGTAGTCGTTGGGTTCGCCAGGGGCCCAGAAATCAAAGTCGACAGGAGTGCCATCAGACCAGCTGAGGAAATCAATACAATAGGACTAGCAATCAGTCAAGGGTAGGGAAAGACTTAGAACTTCAAAATAACATCATACAAGTAGGTGGTATAAGGGGTTGAAAGGGAATATTTGCCCCCTCCCCCTCCCCCCGTTTTGGAACGTAATGACTTCTAAGCATCCACCCATGTTTGTTTTACATACCTAGTGTGGACATTCCTTTGTTTTCGTGTAGTTAAGAAAAACCAGTGAAAAAACTCCTTTTTCTCAAACTGTGAAAACTCTTTCAAACTAAATTTTTTTTCTATGATTCCCTCTAGCGTTTCTCTTCATTTTGCCACGGATAAACCTAACCCAAAAATGCCTCTAAACCTCTTTTTCAGAGAGGGGAAAACTTTGTGTGGACATGGGCAAGTCCACACAACGTCGCTGCTACCTGGTTTATATGGACACCTTTTGTTCGGAAGTCCACACAGTGAATGTAATGCTTGTCCCCCTGAATTTGTTGGGTGCACCAAAAGGTTATGAACATGAGAGTTTTGGAATCCAGTTAAAGAGACCCAAAGTTTTCTCCTAAATGTAAAGTAGCCTCTGAACTAAATCTTCCATAGGTTGGTTGTTATGCACTTCCACTGAGTGAGTTACTTCATTACTCAACTACTCCCGAGTAGTTTATGCTACTCGTTCAACTTGTGGTGTTTCATCTCCTCGAGTACTCATCCTGGCGAGAGTAAAAACAGCTACTCACGAGTAGCAATTTAGGATTTAGGGTTCACAGCGTAATGCGTCCCCTGCAAACAGGGAATCACTCCCTCCACCTCTCTCTCCCTAGGATTCCATTTGTCCCCCCCCCCAACAAAATTCAAGTAACTGACCCAAAACATCGCACAGTAAGGATATCTCAGTGCTGATAGATGTGATGTGACTTGCACGTAATTTGTTTGTAGTTACTTCCCGTCATACTAAAGTATATGTCATTTTTCTGCTTTTATGGGAATTCGGTTAACTACCCGCGAGTACTCGACTACTGTACTTGCAAGTAATTATTTTGCGAGTACTCTTGTAGAAAAATCCACTGCTCGCCTAGGCCTTTTATGCATCCTTCTTACGATTTTGAGAAATGTTCTTACTTCCAAAAAAAAAAAAAAAAAAATAGCAAAAAAATGAGACTATGCTCCAAAGTTGTTAAATATTACACAATGAAACCATAGGAAATATGACTACCGAGGTCAATGGGTAGAATGAATAGAATAGTGTGACAGATGTCAGATTAAACAAAGGTCATCCACCATCTTGCTATTCGGCCAGATAGAAAACAATGGCAATTTTTGTTTCCTCTGGAATTGGATCTTCCGCGTGATGGACGAGGCATCCCTACCCAAGGGAATTCAATCTTTCTCCGGTCAGTTAAGCCAAAGGATGCCAGGGATTAGGAGTGTTTCCGTGATAGCGGGAATTGGCTTAAGACAGCTCTGACTTTTTGACTTCTCTTCAGTTGGGGGGGGGGGGGTTCAGGAGATGTAAAGCACACATTTTTGTCGAGTTCTACTAAGTTTAGCTTATCACAATCAGGTCAAGGTCTGTGCTCTCCAAAAACAAAATTAATTTGTTTTCCTTCCGACGAACTTTTTCTTTCAGTGTTTACTTTAACCAACCATATGCACCGTCACTATCAGAAGTTTCATAATCGATATATCGGAAATCCAATGTCGAGAATATTCGATAATCGATTATCCCTATGTAAAATTAAAGACCATAGAGATGACACTTAAAAAAACCAATCCGAAGTCCAACTTTTCCATGGCTTTCTCTAGAGCATATTGCTCAAACGTTTTTAACAAATCTCAGCACTGAGAGTTTGTCCAGAATAAGCCAGTTCTTTTGAGAAATTTTACACTGGGGAAACCGGGAATTCCAGCGAATTCAGAGCACAAAGCGTCGCCGCTTGTTATTACGAGATGTTTTTATTTTCAGTCACAAGCACAAGCTACCGCCGAGTTTTGTTTCATTGCTGCAAATCAAATCTAAAAGTATGCTAAAGACAACTTACGAGTACACTCCTTTGATTTCGTATTCTCTTATTCCAATCCAGTGAGAATCCACGTTTGATGCTTCCACCTATGAAGAAAAAGAAACCTCAAGTCAATTCCATTTTAGCACTCACTCGAATTAATTAATTACTGAATAAATTAAGTAATTTGCAAATTTTAGCGTTACTTTTTGCATGATGATCATTTGCAGTTGTAGAATAAAGCACTTTTTGAGCTCAAAAAGATGTTTACCACAAAACGCTAACAGTTTGAAAGATCACTAAAAAGTAGAATATGAACGTTCATGAAACTCTACCTTGAAAATATGCTATTATTTATGTTTTTACCACGCGAAGGAATTTCGGGGTACATAATTTTGGTCCTCCAAAATTGGGGCACTTTAGTTGTCATTCTCATTACGAGTGTTATTTTTTACAAATTTGCCTCAACCACGTGTTCGCTCTAGGATCGTTGTGGGTGTAAGGTTGAAATTAACGTGGGTCCTGATGTCAGTTTAATACATATGATGCATGTAATGCAGTGCCAATCTTATTTTCACTGTTTTCCCAACATTTTATCTGTTTTTGTTAGACTTTATGTTGGATTTTCTGTGACCCAAACAATTTAAATGTGGCTAGTAAACAATATAAAACACTACATTTGGGAGAATTCCGAAAAAAGTGTTCCTTTAACAAAATCCATCCAATTTGCAAATGCCTTGAAGTGTTTGACATGTACCTAAATACAATCTGGTACACGGCACCCTGTGGAGACATGTGCACAATAGGGAACAAAAGATTGTATATGTCTCCACAGAGCAATTTCTATAGGTGAATACGTCTCCACAAGGTTATCATGAAATAGATATTCTGATTTTACTCAAAAACTAGGAATTTCCAAGGTGTGTTGATCAGTCGCAAATTGAAGTATTTTATGTAAGGGATAGTAAGCCCGAATTTCAGCCCAGGAAATTAATTCTAGTTAAAATAGGAGGATTTTAAAAGAACACTTTCAAACTCAAAAACTTTAGTACACAAGAACAAAGAAATAACTCCACAAGGATACAAATGCCAGAATGTACGGAGGCATAGTATTTGACTTTCTCAATGAATCTTTCAGGAAAGAGTCAGTGTTGTCTTTTAGCAGGGATAATTGGTTCAACAGCTGGTACTGACCCAGTGATAAAAAGCTCGAAATAGGGATTCATTTCCTATACATCGACTGAAAATGTTAAACAGGTGTGGTTCTGTGGAAAAGAGTAGGGAGGATGAGTTACGCATTTTGCTGAAACCATACGGCAAAGCGTACCGGAAGCTTCGCATTTCCGATCGCGTACGCAGAAAAGACTTTAGAATCTATGTACGTGAACCTACTTAAAGGTGAATTAAATTAGGTTTTGCCCTTCAGCGGCGTATAAAACACTGTATACTCAGTGTGGCAAAACCTAATTTGATTTGCATCATCCCGACGCAAAATTCCATCTTATAAATATTTAAACTTGATATACAACATTTGCAAAAATTTTAAAAACCCAAAAAACTACCAATTATTATCAAATACCTTACTTGACTGAAAGTGTTTAATACGGTTTCAAACATCCTTGGAAATCATGGGACCTAATGTGCTGTCATTTTCAAGAACAGTAGAAATTTTGTATCAATTTCCAATTATGGTTGACCCCCAATTTTACAAATTTAGTTAGTCCACATTTTTTTTTTCAATCGATTACACCTCTGTGAACGGGTGCAAGCCAGCTAGTCAGGTTCCCTGACCGGACAATCCCCCGTTTCTTATTTTTTCCAGCATCTTTGAACACACAACTTTAAAAAGGAGAGTGTAACAATATTTGCTATAAAATACTAACCCCCAAATCCATCCATTCCTGAAATTTACAACAAAAGAAAGTGTTGTATATTACCTTTAACTACATTGACAAAAATACTTCTGTTTGATGAGATAATGTTTTCAAGTCTTTTCAATTCGATTCAATTCAATATAACATTTGTTTATATCCAACCATGAACAAAATACAATTCATATAGCATGTACAATAAAGGAAAATAAATATTCATTTTGTCTTGGAAAAACAAATAAGTAAAATTGTAAATGACAGTAAATTATGTGACCTTTGATTAAAACCTCGTTATTAGTCTGTAACATTTTTGCATAACAAATGAAAAGGTATTTTATCTTCTTTCCTTCAAGTTAGGAAGAATGGCAAAATTGCTTGTTTGGCATGGTGTAATGCAAGCCAGCAGTTGGGAAAAAAAAAATAGTTGTGCTTCCGGTTTCCCTACCTACCCTATTCTGACAGCCCCTACCCTAAATTTTTATTGGGAAAATGAGAAAAAACACCCAAAACCATCAATTTTTACCTTTTACCCTTGAATAAACGCTGACGCATTCATATGATCGTAAACAAAAAAAATTTGGGAAAAAAAACATTCCCTACCTGCCTAACTTATTTTCGAATGCCATGTAATCGAAAGCAGATTTTTTTTTTGGCCTTGCCCACACATATTTTCACGACGTTCACACACTTTGTGAAAATTGGCAAAGAACTTTTCAACATAATATAGATGCTGTTAATTGACTGATTTTTAAGAAGAAATTTGAGCTAGTATTCTGCTAAAATGTGGCTTTCAAGAAAATGCTGGAATTGGACAAACAATAAAACCACGCAACTTGTAATGAAATAGTTGACGTTTTTCATCTTATCCTCAAGACCACTCACATTTTTTAATATTTGAATTGGAAAAACCAAGGCTATTTGGATATTCGGTTAATTATCCAATATACGAATATCCGGTTAATTCTGCACAGCCCTAACAAAGATTGCTACCAAACATACCTTGAGATTGACAAAGTCTTGCTCGTCCATGCCGTGGATGGAGATGAGGTTGCCCCCCTTCTGGTTACACCATTGCTCCGCCCCATCCCAGCTCCTACGCCCCTCGGCTGCGTCAGTGACGGAACTGAAGTAGTAGCAGGAATCTCCCCTGAGGATCCAGGCATCGTCGGTAGGACAAGGTGGGTCTGGAAACAATTTATGCAATTTTTTTTTAGAAACAAGACAAGTATTTTAAAGGTAGGGTACATCATTTGTCATTTGCGCATTTTTGTCATTTGAATCAACAAAAGTGCCAAAATCTAAAGAAGCGTGCTGAACCTTAAGAGTTCCACGCACATTCAAAAAGGCAGGGGACAGGGCCTTCTCAGTGTCTGGTCCCCGATGCTGGAATTCCTTGTCACACAACATCCGCAACATCAGTTCTCTTGACAACTTTAAGGGCAGACTGAAAACTGATCTGTTTTCTCCACATAATCTGTAACTTGTCTTCTGGAGTTGTCCTTAGGCGCGCATTGTTACTTGCGAAAATGCGCGCTATAAATCGTGTTATTATTAATATTAACCTTCAGTTAACCCTTCAGTGAATGCTGTACATTCTGAGAAAACAATATTCGAGGATCTCGATTTCAATTAAAAAGTTGCCGACTCATGTTTTGAATTGTGCTCGAAAACACCGTCCGAGACACGTCCTCATTCAGCCGATTGCAGCTACGACTGATGTACGTCAGAGACTCCTCATTCATCTGTATTGCGAACGTCCTTATATAGACCAGTTCTTTCAACTTCAAAATCCCCCCCCCCCGCATCCCCATTGCAGCTCAGTAGCAGGGATAATACTGGATTTCCTACCAACATTGAAGTAGATTTCCTCTGATTCTGCCCCTGATTCATACCACATACCCCATGTCATATAGGCTTCCTTCATGGTGCCCAATTCAGCACATAGTCCAGAATGTGTACAAACAAATAAAAAATAAACACAGAACGCTGAGTCCAGCACCTGATGCATTTGTTGAAGTCAAGTCCTAAAAGATAAATCCCAGCAGCCGATTTCACGAAACTTTACGCAATGGCGTAACGCCCCTCGCGCCACAATTGATTGTGTTAAGTTGCGCTACATTTCACGCTACGCAGCATTTAAGTTATGACGTATTTCACAAAAGTTTCATAGTTTCACAAGTCCGGGACGTGTGCAACAATTTACGGCGTAACTGGCACAATTATTTTAGGTGGCATAAATTGTGGCGTAGTGACTGAAAACGACCTATTTTACCAGCAAATCGTGATAGAAGTGGAGCCTGTTTTTGCACAACTTATCAAGGTTGATACAAGACACTCATAGCTGTGTGTTTGAGGTAAATGAATTGCTGTTTTACTTAGGCCAGAACTTATAGAGTTGCCGTACGATTTCTAAGAAAGTTGGGCAAAACTTTTTTCAAAATGGCGGGCGGTTGTGATTCACTGACAGTTTTGTGACCGAACAAAATCATACACAAACCGCTGTCGAAAAATGCTGGGGGGGGGGGGGGAGGGGGAACGAAACATTTGATAGGCGCATAATGGAGTCAGAAAGTCGAGGAAAAAGTCTGAAAGACAAGGGCACCGTTCATGGTGCTTCAATCATGTCCATGATTCAACCACACAACTCCACACAACTCCAATACGCCACTTGCATTCGTACGTGGGGAAAAATCAGGCATTTATCATGTTTCTCTTGCAACAAATGCCAGTGAAGTGTTGATCGCTAATGCTCTCTTCACTATCCTCGAGATAATCATCATGATTTGTAAAGCATTGCATTTTGTACAACTAAACTGAAACCTCCGAAAATCGCACAACATAATGATTTTATCCACTGGATCGTTCAAGAGGCTACCCGTTCCCGACCGGCCAAGTGCTAGCAGACGGTACGGTGCGGAACGGCGCTGGTACCATTGCATATCATCTTTGTACATATGCATGCACGTGCGACACGGTGATTTTTCCATGTCACCTGTCAATGTTTAACCTTTTGTCCAGCCGGAAAAGGCTCCAATCAGTGTTATGGCCTGTGTTTCTACCGTTGAAACACTCCAATAACGACTGGTGAAAGAGATTAAAACTATGTTCGCGCTGATTTTAACGTGCCATTTCCATCAACTTTTCATCGACCTTTCTTCGATATTATGATCGAAATAAAATGACATTTTGTGAAAAAATCGTTACAAAATCAAATTTTGTGGGACACATTGTAAGAAAATCGGTAATTTTGTTGGAAAATTCAAAAAGTCGGATTTCCGATTAAAATCGGAAAAGTTTTATCTCTGGGCTTTCGGTCACAAATATGCATGAGGTACTGGTATAGCAATTCAAAATGTTACGCAGCTACGTCATGTTTTGTGAAATCGATCGTTAAGTTTACTGCGCAACAAATTTATTGCGTAAGTCCTACGCACGGCGTTAGTTCCGCGCTGTTTTGTAAAATTGACTGCTGGTCACCTTGTTGCTAGTCAAGTGACAAGCTATGAACTGTGCTAAAGGCATTCATTTGTCATTGTTCATCCACTGTTACTTGAAAACCGAATTTGACTTGTGATTTGACCAGTAGTGACTTGTGTTTCAATTTGGTTTTGATTTGTGATTTGACTTGTGATTGATGTGGAATTCGATTTGTGACTTTCTTTGGTGCGACTGGTGACTTGACTTGTGATTTGTCTTGAGCGTTATGTACAGTGGATTCAGACCCAAAATATTAAGTTTGTCTCTGAAACCATTTTGTCTCTTGATCTTTTTAGTACTGCAGAAAAAATTGACTTATTTAAATACTCACATTCAGGAGCTGCTGTTGTGAATGGTATCTCTCCTATAAAAAAAAAAACAGAATAAAAAGAGATGAAATCTTGTTGAGAGAGTTGAAAACTAACCAGATAATCACAGCTCGGCAAGAACAGGAAGATGAAAGCTTGACATCATCCTGACAGGAAATTTAATCATTGTTAATTGATTGCGTCGCCCGGTGCTAATATCCTCTGGATGGACGGGGTTTAGCTTGACAGTAGCGTTCAAGATATTTGAACGATTAGAAACAAGGTCCTGGCTTCAAAACCCACTTTTTTTGAGGTTGGGGGGGGGGGGAGGTCTCAGAATGCATTGAGCATGCTGTTGCTGTCACGTGGCATGGCCCCTAACAATTTTACATCTCTGGTGTCTTGCTAGAGCAACATTTTTACCTCAAATTTCACATGTTGTGAAATTCATCAAGTTTTTAACTTTACCTTTCATAAACCTTAGTTCATCTACCCATCCAAATCACACTACCAATCCCCCCCCCACCACCAAAAAAAGAGCCTGGCATGCATGTCCTACCAGGTGTTGTGCTGACAGTTGTCGTATTCCACGATAAAATTTGACTTGTCCGTCCTGCTGTTGTTGCAGTTGTTTGGGGTAATTCTGTAGTTCCTGGGGCGTCGGTTGGCAACCAGTCCGTACCTACAACTGCCGTCAAATTATTTGTAGTCGGTGTATCAACTGTGGCAGCAGTTACGTTGCTGTTACCGTTCTGGACAATTTCTGGAGTTGTATTTCCAATTGACTGTCCGGTAATGGGCAAAGTCTGGAGGCATATGCTCACAACTACAGTAAGCCAGTATCCACTTAAAGTAGGCGGCTGGAACTTGAATGATCTCCACCGACACTTGAGGAGAAATAATCCCGTTTCTTGATTTCCAAGCATGTTGATTGATCCCTTCAACGTCCACATTGAGAACATGTTAACTCCACAAGACAGGCCATTATTATCCACAATGAACAAGCCATGTTTTAATACCCAGTGATTGTCGCACTTTTCCGTTGGAAACATTCATTCCAAATATTCATTCCAGTCCTTTCAAAACTGACGTAAATCTCTGTGGTACGAAACTTGGACAGTGCTACCTCGCTTGCATGATATATGGCATCCGATGGAGTATCCTCATCATGTTCTTATTATCTGACGTTATCCAACTTAGTGGTTGGATGAAAACCGATAATGCCGTCCCTCCCTATAAAGTCTCAACGGAATTGATTTACAAAAAAAAAAATTAAAACTGGATCAACGAATGGAAGACAGCTGTTCGTTCATCCATCGCTGTGACTTTCACTGTCAGAAGCTCCAGGTGCAGTAGACCTTTTCTAACCTCAAATCTAAGGCTCTGTCAAATTCAGGGAAAAAATGATGCTTCACGGACCTGTCGACCCAACAGAGCCAAACTTGACGATGACAATACAAGGTCAACTTGAACAGTCACTTCTGACAATGTAGGCTCATCTGGGTAAAGGAGGGTAAACCCAGGGCTCTATTCTTGGTGATGGTCCCGTCCTCTGCCCGGAACCGAGGTCATCAATCAGTCGCAGTTGTGATTATACACAAATCTGTTGAGCATCAACGGTGTCCAAGTTCAGATAGTCTCCAGAGCCAGCAAGTTCTCGTTAATCCCTGAAGTCAGTCATTTCTCCCCTCTCTCTCTTTAACACATCAGATGTTGTACTCCGTAACCGCAGACCCGTCGTCCGATGATTTGCTTAGAAAAGGTGGGGAGCAGACTCAGGCATCTCAAAATATGACAACTTCATGAGATATGAATTGTCTCTGGAGACATTTCAGATTCTAAATTAAAAAAGTTTTTCTGAGGTGCTGGGATATCATAATTTAATGACTTGATCAAGTCTGACAGTCAAATAAGGACCACGTGTGGGAGGCATACATATACAAAGCTTAATTTCCTAGATGCCTTAATATCTGTGTGGTAGCGGATTAAACTTTTTGGTTGATACTGAATAAATCAGGATGGTTCAAAGTGACAGATCACAGTGCGCTTCCTGCCCCGATCTCGCGAGGGGGAAGCAGGAGGGGTAACTTCTTGGACCAGAAGTCGGTTCAAGAGGCTACCGTGATTGTACGTCCTGTGCAGCTAACGAGGCGCATCCGTTATGACGACGACAGCTTTTCTGCAGTGACTCGCCACGGCAGCGCCATCGAATACAAACCAAAAACGAAATTGAAAAAAAAAAAAAACCTCTCAAGCAGGGCCATCCCCTCGTATCAATCACACGCCATGAATCATCCTGGGATCGTGACAGGTCGAGGGACGCAAAAGCAACAGAAGGAGGGTAATCGAACCTGAACGACTGCCAATTGAAACTAAATCTACCGCCCACAGCTTTTTATCACCTCGGTTTTTATATTCCCATGGCGACTTCAAAACAGACAAGACTAATTTACTGAAGTGCACCCCTGCGTCAATTAATTCACTTGACAATAAAACAAAAAGGTCACATTTGCTAAAATAAATCTGAAACGTTGATGATCCCTTACATAATTGTTTTTCTCGTTTAAAGTGATATTTGGAAGTAGCTGTCGTATGACATGAACTACACGGAATAAAAGAGGGTTTCAATATGGGATCCCGCTATAAGCAAGTTTGACAGTTATATGTGGTGAGTTCGTTCCAGTTGTTTCTTTCAGCAACACAACCTAAAATTGTAATCATGTAGTTTAGGACCTCGTTCCATTTAAGAGAACGAAAAGACACTTTTTTGTTTAAGGACTCAACTAAACATTTAGCAATGATACAAGCAGAAGGAGTCACTTAGGTGTTTAGAATCATCTAAATTATTCACGGCAGCAAGCTTAATTTTGTGAGAAGAGGGCAGGGTTTAGATTTATGAGGGAAATTATGGGGTAAAACAGCAATGAAGACAACCTGCATGACCCCTCCCCCCCCAAAAAAAAGCCCCAAGATGGCGACAATGACTCAGAGTGCAAAAAAGGTTTTAAAAATGTGCAGTCTTCAAAAGTACTTATCAAAATTACAAAAAAAAAAAAATAAGCTCATCTTAAGAAAAAAAAACTGCTTAAGCCTGCAAAAGTCATTTTGGAATTTTGACTGTATTTTGCAAAAGTCATTTTTGAATGACACTTGCAAAAAAAATGGAGGTGTCCTAAACACGATTACCCAAAATATATATCATGTTTTCTTTTAGAGAAGAGATCTTCCTTGTTATCTGATGATATTACTTACTCCTTGCATGGTTCAGTGGTGTGTTAACAAAGTTGGAAGCCTTTAATCAACCAAGTAGGCAATTCAAGTTGTGGACTTAAGTTATTCATTAATCAAATTTGGCATTCGGTCGGGATCGACTCATTTCCAGTGGGGTCCCTCGGTAGAAGATGTGGAAGGAAACGACAGGTTTAGACGGAGATGAGAAGCCAAAAATCTGGAAGGATATTCCTGGGCAAAATCCAGAGGAATCAGGAAGGAACTAATAATAATCAAACCCACATGTTGTGGCAGGATTCGAACCCGGGTCACGGCGGTGAAATCCAAAGGAATCAGGAAGGAACTAATAATAATCAAATCCACATGTTGTGGCAGGATTCGAACCCGGGTCACGGCGTTGGAAGTCCAGGAAACTATCGCTACGCCAACCTGTCCCAAACTTGCAGTAATGAAACCCCCCCCCTTCTCCCCCCCCCCAAAAAAAATCAGGGTCCAATTTCATGGAAAGGCCAATCAGAAAAATATTGTTTATGTAAGCAAAAATCTCAGCCGATAACCAGTCAGAAGCAATATACTTTACATTACATTTTGGTTGGTAAATTGTTTCTGCTAGCAAGTTTGTTATGTGCTTAGCAAATTTTTGTGTTCTAAGCTTCACATATACACATGGCATGCACAGTGTATGGATTGATGTACCGGTACTATCGCGAAGGAAGATGGCGCCCGATTGAAACTGATTTAACGGCTCCCCACCAGCCTGTGAAGGGGTACATCTGCACAAGGCTGACACACAAGAGAACCAATGCATGTACGTGGAGCTCTATCTTTTTCTTGTGCAGACAATGTACTTGTAGCACCTCAAGTACACCCAATAGTTAACAGAATTTCCTGCATTTTTTTTGTGCAGAGCAAATTGAAAATGTACTGACTGTGCATTAAGGTTTGGGGCATATTGGCATCATTCTATACATCAGTTTCAAATATTGCATGCATGCAAAAAGACTCAAGCTTTCCAAAAGTTTGTGCACAAACCTGGATGTGCCAAGCGAGGCTACATTGTGTACAATGATGTCAGGCTATGTTCGAATCACTTAACTACGGCCGGCAAATAACACAAGATTCCATACGAAGTGGCTGCAGCCGGCGGCCAGTGGCTTCCATAGGTGTACGTGTTATTTCTGGCCATAGCCAGATGATTTGGACACAGTCTTAGCCCTCTAGGAATAGACCCAAGACCTAATGACGTAAATGGCTTTGTTTACATATGCGCTTTCCCATCGTCAGGATTCCAGACGAACATGCTAAACCGTGATTTGGCTGGCGTAGGCAATTTTACCCTCAGGCCTACTTAGAATAGCTGTATGGAGACAACCTACCGTAAGGCCTCATGCAGATGGACAGTTTGCGTAAGGAGCAGTCCAGATCGCCCCATTTCTGGTTGCTTGGTTGGATCACGACGCAGTCTTCGCCCTGGCCGATGTTGTTCGGTGCGCTGGTATCCCACAGGGATCTGGGTGCAAATATGTCAAGCTTGATTTAAAGCCAAAAAAAAAAGTCTCCGGTTTCTGGTATGGAGCTTGCCCCAAAAGTGGTGCGGTGACACGCCTTTTTTTTTTTTTACCGTTTTTTTCTTCTTCAAATGTCGGCTGATGACTGCAAATGGCACCCGACTAAATTTAGTGCAAATATGTGGGAGTCCAGAGAGGCCAAATATAGCTTATACTCGATTGTAACCCCATCTAAAAACACGTTAAAATTGTGCAGCAGCAGGATTCCAGTCAAACCAGTGAGTTTGGCAGTTTTGAGACATCATCTTACATTGAACAAAAAAAATTTCATTTTGCCGACGCGCATGGCTACGGCAATGCGTGCCCATACCAGAAACTGGAGACTTTTTTGTGTGGCCTAACTCCCTAGCATGATTTACCAGGAACCATACCAGGAACAGCAAATTTACCAGGATCAGCAAATATTGCATATCACCTTTAACAATTTTATTAGTTGAAAACATCACAACTTTTATAGCGAGACATCATATACTAGGTATGAATGTATGTGAAAGTTACCAGGAGTCATCGAGTTGTAACTGACACACAAGATTTTGGTGTTGGGGGGGGGGGGTGTCATGCCCCCTACATGTTACACCACTGCCTGTGTGAATGGGAGGACTACTTACACTAGGGGAGAGCTATCGGTAAGTGTAGTACCATCCACCCAGAAGAAATTCCCCTCTCTGTCGACATCATGAAGTCCGATCCAGTGGTTCTTGCCGCTGGGGGTCACGAAACCAGCAAGCCAAGTCTGATTAAAAAACAAAAAAACAAAATTGATAATAACAATTAATAATAATAATTGTGCTAACATAGCGCTTTTCATCGTATCAACAGTCTGAAAGCGCTTTACAATTATTACCCCGTTCATCAGACCATGGGACCACGCGGCAGCCGATACCAGCGCTCAATCGGTCCTTGACCCTCACAGGTACCCATTCATACTCCTGGGTGGAGAGAGGCAATTGTAGCCAAGGGCACAAACACCATGTTCCTGGCAGGGTTCAAACCCCAGCAAGCAAGTAACCACTGGACCATGGCATTCTACATTAACCTGTTAATATTCTGCATTAACCTGTAGATTAACACCGGTGTTCTCCTGGAGATGATCAGAGCAAACTGATTGGAACGATGAGTTTCGCAACCAACCGGTTCGTTTCAAGAGAGATTCTTCTCCGCATGGTTTTACCGCAAACCCTCACTATAATGCCAGTGATGTTGTCAAGTCCATCACAAGTCCAGTCATGAAGTAAAATCAAACGTCCATTTACAAGTCCAGTCACAAGAAACAGGGGATGAACAGTAAAAAAAGGGAATGCCTTTGTCGAAGCTCATTTGAAGAGCTTGTGACATGAATTGGGACTGAAGGACTTGTGATGGACTTGTGAGGAATTGCAGGGACTTTTGATGGACTTGTGAGGACTTGTGATGGACTTGTGAGGACTTGCAGGGACTTGTGATGGACTCGTGAGGACTTGCAGGGACTTGTGATGGACTCGTGAGGACTTGCAGGGACTTGTGATGGACTTATGAGGACTTGCAGGGACTTTTGATGGACTCGTGAGGACTTGCAGGGACTTGTGATGGACTCGTGAGGACTTGCAGGGACTTGTGATGGACTCGTGAGGACTTGCAGGGACTTGTGATGGACTCGTGAGGACTTGCAGGGACTTGTGATGGACTCGTGAGGACTTGCAGGGACTTGTGATGGACCTGTGATCTCAGCTAAGCCTAAGATCGATCTCAGAGCTGGGACTCGTCTTTGGTCTAAAGCCCGGATCATACTTCATGCGAAAGCGAATTTGACGTCATAAAAACATTCGCTGCGAATTTCGCCGGAGTTGAAATATGTTCAACTTTTACGAATTCGCAGCGCGAATACTTGCCACAACGTCACAAATTCACGTTCGCTTTTGCTTTCGCGCAGAGTATGAACCGGGCTTAAGATGAGTCGTAAGATAAGACAAGTTTCATGAAATCGGACCCAGGGGACTCAATCTAAAAGGGCTCAAAATACCAATAGGAAATATTCATTTTCACAAAGCGGTTTTTCGATAATTCTCTATTGTTATTGTTATTGACAGGCATGCAACTGGGAATTTATTTTAAAAAAACCAGGAAACTCCAAACCACACAAGATTCTGTAAGGTATTTTTCAATTTATAATGGCACCCATGAGAAGCACAAAACGAGGAAATCAGTGGATCCAAGGAAAAGTTGCATGCCTGTACCTTTGGTTTATTATCCATCTTGTTTTAGTAGCCCACAGGCTAAATTGTACGGTGGATTATAATTATACCAAATAAAAAAAAAGTAACAAAAGACCAAAAAACAACAAAATATTGAACAAATTCAATGATCAAGCAGTGATTATCATTGTTTGCCTAAATGAGTCAAATATCAAAAGAAAAAAAAACATTGATTTTAATTATTAGTTTTATAGATTTGACTGATTTTGATTAAGAACCGAGGAATCCTTACGTTCGTGTCCAGGCTGGTGACGACAACCAGATCAGCTAGGTCCACTTGGCAATCTGCCCTGGCATCGTTCCAGGCGAGGGGTGTGCCAGTCTTAAAGATGAAACAGTCACCCTGGTAGGCGGTCCATCCCGTCGGACAAACAGAGGCTACGACAAAAATTTCAAAAGTTAATTCAGAGAGTTCAAAAATGTACAAATATCATGGAAAAAATGTTGCAACCTGACGCCACTTTTGAAACAAAAAAAATACTTTTTTTTTGCTTATTTTGTACCTCAGAGAGTGTACTTTCATGTGAGAACTGTAAGGAATATGTTGATGAAGTCTTTAAGAGAGATTTGTAGGCGAATGTGTGGCCAACTTAGTGAATGTTTACATTTCACCGCATGTTGACGTAGAGGAGGCCCTCAACTGACGCGATGGAAACATGTGGTGACGTGTAAAAAATCACTAGGTTGGCCACATATTCACCTGCAAATCTCTCTTAAAGACTTTGTCAACATATTCCTTTCAGTTCTCTTTCAGAGTTTCAGTTCTCTTTCAGAGTTTCAGTTCTCTTTCAGAGTTTCAGTTTTCTTTTTTTTTCTGTTCGAAAGTGGCGTAAGGTTGCAGCGTTTCTTCCAATATCATTTTCTTTTGCACAAAAGTGGTCTAACTCTTAAAGTAGGGTGCATAACAAACTTGTTAAAGTTTTAGCCCAGTGGCTAGCTATACACTGTGAGAAAACAGCGAAAAAGTATGTACGATTTTTTGGGTCACGTAACTGGATTCCATAAACAAAAAAAGGTGTGCCCGCAGGGAAGCCATGTTAAAACCACCTTCAATGTTGATTTTCTTTCGATCAACGCAATATCTGACAGAATAATTTCACAGGCTGATAACAGTCCTATCTTCATTTTGTGCAAGCTTTCTGTCATTAAATTGGTAGGAAATTTTCTGGAGAATTGCAAATGAGTCTTGGTTGAACTTGCTCAAGGCTTTGTTTGTTCAGCGCACAGGGGCCACTGATCTGTTAAGATTTCTTCTTGACTTGAGGATGAGTTAAACTGATGCGAGACAAACATGACTTTTTTTACCCACCTCCAATTTTCTGACAGACGTAGAATCTCTTGTACGTGCAGCGATTGTCGTCCCATTTCCCGTTTGGTTTGAGCACCACGCAATCCTCACCATCCGAGAAATCATCAGGGGCCCCGCCGCTCCACAGAGAGCTACAAAAACAACACCAAAGTCATAGTAATACTTGGGAGTTTCATCAAAATATCACAACCCTTGTCTTTCATATGAAGTGGTCATCTTGTTAGTGAACCTCTTGCTATCTAGCGCAGATGTCTTACCACTCGAACTCCAAGCTTGCCAGCGTCACTTTGCCATATTATCATCTTGTTAAAAAATAAAAATCAGTTGCAGTCATTCTTACGTTAAGCTAGGGTCGAGCTGGGATCCGTCGGTCCACATGAAGCGACCTTCGTTACTCAGGTCATGTAGACCAATGTAGTGACCATCTCCTGCCTCAGATACGTACTTTCCAGCCCACGCCTGACAAGCAGAAACAAACAAAAAACAGTGATGCCTTAACCTATTTTTATTTTCAAGTAACTTTCAAATTGAGGGAGACTTTCAAAATATAGATCTATTCCATTAAATTTTGGTGAACTCTTGAGCGCCATGGTTGGATCTGTGCTTTCACGAAATGTGATTGTGTACGAAATTGGATTGCCATCGATCGTTCGATCGTGCTGCCATCCGTCAATCACCTTTTCTTTATAATTCACAGCTCTGGAGGATGTTTGTTAAAAAGAGAAGTAAAGCCTGATATTTTACACGAGATCTATTATGCAATCGCATTTCTGCATGATCGAGCGACAGTGCAAATCCAGCAATCACACCTAACAATATCACTTCAAGAAAAATGTAAACAAGTGATTTCCATCCACTTCAGGTCTTCTCAAATAGAATATGGTTTCAGACACATACAAGCTTGTAATGCAGTAATTTTCTAATGAATAGACCCTGAATTCTTTCTAAACAACTGTAAAAGTCAATCTTTAGCATATAATTCTCCTCCTTGTTTCAACATTAAACTTACTAAAACTTCGAAATAATTTTGCTGACTCTGGACTGCTAGTCTGAAATTTGGCAAAGGAAAGTCCATTTTTAAATTTAAACCATCGTTTTAAAGTGTAAAATCTATATTTTAACCAATTCACATCGTATGACGCGTATACACGCAAAGGTTCTGTGGTATTCGGAATGGATGACGGATAAACACGCAAGGAGCGAGGCCGTAAATATCTGTCTGTAACCCGCTCACAGCGAGTGAGGCCGGAAGTATCAGGGTGTGCTACCCGCAGATGACGGCCTGAACCCGTCTGGCATTGAGGCTCGTGAAAACAATCCTGGCCTGGGTTCAGTCATGTCAAAATAATCCTGGCGCAAACTGGTTAAATATTTTAAATAAATTTCTTGACCAGCTGCCCAGAAATGTTTGATTTTGAAAGAACGCATCAAATCTCCTGTGCTTACGTTGGTTTCCACGCTGTCAATCTTGGCCAGATCTCCCTGGTAGCCTTGGCAGGTCATTTTGGCATCGTTCCAATTCTGGTAGGTTGTCATGAAGCGGTAGCAGCGACCCTTGTGCAGCTTCCAACCGTCAGGGCACAAGACTGAAAGGGAACAAGGAGGGAGAGAGGTCCAAATAATAAGCCAATTAGGTACCGATAACGTGCACTAACTGCTGATAGACCTTTGTGACCACCCATATTTACGTTACACACCTAGTGTGGACATTCTTTTGTTTTATCGTGTAGTTCAGAAAAACCTGTGAAAAAAACTCATTTTACTCACACTGTGAAAACTCTTTCAACCCAATTTTTTTTTCTATGATTTCTTGGCCTTTTAGTGTTTCTCTTCATTGATAGCTTCACTGATAAACCTAACCCAAAAATGCCTCTAAACCTGTTTTCCAGAGAAGGGGAAACACTGTGTGGACGTGGGCAAGTCCACACAACGTCGCTGCTACCTGGTTTATGTGGACATCTTTTGTTCGACAGTCCACACAGTGAATGTAATGCTTGTACATTATGACTTTTTGTTGTGAATGTGCACAAACTCATAGTATCTTTGCATCAGCGTCAGGCAACGTTGGCAATAGGTTCAAGTGTCCCTCCCAGTGGTCCCCCCCAACTCTCCCCTGGTAAACATCGAGGGGGTACTTGTGCTTTGGCTGAATTTCAATCATTTCTGAACAAACTGCGCTCATTTTTGTGTTCATGAAAGTCATAGTGTACATCACGGATGAACGAGGATACAGGACGAACGATCATGTGGATAGTGTGTAGATTCCCAGCTTGGTTACCATTTTCATGGTGTCAATAAAACATTTCTTTATTCATAGTGCCCTAGGCCTTTTTTGCTAGGATGCAGCCTCAATCCTGCAAAATCCTCCAATTGGCCTTATGGAAAAATAGCATAGCCTCGTCAATCCTGCAAATTCCTCCATTATTTCTTAAATATGGTCCGTGGAGGGGTGACCACTGCCTGAATCCTGCAAAATCCTGCTGCAGTGACTGTCAATATGTTGAGGCTTGGCTAGTGACATCCTGGAGCAGTACCGAGAATTTCAAGCATAATCCCACATTTATGCATGGCTGAGCAAAAACAACACAAGGTCCGGCCCAAGACTTTGACAAAGTGCATCCTATGAAATCAGTAACGCATGAAATTCCTCCACTTTGGCAAAGAGGATTTTAAAGGATTCAGGGCGGTTAGGGTTAGTCATACGTGTAAATCCAAGTATGGACACTGGTGTGAATTCACCCATTCAGATTCTACTATCGTCTCGGTAAAATCTCATAAAAAAATCAGTCCGATGCAAACACTGTTACAGTAACCATGGTGCGCATATACTCGTGCACAAGTCCGACTCACCTATAGGCCTTTGGCAGATGTGTGCTTTGTTGTATGTGCAGGTGTCGTCGTTCCATCGGCCGTCCGTCCTCAGCAGAGTGCAGTCTTCACCGACAGCGCCGTAATTATCGGGTTGCCCCGCATCCCAGAAATTCCTGAGAAAAAAAAAGTCTAGAAATAGTTTATCCTTTTTCAGAATGCACTTCTTCAAAAGGATGAAAGATTTGTTGATCATTAATAGAGAAAAACTTAGAACATTTATGAAATTGAACAGAACATATGCTGGAAATGGGACAGGACATTTTCCTTGATTAACTGACAACTGGCATGCTGTCTTGGTCAATTAAACTTCTCGATACCTTCTTCTCACAAGAACCCATCGAATATAAAGCGTATGCCTGCCTGCCATTTTGTCTTTAACTTTTTTTTTCATTTATTTTTCTTTAGCTATCACTGAAGAAAATTATGATGAAGATGAACAAAATTCTTTGTATTCTGTAGTAGAGGAAAAAACAGGCAAGAGTAGTGGCAGATCCAGTATATTTCAAAAAAGGGATGGTAGGGGTGTTGGAGTCCAGGACTTTTTGGGGAAAGGGGGAGGGTTAAGGATCAATCACTCAAGATCTGGAATGCTTGAGAAACGACAATAATCAGGGAACTTACGGAAATTTGAGATTTTGTCTATGTGTAATTAATTAACAATTGCTGGGGGGAAGGGGGGGGGGGGGAGGCTAGTTAACCACCTACTTTACCCCCTTGCGAACCCACCCCTGCAAGAGATACAGTCAAAGTGAACTTACGCTAGGACTGGGTCCAGTGGCGTGCCATCGACCCACTCAAACTGGCCTTCATCTGTCAGATCATGCAGACCGATCCAATGGTCCATGCCAGTAGATGCGATATTGGTAGTCAGCCATGTCTACACACAAAAATTAAAATTGCGGAAAATTAACGGACAACATAAATTAACAGGTATGAAATAAATTTGGCACAACTCCAAGACGCAGTGTTGTAACAAGTCATCACAAGTCAGTCACAAAAATTAGTAAAATTGTCTCATGGCCTGAAGTACAGGGGTAATAATTCGGGCAGTCCACAATGCAGTGCGCCACCAAGAGTTTGCCATGGAGAGTCCAGTTTTAACGTTTACGGTTGGCAAAACACGGCCCATTTGAACGAGTGTCAGTAAACAACTTGAGCTAATTTGTTATAGATTGGGGTAAAACGTTCTGACGCCTCACAAAAAAACACCATATTGATAAAAAGAAAAGAAAAGGGAAAACAGATCTCCGAATCATACGCTTACCAAACTACTGACTGGAAGAACTAACAATTTCAAATGTCCTGCGCTGCGAATTTGTCGACCATCTCCCACAATGCAATTGGAAAATGAACTCTCCGTGGCAAACTCTTGGTGGCACACATTAATCGCCCTAATTGTTAAGCACTTTGGGACTTGGTTTTACAAGTGCTATATTAGCACCACTTGTTATTATGATAGTTATTCATAACATTTTTTCGTCGTCTTACGTTCAGGCTAGAGCTGGAGATGATCACCAGGTCGGCTTCGTCGTCTAGGCAAGCTGCTCGGGCATCGTCGTGGCTCAGCATCTGAGGCCTGAAGGAGTAACACTTGTCCTCATACTGCATCCAGCCGTCTGAGCATCCCAACACTGGATGAGGAAGACAGAGAGAGCAAATCAAAGATGCGATTCCATATTAAAAAATCAAACATTTGACCAAGTCTAGAAAATCTCTGAAATATCTGTTGATGGGTGAGTTGCATACCTAAATACTCCAGCTACACAGACCAAAATGAGTTTTTCATGGAAATGGCCAGGAATGTGATATTTAAATACCTTAGAATTTTGTCCATGCAACACATGACTTTGTCCCATATGACACAGGTACATTTCTCCATCAATTGACTTGTCTCACCTCTGGACGTCTTGCAGACCCAGCCGCGTCGGTCGTCACAGTTCTGATCGTTCCAGCCAGCCCCGCTGAAGAACATCTCTGCGCAATCCTCTCCACCATCGAAGGCATTGTTGGGCTCACCGTAGTTCCAGTTGGTGTACTGAAGCACCGATCCGTCCGTCCATTCAAAACCTTCATGGCAAGGAAAGCAACAAAGCATTTAATCAAAAAGTCCTGATGAACAAGCAAAAAGCTTGACAAATCAATGCACTGTGGTGAGTTCGTCTGTGGGAACGCAACGAGTACAAAGAGAAACAATCACTGGGATTGATAGGGTTCAACTATTTTATGACCGTCGCTCGGACATAGGTCCGACTGCTTCAGAATCAGAACAACAGCTAACTAATTCCTTTCTTGTAAGCTGTACTTATTTAACACAGTGTTTGCATGGAATAAAGAATCGAACGTTTTAATAATATTTAAGACATAATTTTATAAATTAAGGTAGCGTGTCACACAAAACAACTTTACGCACTCTGCCAAAAGAGGGCGCTAGCGCGACAAAACAAGTTCACGCAGTTTACATGAGTGTCTGGTTTATGCACAGCAAGAATGCATCGTCGGTGCAGTTGCTCTGTGCTCAAAGCGTGCCGTAGAGGATTATTTAAGCAATTAATTCATAATCGATGAGCAATAAAGTCCCAACAATTATAAACACTTTTTTACGCAGTCTGCTTTCCGTCCCTGTGAACAACAGAACCTTTGTACAGTTCTCACCTCCTTCATTCTGAGTGTCGTGGAGCCCTATCCAGAAAGTATCCTCATTGCTGTCAAAGGCAAAGAAAAGAAATTTGACAATTCATCAAAATGGAATTAAGCACCTTGACAAAAAAAGTAAAGAAAAAAAGTGATCACAAATAAATGCTCAATTACTCAATTACATTGAGGCACTAATATTTAGAAAATAGATGCCCAGAAAATATATGCCACAAAGTGAACATTATAGGACAGACTAATTTTATGCAAATATGCAAATAACCATTGCATCTCTTTAACGTGGGCCTCAAGTGCATAGGGGCAATTATTTCAAGCATCCATCCCCTTTCTCGCATTGTAACCACGGAGAGGGAACTTGTACATGATGTCTAACAAACCATCGGAGATAGAAGTTAAGGATATAAAAGCTATTTTTTTAAGGGGGGGGGGGGTTGACAATAATAATACTGGAGTCTTATATAGTGCACGTATCTACCAACAATTAGGTACTCAAGGCGCTGGTAATTATGTCTATTTTAAAGACAGGTAAATGAAGTTGATGAGAAATATGGGACCAATTATGTAACACCTTTATAATGGTTTACAAGGTGCTGCGGCGCATATTGCAGCAACTGCCAGAAACACCAGGGCAAACCCCTTCTCTTAGCGATAAGTGTTACTGGGTTCTTTAATGTGCATTACACAACACACCTGCGGCTTTACGTCCCATCCGATGGACGAAGCAATAATGGCAAAGTGCCTCGCTCAAGAGCACAAGCCCCATGTTCCCACGGTCAGGATTCGAAACCATGTACCACGCACACGAATCGAACACCATGACCATTGGACCACCATTGTAAGGCATACAAATTCACGATTACAATCAACTCACTATATTCCAGCGTTTTTGACAAAGTACACCTCTTCCTCAGTGCTATGGAAGCTGGCCAGGTTGGCACCCACGCTGTTACAGTAGGCCTCAGCATCCCAGAAAGATTTCTTGTCTGCTGGATCATACACCTATTGACAATGAAGTTAAAAAAATACAACTTGAAGATATCAGGCATGCAACTGGGAAATCACAAAAAAAGAGGAAATTCAAATTTTCCCCAGACATTGTACAGTGTTTTTCTATTTTCAATGGCACACATGGGAAGTAAAAAAAGAGGAAATCAGCTGATCCGAGGAAAACTTGCATGCCTAAGATATCAATGTTTATTTATATTTCCCATTAGTTGTTCAGAATGAAATGCAAATGTCTACACTTATATGTGAGCGACTTTCTTGTGTGACATTAAACAGACACGTTGCTTTGTGTCGAGTGGTGCCGTGAAATTCGCCCCTGGACTTTTGAATAAATGGTCCTTTGTTTCAAATAAAATGCATCAACAAATATTCCCTCGCCCCCTTGAGAAAGACACTGACAACTATGGAGCCACCAACACAGGACTGGTTAGCTCATTTCGTAGAGCACTGAAACGGTATTCCGGAGGCTGCAGGTTCAAACCCCCTTCAATCAATTTCTTTGTTTAATTGTTTTATTATATATGCGCCAATCAGTTCCTATTGTGGTTTTATATTAAAAATTTGTAATAAAAAGCTGTATTCTCTCTGAGAGATCTACGTTTGCTATTTTCCCAGGTTTGCAGCATTGCTAATGCTGTTAGCATCGTGACTTTGGTCGTGATCCCTGGCTACATGGCATATACAGGTTTATGGCTTCCGACTAGAGACGCTTGAACAAAGACAATGACAAAATGGGGAGCTGCCAACACAGGGCTGGATAGCTCAGTTGGTAGAGCCCTGGTCATATTCCGGAGGTTACAGGTTCAAACCCTACCCCAGTCAATTTCTTTGTGCAAGTTTCACCTTGAAGCAGTTGCTGCCCCAGCCGACCCAGCCCACGGGGCAGCCCTGGTTGCTAGGCGACGTGGGCACGGGTGGGTCCGTTACCACGGGAGCCGGTGTGTAGCCGGCCCGCTGCGCCTCGCAGATGTAGCTGAAGCCTGCGTTGCAGCCGTCGACGTTCCAGAGACCAGCCGCGCTGCCAGATGTCACTGCGACACAGCTCCCCCTAGAGTCATCTGTGGGAGTGAGCAAACCGTGAAAATATCTAGTTCTAGGGTTTGTTCCACTCAGATGAAACATTAAATTGAACATCAGCTTGGCACATATTCATCCACAAAAACTCCAGCAGCACCGAGTTTCATACCTAACAAATTTACAGTAGCGGTGGGCAAAATCTAATAGTAAAATTTACATTGCCCCAATGCAAACTTCCATCCAAAACTTTTTTTGATTACAGTCCTTTTCCAAGGTCTCTTTCTTAAAAAGGGTGAAAACCTTTAATTTTGAGAATATTAGAAATTAAAGGATGCTGCGAACTGTTTGTATTACCTGAAATATTCTTTGTAAAATAAGCAGGGCCTGAACTGTTGATCGAAGCAGAATTTTTGTAAAAGCAAAACTGCCTTTAAAAAAATGATTCTGGTGTGATTGAAGCTTTTACTACTACTAGTGACTCGTGCCAATGATGCGTGGAGCTGACAAGGCTAACAAAATTTCATCAGCTGTTCCGATCCCTAGCGAGGTTTTCTCCCTCATCCATTGCTAGACCCAGATGTTGAAGGTCTTGGCGGACAACATCATGCCAGCGAGTACGAGGGGCACCTCTGGGTCTAAAGCTTCAGACCCTCCAAATTTAGCAGATCTAATTTTGAAAACTGTTGACCTTATTCTTGATTCTCTTATTTACTTCTCTCTATAGCCATGTCTGATTTACTTGGCTAGGGCTAGCGATTACACATGTTTCTATGGAAGTGGCTGTAGCCACTTCCAATAGCCATGTGTTAAACTGCCAGTCATAGCCAAGTCATCCGGACAAGGATTAAGATTTGCTATGATTTGTCCTTACCAGGCTGGCCTCTGTCCCAGTGAGTGTAGGTGATCGGCGCGCCGTTGGTCCACTGGTACGAGCCCCTGGTGTCCCCTTCGCTCATTCCGATCCAGAACATCTGACCGTTCTGCAGGCCCAGTTGGCTGGACATGAACGACTGCTCAAATCTGAAAGGGGAACCCAAATAACTAAACCTGAGCTCTTGATGATAATGGCACTTTAAGGGTCCATCAAAACAGCAATTTTTACAAATAAAAAGGTTATTTCTTTGCATGGAGTCCATGTTTAATTTTAATTTTAGGAAAAATAGTAAAAATATTGAAGTGGATCAAAGCAGACTACAATCCTCCATAAGAAAAGAAACTGCGAATACTTTCAACAGAAGAGGACAAAAGTTAGTTTATAAATTTTCCTTTTGCCAAAATTATATAGAATACTTTCACCCATGACCTTCAAAATCTGTTCTGATCAAACGGGAACAGAAGAAAATGCAGGAAAAAATTCTGCAGAGCAGTTTAAATATCAGCTGAAATTATACAAAGTATTCATAAATCCCAATTTTTTTCCTAAATTTTCAAATATCCATTTTTGTCCCATCAAAAGAGAAAGGGAAACATTACAGCCCTCTACAAACAGCAGTTGCATTTACCTTTCATTCACGACAATGAGATGAGCTCCCATGGACTCACAGTCTGACTTGGCCTGGTCCCAGGACACCTCAGGGGTGCCTTCAATCTTGTAACAGGACGCCTCAAAAGCCACCCAGCCCTGTGTGGAAAACAATGCAACAATATACAAATATTGACTGCTTTGTGTAAGGGGATAATTGACCTATCCCCGTTTGCAAGTTAGCCACGCCCCTTAGACAACCTATGGATGTAGTTTTGTTTGTCTCAGATGTTGCGCGTTCCGCGTCCATTTGTATATCATGTAATTGGACAATATTTCACAAGCTGCGTTGACGGGATTCTACCGTGATTCTACCTTGATAGGTCAATACTGTGATGGAGCTATGAACATTTATTAAAAAGGGCCTGGCAGCCGAAAATTGCCCGAGCCCTAAAAAATTGAAACATTGACAAATTTCCAACAATTTCATTGCTCCATTTACTCCTTGTTCAGGGCACTTCTATGGTGCATGCGGTGCGGGCACAGTTGCTCAACATCTCCTTAAATAGAGATCATTTAGCAGGTTCACATAGCCTGTGTACACCACAGGTGGCACGGAGCGAGGGATCTGGCGGAGTTTTATTTTTTACAACACTGAGTGGTGTATAAACAGCTGTGTAAAACCAACCATGTGACAGCTCTCGACCAATAGGAATAGCTAACTGTAAAAGGTAGTTACAAATATGATATATTAAAAGCAGTACTCCGTGGGCTCAAAAGTAATAATGCTCCATTGTAAGCTAGGTTTACTACATCATGAGTTAAGCAGTCAATACTTGTTTTAAAAGAATTTGTGAGAATTTCTTAACAATTTTATGGAATTCATTAAAACAAATTTGGAGTTCTTTTTCTGGACTCCCGTGCACAAGTACCCCCTCAACGGTTACAAAGGGAGAGTTGGGTTAGACCACCGAGAGGGACATTCGAACGCATTCCTGCTGGCGCCCGACGTTTTGGACACATTCAGAATGAAATATACATTGTGCATATGGTGGTGTATAGCCACAAAAGGCATACTCAGTAGTAGAAACAAACTGCTAACAGACAATGAGTTACTTGCTTACCGCATCGCAGCCACTTGGAGTGATTGGGAACTGAGTCGGTCCCAGGTTCTGCTTCATCTGTTTGCAGATGTAATGATTGCGGTCCTCACAATCTTGATCATTCCACCGACCCTGAAATGAGACAATTTCAGCATCAACGTACACCTTCAAATATTTTAATTCTCAAAACTTTGGCCTGCAGTATAAAGTGGGATTTAGACATGAAAGAATGGGCACTGACCACCGACCTCTACATTAATTGGACTGGCTGCTACATGCTGATTGGCCTATCTTGGATCCCCATAATATCACGCTGAGATGTACATGTACACCATTCTGCGGTTGATTCTTTTGAAATTTCACTTTAAACAATAATTCATCGAATAATAATCAGTTATTCTTCAGACGTTGGCTAGTCCTACTGAAATCTCAAAAGCTGGTTAGAAAATATAATGTATATTTTTGCTGCCTTAATTTTGAAGAAGAAATCTAACACCAACTACTTATAAAAAAAAAAAAATTGCTTTTACTGTGCTTGCGTGAAGGGTGACCCACCAAGGTGAAAATTCAGTTCATCTGGTTCAACTGGTTTCAACTGGTACCAGTTGAACTGGAAAATGATGACTGGTTTTGAATTGGTTTAGCTGGTTTGTTTTGAATTGGTCCATCTGGTTTTGAACCAGTTAAACCAGTTCAAAACCAGTCATCCATTTCCAATTCAACTGCTACCAGTTGAAACCAGTTAACATCAGTTCATTGAACCTGGTTTATACGGGAATTTTTAACTGCCTCTTAGCCATTGCCAAAAGCTAATCGTGCCGAAATATCCCGGTGGCTACAAATTTGTGAAATTCTCACTTACCGAGGTGTAGACCTCCACGCAGTCTTCGTTCTTGCCCTCGTAATTGTTGGGTTCGTTGACCTCCCAGTGAGTAAAGGTCACGGGTGACCGGTCACTCCATTCAAAGGTCAGGAATACGGCCGTGTCGCTCATGCCACTCCACACTTGTCCGGTCAGTCCCTCTGATGAGGAAACAGAGACAAAAGATGAGCCTCTCCTAAAGTTTGTCCGACGTCAGGCAGTATAACTTTCCATTCACTACGCTTAAAATAAGTCTCACAAGATCATTTGCTTTTCATGCATTTTGTTCATTTCCAATAATAACGTCACTCAAAATCCAACAAAGAATGTTCAAAACCTAACTCGTTGAAGTTTCAGCTCAGTGGATATTACACTTTTCGAAAAAAAACATGCACAATCTTTCGATCACAAAACACAATTTTGTCAACAGCCCTCTTTGTTTTTAAAACAAGTCAATTGACTGATTGTTGGAAAGCACCTACTTTCCTTGAGTTCTCCTAAATGACATCAAGCTAGACAGGGGTAACAGGCAGGGCAATTTCGGGCAGAACAGACGGGGCAGTTCAGGGCGATACAGGGATGAATGGGCTAAGGTCATTTTCGGCAGTATCAAAATAATACTCTTTTGCAATTCCGATGGTCTTGTTGACTTAAGTCCCTACATACTGAAATGCTTAACCTACTCTGTTGCATGATACTGAGAGGTGAAACCTACTCTGTTGCATGATGGAGACGATGTAGTCATTCTCATTCATGTCGTGGATGGACATCAGATCGGCACCCATCGTCCGGCAGTCGCGTAGGGCCTCCTCCCAGGTCCCGTCCCCTGGCTGGGCCTGGTAGCAGTAGTCACCGTAACCGGACCAGCCGTCCGGACAACGGTAGCCTGGGGCGAGGGTGGCAGGGGGCGTGGGCGGGGCCACACCTGGGACTGCAAGACAAACGAAAGAAATCCTATATCAGTAAAGCCAAGAAGTATTTTAAGAGAATACAATGCATTAAAAATGCGAGGTCTACATGGGTTGGAGTTATTAGACTTTTTTTAAGGAGACTGCTGGTATATCTAGTATCAGAAATAAACACAGACTGACCAATCTGGTAGTAGTCCAGCCCGACGTCCGTCTCCAATCGCCCCACACTGTCCCTGTCCGTGTCGCTCAGCATGCAGTCCTTTGTGGTCCGGTCATAGTCAAAGGACCGGCAGTCAAATGATGTCTCCATGACGCAGCGGTGCGCGCACTCCTCCGGGTAGACATTCCTCAGGACCAGGATGTCCGAGTCGGGCAAGTAGGCGTTGGGGTAGACGGTGAAGTGGGTCACTAAGTAGCCTGGATATTGAGTACAAAAAAAAAAAATAGGTTACTCAACACACATCCATGTGGATATGTACGATATTGTGCACGTCTATGCACCATAAGGGACTGTGATTGACCACAAGAGGGAGCTATTTCCCAAAGGGCGAGGGACATAGGACCCTCTTGTTGTCACTCACAGGCCTAAGAGCAACCTCGTTTCCATGGGTACAATCTTAATTGCTGCGCCATGTTGCTTCCAATCATGCCTTGCGTGATCTTAACTCCTGGAATTGTCTAATTTAAATGTGTCAAATAGTGGCACATTTAAATTAGGACTGCAGTTGATGTATCTGACGCGCGACGGCCTTGTTTAAAATTTTGAAAGTTGTTTTTTTGAAGAATCAATCCTTAGAAGAAAAAAAAAGTTTGACATGACGTGCATAGAGCGTGAGCGCATGATGAGGGCGTGCACTCTTCGAAATATGCGCTCTGAATAGCTGGTCAACGTCGTTTATGTGTTCATCACAGCCAAGGGTTAGTGAAGGAACATGCACGCACCCATGGAGTTGTGGCCGGGCTAAGGGTCAAATATGTGCATTAACCAGTTAGAATTCGGCTCTCCCTCATGAATATGTATGAGGCATAGTAATACAAGTTCGGAGACACCTGTGTCATTTCTTACCGTTTTTCTTGCACACGTATCCTTGCGTCGCAGCACAATCAATGTCATTCCATCTACCGTTGCTGGTCAACAGCTCGGCGCAATTCTCACCGCTTCCGTATTCGTTGGGCTCTCCTGTTCATTTTTAAACAAAATTAATAATAAATAACAAATGTTACAACAAGAATAATAATGATTTGGAAGGCTAATCATCCTTAAGCCCGGTTCATACTTCACGCAAAAGCGAAAGCGAAACGAAATTCGTGACGCCAACAATACGTTCGAAGCGCGTCCACCATTGTTGACGACATGAATTTCGCTTCGCACTTGCTTTCGCGTGAAGTATGAACCGGGCTTACTCGCAGCTGAGAAGCTGAATTGCGAAGGGCGTGGCTACAACGTGGCATGTATTGGCGCCTTTGGCAGCCGTCATAGGACCCATATATGACCATGGAGCACAGACTGAGATCAAAAATGTTCGATTTTTCCGGAGGGAGGAAAACCGGAGGGCCTGGAGAAAAATCCTCGTGGCACCAGAGAGAACCGACACTCTACTCACATATGGTCCGAGCCCGGAATCGAACCAGGGCCACAGTGGTGAGAGGCGAGCCCTTTACGCACCACCCATGCCATTATAGTCCCTGGCTAACAATAGTAAGACATCCTCATGAAACTTCTTGGTTGCGTCTTCTTGTTGTGTGCTATGATATGTCAATCGGTATCCAGCGATGCAACCAAATCATTCAACTAGTTCATCCATGGTCGACTAGCGTGAGCTCAAGTGAAGTTCGAACTATGGCTAATCATAATTTGCAATTTTACTATTTTAGTTTTGGACTTTTGCAAATATTGTCAAGTGATTTGAAACTTTACCTGCATTCCAGTTCAGGAATTTAAAAGGCGCTCCATCACTCCACACCCATCCGCCGCTGGTAGCGATGTCATTGGCTCCGATCCAAACGTGTGGCTCCCTCTCAGTCACCATCCGGGCTGTACACAAATAGAACAGAGAACAAGATGACTTGCACTAGACCTTTACCATGCTGCCACCATTGCAGTCACGTTCCCTGTATCCAATTACAGTACTGGATGATGATTTTTTCTGTGCAAAAAGGAATCAGACTATTTTTCCTTCCAGCTTCGCTTTGGTTACTTTAATTTGAATGGGAAAAAATCAAGATGGCCGCAATATGGTAATGGTCCATCGTTGCCAGATCTAGGATTTTAATAGGACCATTTGCATTTAAGCGAAAAAGTACCTGCTAACTTAATGACAGAAACCTTGTTCAAAGTTGCAGATAGGACTGGTATCAAATTTCTTATAAAATTATTTTGCCTAAATGGTGTCATTTTGGAAGAAAACTAACACTGAATTCAGTGGTTTCAAAATGGGGTTCCTGTGGGCACATTTTTATCCCTCCTGTTAGCAACGGAATCCAGTTACGAGACTCAGAAAAGTGCACAAATGTTTCTCTGTTTTGTCAAAATGTATAGTTCCCGCTAAGCCGAAATGTCAATATGTTACTTGTGTCCTACTTAACATTTTGAGCACTTTTGTATCTTCAAATGAAATGGGAATAAAACAATTATCCTATGTACCTCTCAGGAAAACAGAGTTTAAATCAAGTCAATCACAAGTCCAATCACAGATAAAATCCCAGCTCAAATCACAAGTCAGTTCACAATTGACAGGAGATGAACAAATGACAAAGGAAAGTTTTTATTTCAAGTCATTTAAACAAGCTTGTGAATTGACTCATGATTGACTTGTGATTGAATTGAGATTGACTTGAGATTAACTTGAGTTAAAAAGAAAAAAGTGGCCATTTAGGCTCAAACAAATAACTGTTCTTTGGGGGATAAATGAAATTGGGGCAAATTCCTCCACCCACCCCTAAAAATAAAAGGTTTCTTTTGAATAACGTCAAAAGCAGAAATGGTAATGTTAGGTGTGGAAAAGTTCTGAACTCAGCTTAGACAATTCAAAACAGACTTAATATTTTTTAGTTCTGAACGATGTAGAAATTTAAATTGCGTACAATTCCAAGACGATCTCATGAATACAAAAGACGGGTTTTTATACCGTTCAAGTAAGTCTGCTCCTGGGCGCTGACGATGCTGATGAGGTCGCCGCCTCCCAGCATGCACTGCTCCCTGGCATCGGCCCAAGTCCTGTAGTCCGAGAAGGCAAACCAGTAGCACTGCCCGGTGAGCGGGTCGTATTCCCAGCCTAGGCCGCAACGTGCATCAAATGCAGCTGTGTAAAGGGGACAATAAATACAGTGAAATCTCGATAAGTCAAGTCTGATAACTCAAAATGACTGTTTAGTCAAACAAAGAATCCATTGCCTTCAGTAGTACAACAATGATATACAACTCTGCTTAACTCAAAACTCTGCTTAAGTCAAATTTGAACCTGTTCCCGCAAGATGATAATCTATTGTGGATAAATTTATATACTGGATATTTTTAGTAAGATGATGCCTGCCTTTGATACTTACGTGTTGGTCTTGGTGCAGGTGTACTTGCAACTCCAGCATCTGAGCGAGGAAAACAAACCGGAGAACACAGGAAAAATGATCAAATTGCACACTCAGAAACTCTGAAAATAGTTGCAGCTACTTGTTAACTTGTCCATTTCCTGTTGTCTTATAAATGTAAGCATATGGGACAGACAAAGGAAGGATTGGATTTGTTACAAAGTTGTTACTCTAAAATACACGATCGTTCACATGATCTTAAATGTTTGAGAAACCATCGTATTGATATCATTTTCAAGAACATAATTAACCCAACTGTCCTCTCTTTAAAACTCCTGGGTGAGTTGGAGTCAACATCATGAAAGCCTGCAAAACAATTCAAAGCCAGTCAAAGCCATGATTGATGTTTGACATGCGTGTACAAAAGTGTGACATGTGTAAGACACGTCTGGCTGGAACATGCAGTGTGGCACTGGTCAGGGGCACATGTTGTTGGCCATGTGTGCAGTGGGAGGGGCCTAAAGGATCAGTCTATAGACTCAATTAGTAAGCCCCGCCCACTGCACACACATATGGCTAATAACACGTGCGTCTCTCCAATGCCACACTGCATGTTGCAGCCATGCGTATCATACGCGCACTCACACATGACAGACTTTTGTACACACCATGTCAGATATAAACTGTGACTGTGATTGGTCAGAATGCCATAAGTTGGGGCTTAATTGTTTAATATAGGAGAATAACTCACAGAGATTACAGAATTCGAACTCTCCAGCGAACCCGAAGCCAGTGGAGTATCCGACGTACTTGACGTCCAGGGGTTGGGGGTCAGTCCAGGTCATGAACCATGTCCCTTGGCCCTCTTTGCCGACGTCCAGTTTTCCCGTCCCTAGGTCGTAATTGATCCAAAACCCCCGGAACTCGTTGGCGCTTAGAAAATTTGGCGTGGAGATGTAGACCTCGTTGGTGCACTGGCCGCAGCGCCGGATGGCCGAGTTGCCGTTTGTCCAGCCTCCGATGATGATCTCGTACATCGCGGGCTGGTCGCTGCTTGCCGCGCTCAGGCTGACGTGCACGTCGCTGCCGGCTTTGACGCGGAACTCCACCCTCTCCACGTTGGCCTGGGACGGGTGATAGCGGTAGCTGAAGTTGTCGTCGGTAGAGACGGTGTCCAGAACCTCGCACGCTGAAAACAGACAGTTTATAATAAATAATAATACTAATTGTGCTTATATAGCGCTTTCCATCGTATCAACGATCTCAAAGCACTTTACAATTATTACCCTGTTCATCAGGCCATGGGACCACACGGCAGCCGATATCAGCACTCAATCGGTCCTCGACCCTCACAGGTACCCATTCATACTCCTGGGTGGAGAGAGGCAATTGTAGAAGTGTCTTGCCCAAGGGCACAAACACCATTTTCCTGGTATGGTTCGAACCCACGCACCTTCGTACATGAGTCAAACACCATAACCAATGGGCCATGGCATTCTATGAATCCGCGGAGTTCACGCTTTCGGTCAAGTACCATGTACTTCCAAGGACCAATTTTACAGCTTATCTGTTGACTAAGACATTCTGCGCAAATGATTACTGCACTTGGAATACCAGTACAGAAATTCTACACAAACCTAATAAGCACGGAATCCTTAGCTGTACATAAAGTACTAAGAATGCACAAAACTCACAATTCCTAGCTAATTTGTGGAAAGCAATAACTACTACTTTTATAACACCTCACCCACAGATTCTGTGTCTCGATATGAGAACACTGTATGTATACACTGTTCATAAGAGTACAATATAGTGTTGCTATATGACTAAAAATGTCTACGAAGCTATTGTACAGTTTACATCAAGTTTATACATCTACATCAGAGGCCTATTGTCATTTTTGTGTAAAATGACCCCAGTGACTTGTTTACCTTTGTCCTTTTTACAGATGTACCCGTAATTAGCGTCGCAGGCTTGATCGTTCCAGGTTCCTGCCTGCAATTCGTCTGGTCGGAGGTGGACGCAATCCTCTCCGTCGCCGTAATCGTTGGGCTCGCCAGTGTTCCAATTGGTGAAGTCCAACTGCAATGTGAAAGCCAACGGCATGTTATGTCAAATGGCGGATTTAAAACTATCTCCAGACCTTATGGACTCAGTTCACAAACAGTAGATGGTGGTTTTTGACCACTTTCGTAAGCCCCAGTTGGAGACACACACAGTGTGTGCATACAGTCTTGTTCCGTAGTTGTGGGGACATGCACTCATCTGTACGAGGTATTTGTGGGGAGCGAAAATGCCGTGGGGACAGCAGAAAGTCCCCATAACTCGGTCCTAATTACCCTAACAATGAAAAACTTCCCCATAACGCGGTGTACATGTAGGCCTACCCATACTAGCTTGCCCATGTACAACACAAAGTACGCACACCCTGTTTTGTTTTTCTTAGTAGGCACAAAGACATAGCATCTTTGCGTGAGCGTCGAGTGTTGTCAGCAACGCGTTCAAATGTCCCTCCCAGTGGTCTCCCCCAACTCTCCCTTTGTAACCGTTGAGGGGGTACTTGTGCACAGAATCCATAGTAAAATCCTGGTAGTAACTTGGTGACTTGGCCTATAGGGAACAGAGTTGTCCTTTACTTTAACATACCAAATGAAATTACAGTGAGTATTTTTTTCCCCCTCGACAGGATCCCAGTCCATTGCAGGTAATCCCTTCCAATAATCCAAATCAAGGGCGTCAATCGCTTCTCAATGGTGGTGGGGGGGGGGGGACACTACATGATTAGAACAAATGCAAGAGGGGAGCATGAAGCCTTAACAGCGTGGGGTTCGGGGCTCACTTAAGGGCCCCAAAAATGTTTGGATTCTAGACACTCTGTGGTGGGATCTGAAGCAATTTCTGACCAAATTACAAAACTTTTAAAGTTTTTTCCTGACCATGGGAAACCCGATAATCCATAGGCAGAATGCCATTCCGTCGTAAAGACTGGATAAAACTGCACGTGAATTTTAGTGTAAAATGAATTCATTAGAGTATTGGTAAACGTCACAATGACATTTCAGTTGTTGACATCATAAAATTCGCTTCGCTTTTACTTTCGCCTGAAGTATGACCCGGCCTTCCCAGCTGATGTCAATGCCCATTCAAACTCCTGGATGAAGAGTTGCCTATGTCCCAAAGACACAGAACAAGACCAGCAATTGGGTTTGAACCCCTCAAACGGGGAGTAAAGTAGCTGCCCAAGGACACCACAAATGTCCAGCAACTGGTTTGTAACCCTCACCCACCAATCATGGAGCACAGACCCAGAACACAAGGCCATGAGTCATATGCTTCCCTTTTGTTGAAGACTCTAGATCATATGATAGGGGAGTTAAAACTCACCGGTGTGCTATCCAACCATTCAAAGTTGCCTTCATTGCTGCGGTCATGCAACCCAATCCACAGGTTGGCGTTCATCATGGATGTTCTTACTGTCAACAATTCACAACAAAATATCTCAGTTATTCCAAAACAAAAGAATAACATTTTCGCTGGTCCCTTTTATAACTGACTGACTAACTAACTGACTGACTGCCCGACCGAGTGACTACCTGACTAACTGTCTGACTCCCCGACTCATTGATTACTGGGCAGTGTCATTGTATAGGATACCCTGTAACCCCAATTTAAAGGGCCCAATCTGGCCCATTGTGTAGACCAGATGCATGAAGAGACTTCCAGTGAATAGCCATTCTGAATCAATACGGGCGATTCACAATGCAGTGCGCCACCAAGAGTTTGCCACGGCGAGTTCATTTTTCCCACTGCATTGTGGGAGATGGTCAACAAATTCGCAGCGCGGGACAATTGAAATTGTTTGTTTTTTTACAGTCAGTAGTTTTGTTAGCGTATGATTTGACTATTTGTTAGCCCTTTTCTTTTCTTTTTATTGATATGGTGTCTTATGTAAAGCGGCAGAACGATATATGCCCAATCTATAACAAGTTAGCTCAAGTTGTCTACTGACACTTATTCAAATGGGCCGTGTTTTGAAACTTGAAAAATGGACTCTCCACGGCAAACTCTTGATGGCACACTGCTTTGTAAATCCCCCAAATTGGAAAGAATTGCGGGCATTCTGGGACCAATTACTTACCTAGCCTTACCTAGTCTTGTTCATTTCGCAAACTCTTTGTACAGCATTGCCACATTTCACAATCATGGCAATGAGCCTAAATGAAATATCCAGAACCACATTTGTAGCTTACCAAAAGATCTTTGCTGTACGTGCACGAACCACTTACTGCATGAACCAATACTGCATGGGTCCCACACACTGGAGCTATAGACTCCATACAGAGTGTTTGACTTACATGAGAGGTAGGATTGTTCTTCGGCCGTGTGGATGCTGACCAGCTTGGAGCCTTTAGCCTTACACATGGTCTCGGCATCATTGAAAGTGGTGCCAGTGGTGTCAATGAAGTAGCAGTAGTCCCCAAAGAGGTTCCAACCAGTCGGGCAGCTGCCGACACCTGAGGGATTAAAAAAGACGCCGCATCTTTAGAAAACACAGTGGGTGTGTTATGACGGAACTACAGTAACTGTCCCGACCAGAGTTGGAAATCCATCTAGTGGTTAGAAAAGCATATACCTTATGCATTAAAGCGGATTCAGAGGGCAGTGTTTTTTTATCGCTGGGCAAGGCATTAATACAGTGTTTACATTGTACATTGTTTTATACATACATTCTTGTCTTTATTAAGTTAATGGAACATCTTAGGTTGGGGTGGGGTAGTTGGGTGTAACGGGAACACTTGGGATTTTCTCTCGGGGGGGGGGGGGGTAGGGGGGGGTTAAAAGGGAGTGTTTCATAAGTCCTTGGACTTCTTACAACTTCCTTATAACTTCTCTGCTTTTTGTTACTTATCTTTGTCATTTACTTTTATGTTTTGTTTATCTATTAAGTTACGTACTTTATATGTTTTCATTATGAAGTTATGAAATAAACTAGATTGATTGACAGGAAAGCCTGTTGTGCATTCATAGCAGCTTTATTAAAAGAACATCAAAGAACATACCATCTATGGATAGTCATCCATGCAAAAGCAAGGAATAATAAAAGTGTAACAATCATGCATCTTTCAAAACACTGAATAATCAAAAGACACGTAATCAAAAACTGGAAATATGCTACTCACCAGAGATTGGGTTAAGTGGAGTCACAGGTTGACCTAAGAGGAAAAAATGGATATTTTATGATTGACATAACTTCTATGATCGCATTCTCACAATCAGGAATTAAATTTCACTTGTTACATCGTCACCATTTTCAAGAACTGACACACACACTGTGCAGAGATGCCAACTTTACAGACTACAAAATAGTAATGATTCTTCCTGCAAAGAGTAATGCTAATGTAAATACATAGGACAACAGTCAAGTTTAAGAGTATACCACAGTTACTTTTCAGAGTAACCACAATGTTGGCGTATAGGACAGCTGGAATTTTCAAGAGTAGTAACATGCCTCAAAATCCTAATAATTACTCCAAAAGAGTAATGGTTGGCATCTCTGCACTGTGTGCTGTAAGTTGGTGAAAACTATGTGATCAATCACTTCGGCATCACGAACTGACACTCGAACTGATATTTTGGAGCTTAACAAAATAGTTGTTGGTGCAAGTGCATTACTTAAAAGTGGGTAGTGAGCATTGTTGGTAATTCAATTTTTATATCATATTTTCACAGCTTCATTTAGACAGAATTTCACTGGTTAAGTAAAACGTTCAGCATCATCAAGCTTCTTAATCTGTCCAAAACTGAAGTACTTTGTCATTACTGTCAAAATTTGAAGAAAGCAATATTTTGGTTAGTTCTTTCACATTTTGGTAAGTTCTTTCACATTTGGTTGATCAAAAATGGCTTTTTTACTAAGGTTATCTCCACATCCACTCCACGCGACTCATAAGGTCAAAAGTTGGTGTGATGTTCTTGAGTGAATTTTACCAACTCAACCAGAACCAGAACCAGAAATGACAGCTGAAGTTGCACTATAATTTTGAATCAATTGACCAGACAAGTATGTGGACTAGTTCAGTCATAAATCAGGAACTTTGTTTGCTTACCCACTGGGGTTTTGCAGACAAACGACCGCGGCAGGAAACAGTTTGTAGTGCTCCATGCATCGGTACTGTCGCCTTAAAACACAAGTTTGAAGGGGAAAAAGTGATAAAATCATTTTATTCAAAAGCAAATAGATACTGATTTAGCAAAGACATGCATAGTACTCACAGAGCTTATGAAGGGAAAACCAAGAGGTCCACCAAAACGGAGTTGATTTTTTTTTTGTGCTCAGGTCTCAGTTGAGCAAAGGGGCTTAAACAAAAGTATCGCCTGACTAATTTGAATGGGGGGGGGGGGGGAGAGTGTAACATCAAAACTGCCAACAGACTACACCACAGTAGTGTTGCGTAAATCCAACCTGAAACCGCCCCGAACCGAAACGGACTTCGGATCAGGTCGGTTTGTCCATCATTTCAGTCAGGCCGGGTCGGTTTTGATTTTGCGTTTGCCACTTTCGGATCAGGTCAAGTCGGTTAAGCCATTTTGGAAAAACCTCAAATAAACCGAAATAAACTGGGAAAAAATTGAAACAGTTCAGAAATTCACATGGTGAAATTTTTGTTTCAGAGTCCCTGTGTCCGGTGTGAACAAATGTGATTTGCGATCTATCATGCATGGTCTATAACATGCAGGCCCACCAGTAGGTCACGTTGTGAGTACCGCATGGAATAATTCACTTGCTGACAGACAACGATTTTCATGCGAAATGGGAAAGTTCAGGCACAAAACGCAGACACAGTTGTCCAAGCCAGATATTTGTTTTTTGGGGGTCGATATCAGGTCGGTTTTCTTTGAATTTTTGTCGGGTTGGGTCAGATCGTGTTTGGGGAGTTTCGGACTAGATTCATCTCTATGTTTCTGGTTGGTTTGGCCTGGTCAACCCAACCCAATGCAAAACACTACTCAATGGTGTAAGGTAGAAGGGATTTTTATTCCTGAAGCAGATGGGAATGGACACTGTCAGACAAAAACATGAACTAGTTTGTTTGTAAACTACATATCACTGTGTGATGGTGTTCCAAATGAGATTGGGTCAAAAGGTACAGACTCTGTCTGGCATGACATCTGTTTAACGTGACTTACCTAGGTAGATGGTACCACAATCTGGTTGATTGGGTGTCTCAAATGGCATGCCAACATTCCACTTAGTGTAGGACACAGCGGCACCCTCAGCCCAAGCAAACTGGCCATCAACATTGTAATCTACAAAAATTGATTGGAATATGACAAAATCTTAATATGTCTACTTTTCAAGAAAATAATTTTCAGCTTGTGTAAGTTTGGGAGCTGTTCATGGTTAAGTATGGAGTGCACTGTTGAGGTTTGCTGCAGAACCATATACAGGCATTTCCTTTGATTCGTAACAAGGAGGCTCTTGACAAGAATTAGTTTAAGCCCGAGTCCATCATTGGCAGCTATCCAAAAAAGTAACTTGCATAATTATTGTTGAAAAACATACTGGTTGAAAGATAGTAAGGGGACTAAACTCCCTGTGAAATTATCCTTTCTGGCAAGCTCTCATTTTGAAGAAATCAACGAAAGAAGGCATTTCCAACGTTGCTTCTTAAGAAGCACCGTAGGAAAATTTAAATTAGTTGTTCGTTTTGTTATTCGGCGCAGCGCGCACAAGCATTGGAACGACGCACAGGTGCGCGCAGTTGCTATAATTCGTCGGATCAGTGCGCGACATCGCGTAAAGCTGCAATTCAAAACAATTCGAAACATGATTTAGCAACTTTTGATTTGAAATTGAGATCCTAGAATGCTGTTTTTCTCGGAATATGAAGCTTAAGCTGAGCTAAAATTTCATCAAGTAAGTTGTTCAGTATCCTTCATTAGATTTTGAACACTTTTGTTGCTTCAAACGAACAGAATGCACTAATTACAAATGACGGACTATAGCTTTAAACACTCAACATTTCAATCAATAAGCTCTGTTCATCTTTACAATCAGAATGGTACCATTGCAAGATTTCTTTACTCCATACTTTACAATGCACTCCCACTTTGATCCAAATCAACCAAATTTCCTCTAAAATTTCCCAAGCTGAAATCGAATCCGATGATTACTAGGAAACTGTCAAGGTGACATATCAAAATAAAACTGATATAGTTAACAGGGCAATTTACCTGATATTCCGATCCAGACATCGGTGATACCAATGCTTTCTAAATCATCAAACTGTCTGATTACATAGGAGTTCTCATCCTCACTGTAAAACAAAACAAAACAAAATCACAATTTTTAAAAAAATGTTTATCGTCACAATAGGGCCTTTCACACCATCCGAAATTCAGGACCAACAAAGAGATTTTAACTCTTTCAGTGCCCGCGAAATTTGAAAAGTTTAACCCTAAAGTGCCCAACTTTGAGTGTTTTTGTTAATTGTTCGAAATTCTGTAAAAAAAAAAAAGTAAATAAGTTTTACTCACTAAAGTTGTTGCTCTCTGGTATATCCTTGGAATATTGGAAAGTCAAAAGTAGTCACAAACATAGTGATACACCCTGAAACACTGGCCTGAACACAGGGAAATTCCGCACTTTTTGCAGAAAATACGAGATTTAGTGCTGCGCCCTCTCGCAAGAACTCCAATAAAAAAATAAATACAGGTCGTACATGCATGAAAATGGTACCATTAGAAAGAGAGAGAGCGCCCCCTTTTGATAACATATTTACTCTACCTCATACATGTACGAGGTTTGGCAATTTTAAGTACGAACATTACCTCATACATGTACGAGGTTGGCGCTTTTGTACAAACAAATATACCTCTTACATGTACGAGTTTGGCACTGAAAGAGTTAAGAGAACCCCTTTCACACTAGCAAGAATCCTACACAGTTTCTACACAGGTCCGGCGCTTTACCTGGGTAAAATCCTACCCTGGTCAGGACCAGGGTTGAGAGGCTCTACCCGGGGTAGAAAATCTCAAATTTGTACCTTCTCCAAAGCAGGCAAGGAGGGGCATGTAAAAGGTGATTCAGACACCAACTACAAGATGGAGGGACCGACAGACAAACCTGAAGATGGAAGCCAGGAAGGTGCCCTGCACTTCGCAGGTGTGCTTGGCATCGGTCCAACTCATGGCGGAGTAGGTGTTGAACTGATAGCACTGGCCGCCGTGGATCCGCCAACCGGTAGGGCAGGTTCCTGAGAAGTGGGGAAAAACAACAAAAACATAGTGAGCAATAATATCTGCCAAGCATTTCCTAAACCTCAGGTTGTCCCGGTGTTAATTTCAGCGAGCTGAAAATATGGCTGATCGTTCCCAGTGCTCTTTTCGAGTTTCATCCCAAAAGATAGATTTCTTTTCTAATTTGCTAATTTTTCTAGCAATACAAAAGTTTTTCACTTTTGAATGATGCATATTCATTACTAATACAATTGCAAGTCCGCTTGCAAAGTGGATTTGTTTGTGCCCAAAATAATTTTTTTTAGAGGGTTTGGAGACTTTTCAAAAAGGTTTTTAGGTTGGAATAAAATATGCCAGTTGAAAATGTATTAAAAGAAAAACAAAATTAAAATTTGTTGAACAGCACGGGGAACGGGGAATCTTTAATTACTGAATTCTGTACCTTCGTCTTTTTCACAGATGAATTTCCTTTGTGATGTGCACGGTGCAGTGCTCCATTCTCCGTTGCTTGATGTGTCGAGGATTCCCACGCAATTTCCACCCATACTGAAAAACCTGTCGAATTGATTGGGTTTAAAGAATTCTGTCATAAATGCACCACTTTGTTTCATCAGCCGATTTCATGAAACAGTGTGTAACTTACGCAACGAGTAAGATTTTTGCAACAATTTTGTCATGCAGCTATGTGATAAACATAAACTCAAATTCGCGAAACTTGGCTGTGCAACATTTTATAAAGTTTATACATAATCTTTCACGACGGTTGTTTGAGAATGATTTATATTTGATCACAAAACAGTCACTGAATCACCTCTGTTCATTATTTCAAAATCAGGTTTGTTCCATTTTTCTTCGGAATCATGCAGCAAGGAAGTTCTGTCACATGCAAAAGAGCAAGTTCTACCCGATTAAGCTTGTGATTTTATTTTTCTCGCCAGTCCTCGGACAACACTGAGTATACAGTGTTAATACATCATTGAAGGGGAAAACCCAATATTGAATTGTAAACTTTGAGAGTCGTAGTTATAGAATCTAGGAGGTTGTTAACTAGGAAAATTTCTTGTAGGAGTAAGAGAGTTTTAAGTTTAATTATTTTAGAAAACCATAATAGGCATACTGGTTGTCTGGTTGTCCTGGTGCCCAGTACGTCACAGTGCCTACTGAGGAACCATCCGGCCAAGTGTAGAGACCAGCTGAGTTGCTTATCTGAGGAAGAAAATGAAAAAAAAACCCACCAAATTTGTCTTCCATCTTTTTTACTTTCTTTTTTCAATATTGAACACTGAGCTATATGTATATGTATTGTTGAAACTGAATATTATCCAGGGAGGCTAACCCCCGGTTCAGACAGGCGTTCCAGAGTCGCACCGAACCAAATAGATTAGGAGCGACTCCAGGTCAACCTTATTAGAATTTTGGTTTCAAACAGGCGAACATAATACATTGGAGTATTGTGTACAAACCAACAAACACGGGATCTTGGAAGACAGGCTGCTAGTACGCCATGTGCGCTCGCGTTATCTCTAGCACGTCACGCCATGTACGAATTTGTATTTCAAGACTGTGCCGTGCCTGTACAACATGGATACTTGGAAGTCTCTTTTTTCCGCTTTAAAAAAATGTATCTTGTCTTGTATTGGGGAGACAGTGGGCGTACATTTATTGTAAGCTTTTGCTCTGTAACACGACATCGAAATCTCGGGTTTGAAAGGATTAAATCTGCAAAAAGAAAACTGTTAAATTATAAGCACTGCGTCGCGCGTTAAACGCATCGCATGCAGTCCTTATTTGTTAAGGTCACTACTTATTTACATACATTTACATACATTTGCATTGAGTTCGGCTCATGACTAGAGCTACGTCTGAAACCAAGTCGTTCCTGAGTCGTTCTAACGACTCCAACAGTCGATCTTTCGCCATCGAGCGCGTCAAGTCGATCCTGATTGTTTCCGAAGTCGGACTTTTGACGCACTTAATTCAAATCTAGACTTTCATTTGGTTCGGCGCGACTCTGGAGCGCTTGTCTGAACCTAGTGTAAGCAATGGTTGCCCAACTTTAACAAGATTTTGGGAGGACCTATTACATGCTTTCGTGCACATTGTACAGGTGTTACAACATGTATAAACACTGTATATGTATTTTATTCTGACTGACACTTTTTGAACAGTGACATATGGGGAGCATTTGGGATTATGCTCCCCCCCCCCCCCCCCCCCCCCCCAAGTAAAGTCACAGTGTCTACTGCTGCAGCAGGTGCACAAACATTGTTCTAAATTACCAAGACAATCAGGGGTAGATCCAGGAATTTTTGCTGGGGGGAGGGTCAGGCCTGTCAGATTTGTTTGTCCGATTGTTGCTGACAGGCGGACATATAGGTTCATGTGATTATTATAACTATAATTGTCAACAAAAAAGGAGAAACAAAATTAGTGTCAGAGCTAGAGCGGGGGAATGGGAGGGGGGTCCTGACCCCAAAACCCATCCACTGAATCCGTGCCTTACAATGTGGTTCTGAAAATACAGGGCGAGTTAAAAAAAACAAAACCCACATGTCGGGACCATTGTTTTAGTGAAGTTCTGCGTGTAGTACTTTAAAAATCTAGGATATGAAAGCCCAAAAAGTTCAGTGTTCTTTCAGCAAAACAAAAACAAATCACATAAGGATGTGTGTGAATCGTTTTCGTTTTGCTGAAAAAAACTCACACCGTTTTTGTGATCCGTGGACAGAACTTTAAAACGGTGGTTGTGTTTAAAACTCTGTAACTTAAAAAGTACATGAATGATTTGAATGGTTCTTGTACTAAAAGAAAGTTTATAAATTGGGCTTTCGTATCCTAGATTTTGAAAGTGCTACATGCAGAACTTCACTAAAACAATGGTCCCGACATTTGGGTTTTGTTTTTTTCGATTCACCCTGTACTAAAGCAATTCCAACATCATGGAAGAAAATGTCATTTCCGTGACAGAGCCAATACACCATCATATGTTATTAATGATTCTGAGAAATGATCCAAAACTCCTAGTCTGTATCTCCTTGACCATTACTAGATGATGGGTGTGTATAAGATTTGAAAATAAACTACATTTTCAGGTTTATTCACTGAGCTCTTTGTTATGTCTGTGATGCTATACATGTAACTGGCCATCACTGAGGTAACACCTCTCTCACGTGTAGTTGATACACTTCCAAAATGCACATGCTTTGACTTTAAGGACGCATGCAACATGAGCTTGAGTGCGGTTCCACCACAGTAACAGGTTCTTATTTGGTTTGCCAGATTATCTCCCCTCTGATCCCACTGAACAAAAATCCTGCGACATCAATTTATAGAAGCCTTACCTTGTCCGTTGCTCCGATCCAGATGGACTCCTGATTCAACCGGGCCTGGATCAGGGCAAAGTTTTGTTCCTCGTCGGTCTGTACGCTGATCAGGTCACCGTCCCTCTCCTGGCAGTACCGCCGCGCGTCGTCCCACGAGTTGGCCAAGTCCATGTACTTGTGGCATTTGCCTGCTGCCGACACCCAGCCATTGGCCTCGTCGCACTTCAGGGGCGCGTCTGCACGCGTGGTTCGGAATTCAAAAAGATATTACAGTGTTTATTATTTATCCTATGAGTGCAAGTGGCACATGGAATAATGTAATGCATCTTCGTTGTTCATGAAGGCCAAGTGGCGTATGCCACACAGATGCACACACGCATACTGGAATTTGTATTCTTGTGGAGACATTTCTTTGTTCTCGTGTAGTAAAGTTTTCGAGTTTGAAAGTGAAGTTTCAAAATGCTCTTATTTTAACCGGAATTAATTTCCTTGGCTGAAATTCGGACTTAATATCCCTTTTCTAAAACTCTTCCATTTGCGACGGATCAACCCACCTTGGAAATTCCTTGTTATTGAGTAAAATCCATATATCTATTTTGTGAAAATCTTGTGGAGACGTATTCATCTATAGAAATTGCCCTTTTGGAGATGTATACAATCTTTTGTTCCCTATTGTGTGCACGTCTCCAGAGGGCACGGTGTATCAGATCACCCATCTTAGTAAACACCGGCAATTGTGGACCCTCCATTGTCCCTAATCCTCAATCCTTTGTTTGTACTGCAACTTTTTAGCAACAGCTTTCATTCATTTTGTACACAAATTTCAATCGTGGACATTCGGTCAATTGTGGACGTATTGTTTTTGACCTAACCCTTTTGTCCTTGGTCCACGATTGCTGGTGTTTACATACTTTGGTCTACCCTTACATACCTACTGTGGACATTCCTTTGTTTTCGTGAAGTTAAGAAAAACCGGAGAAAAAAAAAATAATTGTACTCGCACTGTGAACACGCTTTAAACCCAAATGTTTTATCATGATTTCCTTGAGGGCTCCTCTTCAGTTTGTGGCAGATAACCCTAAAACCCAAAATGCCTCTAAACCTGTTTTCCAGAGAGGAGGGAAACCTAGTGTGGACCTGGCTTAGCCAGAAAAGGTTCACACCACCTGCATCGTTTTGTTTTAATGTCCACACAAAGATGACAAGGTTGCATGGCACACTACATTGTTCCGTGTTCCACGCGTGCGTGAGCGGGATAACAAAGTTATCTTCAAGTAAACTTTATGCACAGCAAAGATGGAATGCGTACGCTGTAGTCACTTTAGTTTCCAATATCCAACAACTGAATTTTTTTCAGGAAAGACATTCTCACCGTTTGGTCTCTGACAGATGCGGTTCTTATTGTCCAAGCAGTTGACGTCATTCCAGACTCTGTTATCTCTCAGGACAACGCAGTCCTCTTGGTTGTTATCGTTGTTTGGTGCACTGCTTCCCCAAAGAACGCTGGAAAAAATATGAAATGAGAGAAATAATAGTGAAAAATGAAGGAATTTCATGATGTTGCACTTTGAATGGCATTCAAATGAGTTATCCTTCAAGCTGACAGGAAATGCTTCACATTTTCTATGTTCCACGAGTGGGAGTGAAATAATGAATTCATCTTCAATCAAACTTGATTTACAGTCACACAAATGTTTCAGCTGTTGTCCTGTTATGTTTCACGGGCGTGCAGTAGGAATGGCGCACATCTTAGAAAATCGCGATTTGCAGAGTGTCATAATATCACACGGTTGTTGCCATGGACTGACCAATCATGATCGAGGATTCAACTTTGAATGTGTTGGAACAGTTTGTATGTGTTCTACATAATCCCCAAGGACTGACACACAAAGGGAGAACAACAGATCCTTTCAGTCCTCGGGCGTTGGGTCTTTTGTTGGAAACGGTCCTCTGTAGTAAGTTTGTGTGCTTAGTCTATGGGAGAGTGTTGTATTACAGGGACAAAGGGAAACACAAAGCATTGTCCTCGAGAGTATAGTAAAACACGACCGTATGCAAATGACTGTGTTGGAATGGTGTGGAAGCACAATTTGTGTTACGCAAAACACTTGGAAAGGGAAAAGGGTAATATACAGATGAATTTCCTTCTTTCTTTTTTCCCCTTTTCCCTTTTTATTGTTTGTTTTTTGGGCGGAAGGGGGGGGGGGTGGGCATGATTTTTGGCACCAGTCTAGTCAAGTTTTTGAGCTAGCAGCCCTGTAGTCTACAAGCAGAAGACATCTAGTCTAGCAGCGGACTCACTTGAGAGCGGGGTCCAGTGGCGTACCGTCGATCCATTTAAAGGAACCCTCCGTGTCTTGGTCATTCAGGCCGATCCAAGCAAATGCACCAGCCGCTTCCGTGAAATCAGCCAGAAATGTCTGCACAAGAAAAAGATATTCAGAGTTTAATTTTTTCTAATCCAGGGGCCGATTTCATGGAATTGCTAGGCAGAGAGATTTGCTCAGCACAGAAAATCAAGTCACCAGCCAAAAATGTACATTACATGGGCAATTTCATGCAAAGGTTAAACCAGCTGAAAAGAGGGAAACTTTATGAATTCTTCCAAAATACAAGTATTATAACCTCAGATACGGTATCAAATTAAAGGGTACAACAAGACCTTGCATTTGTGTGGTGTGTCAGTAAGATAGGATGTGGAAAAGTGTTCTTTTTTTGTCCCCCAAAAAGCTAGAACAATGGATATGTCCCTTTCAATGAATTTAATTTTGTAAGTTTCTTAAGGAGTTAATTTTGTACCTTTAACGACAAATTTCTCCGTTTTTACTAAGTCTCCGAGGCCTATATATTGGGAACTCAACCTAAGGAAATTTGGAATGTTTTCAAAAAAATGAATAACATTGGTCAGGCGGATGGGAGGGGAGGTGGAAGTTTGTCACCTTTACCACCCCCCTGGGATTCGCTCCTGCAGGGGGGAGATTCGGGGAAAATGAAAAATCCATAAAACTATCTTGAGAAACTTTGAGGGTTGCCAAGGGTCTCAGAGCAGCATAGGGTCTATGGTTTATTGGTATTTGCCTAAATACAGAACTTAAAATACCAACGTCTTATAAACTTTAAAAGGTAAAAACACCTTTATGGTAGAACCTTAGGAAATCCATATTTCAACAGGGATTCTTTAAAAATCCATACCAAAACAAATCTGAAACTCAGGAAAAAAATCCTGACAAATCTCAATCCAAAGTACAACAAGGCTACATCATTTCAACATTCCTGGCCTCGTGTATTATTAGGTAACATGAAATGCTCACAAAAGAATTCATTAAAACAAATACAATGGACCTCACTGCAGATCAGTTTTGTTTGAACTGAAATAAAAATAGTCTTTTTTTATGATGAAAAGAAAGGCCTAATGAGTTTTAAACAAAGTTTTACAGCCCTTTCGTTCTTATCAGAAGATAACTCAATAACCTGCAAATAATAGTACCCCACATGCTTTCATGAACATACCTAAAAGTAGCGGGGTGGGCTTCGGGTAGGGGGTGTGATAGGCAAAGGAAAGGAAGTGGTATGATGAAACTGTCTGTTTCTGTTGGGGGGTAAATTGATTGGTTTCTTACATTCATCTCGATGCTGGTGATGATGGCCAAGTCACCTCCTTCCTGCTGGCAGGCGATGCGGGCATCGTTGACGCTCTTCCAGTCAGTGAACAGCCTGAAGCAGTTGTCTTGATACAGGGACCAGCCTTGGGGACACCGCTGGCTTAAGACTTGGAAGGGACAGATCAAAAGAAGTGTGGAAAAACACGAGTCAAATGCAGTCAAAAATAGAAATTTTGTAAAAAGTTGATAAAATGTGTAATTCTGGCAGAGGGTATTACACAATAGTTGACCCATTATTAAAACACCTGTATTACATTTTATCTTCAAGTAAACTTGAATCCTCGATGCTGATTGGTCGATCCATGGCAACAAGCTGTGCTACATATAACCATGTAGCACGGTCTCCATCCACACCGCACTCCGCGTATTCAGCTGTTCCAAGATGCGAGCGACATTCCAGCTGCATATGCTAAACTGCTGAATGTCCGTGTAAAGCACGTGCTCATTCCAACATTCATTCCAATATGATACGTGTATTATAAGATGGAACTTTTGCGTTGGGGTGATATAAATCAAATGAGGTTTTTGCCCTTTACCGACGTTTAAACACTGTATATACCTCCCGAGTGAAAGTTGGAAAAAATCACTCGGGTGGGACTCAAACCCACGACCTCCTGCTTTCTAGTGCAGATGTCTTACCACTCGACCACCGAGATAACGGGATCGGTTGGCTGGTTCGAATCTGATGTACATAGCAGCGGGTACCGCATAAACTATTATAAGATGCAAGAGTGGTAAGACATCTGCACTAGAAAGCAGGAGGTCGAGGGTTCGAATGATACGTGTATAAATGTACAAACCACTACTGGAAGCTGCATTTCATATTTTTGTTTTCCATAAAAGGTATAATCAGCAGGATACTAGGAACAAAAGTCTTGTACTTTTTTCCCCTTCATAATCTGATCAAGAAAAGCAAACACCCATCATCTTATCAAATACCCCTCCATAGCAGCAAACATTCAAATGATGCTTGATCTACTCGGCAAATAAGCCCAATTAATTCCTTTGCCAAACATTTTGTAAATTACACAAAGATAATGATAAATCTGGCCTTGTCTGAAGGTTTATGGTGAGTCTTGTTATCAAACACAGTTTTGGTTTGTGAATTATAGCTGCTGCAATAAAAGGCTTACACAACTTGTGCCCTGACCAGATGAGGCCAGGCAGGCCCCCCCCCCCCCTACCTCCCTGGCTTTTTTAGGCCGACCTCAAACATTATATTGCCACACTTTCTAAATGCATCTGTCACATTTTAATGGTGTAAGTGGCCAAAAAAAGGAAGTTAGCTCAGCTAATCCAAAAAATTAACTGTCTACCACAACCATATTTTAAGAAAATGTGAATATTCATTCACAGAATAGATTTTAAAGAACTCTACTTTATACCTTTAACTTGTTTGTAAAATGTCATTATTTGGGAATCAATGACCTGCAGATTAGTCCAGAACCACAATGGCTTTTTCTGGGAATAGCACTGTAAAAAAAATATTTGTTTCTCAGGAATGTCATGTTAAGGAAAACATGGACGGCATTACTGAAAACAGAAGTGGGCCGGATCGAAGAGACATTTGACTATTTGACGTGGTCCAAATAGCAGTAACACAGTAACAATTTTCAAGTGGTATAAGATTTGAAGGTCTGCATGATGAAGATAGGAATTTGATAAAGGTTTTTGGTAGCACCATGTGACAAATCTCTTTTTTCATCAGTCTCCTGATGACGTCAAGAGTATACTGTCCAAAACGTTGAGTTTCTCTCGTTTCTGTTCAAAACCTCACAAACTCTCAACAGAGATTTGTCCCACATTTTCAAGTAATTGGTTTGTTTGCCATAATCAAAACACCCACATTTTAAACAAAAACTTTTAGACTTTTTAAAGTTAACTTCAAAAATTGGCATCAAAAACTTGGTTTTTCTTGGTCAATTAGTTGGAAAATGTACTGTAAAATTTAAAACAAAACAATAACATTCAATTTTAAGTAAAAATGCTACGTCAGTTTATTTGTTTTTAAAAAAGTAATAAAAACAATATCAGAAACTTGAAATTGTTTGATTTCATTTTAAAAATGGAAAGAATGTTGCATCCCGATGTCACATTTGTTTATCATACATTAACTCAACGAAGGTCAGTCATTGTAAAAAAAAGTTGATACAACATGAATCTGGGACTGAGAAAAAAATGATTTCCGATTTTGTTAGAAAATACTTTGAAAATGCACTTGACTCTCCATAGACTTTGTACAGAAGCAAAGAAGTGGCGTCTGGATACTACATTCTTTCCTTAAAAAAATCACAAATGAAGAGCAGAAGTATAGAAATGAAAAAAGGAGAAAAACTTACCGGTCGGCAAGAAAATGAACAAACAAGAAAGAAGGAACCACTTCATGTTGTCAAGAAAAAAATGGCACCTTCTCTCATCAAGAAAAGTCTCACAGGGAGGAAAAATATTTCAAAGTTCCTGGAGGGAGAACCTTACTTGTTGCCGGCAAGAACGACAAGTGACCCTAGGAACTGGTAACATAGGGACATGCAAGGCCCCAAAACAGGGACCCGGTTACAAAACCAAAATAGGGGGCGGATACTTAATCCCAGAACTCACGGCGATATCGCTACTTTAACCAGAGAACTTGGATGTAAATATTGTGCGATAAAGAAGCAGATAAGAGTTCTGGATGTTTGAAACTTTATGATAACCAAATGCAGAACATTTTGCAGTGGGGGTCTATCTGCATGGTGACGGTTGGGAGCCCCTTGCTGAGTTCGGACTGATGTGTGGACAATGATAACGAAAATCCTGGCTCACATGGTGGGACATGTGAGGGTGAAGGGGAGGGGGGGGGGTTCAACAGGGGTGTTGATAGGGACCATAGGACAAACTTTTGGAGGTGTTTCAAAGTTTGGACAAACAAGCTGATTTCATAACTTGGATTTTTTTTTTCTTCAAAAAGTGTTAAGAGACTCGTGCAATGACATGTGTTCTTGATTACATGAATGACTGTTTTTTAATTCCAAACTCCATTTTGTCATCTCATCAGAATAAAGATCCAAGGTATTCTTTTCCAAAAGAGGATCACCCATCCATGGCATAAATTTTGAGACAAAAGACATGCTGTGTACTATCTTAAAGATACATAGGCTCATTTACTTTTATGCATTTTCTGGTTTGTTTGAAGCAACAAAATTGCTCAAAATTTTAAGAAGGGTGAATAAAAAGTAACCTCAGTGGATACTATACATTTTCTTTTTAGAAAACAGAGAAAGCATACTATATGCATCATTTTTGGGTTTCATAACTGCATGGATTCCATTGCTAATGCACATAAAAACAACCTGTGCCCGTTGACACACTTTCTCAAACCACCTTCAGTGATAATTTCACAGGGTATTTGATACCAGTCCTATCTTCACTTTATGAGCAACGATTTTCTCATTAAATTGGTAGGTACGTTTCCGAGTAATTGCAAATGTTCCTGCATGCCTTTAAACAAGCAAACAATCTGGTCTTACCTTTTTTTAAATTTCATTTCTCCACCCCCCTCCCCCCCCCCCTAATTTCTGTAGTGAGGGAGTTACACAATCGTCAATGTTTGATTTTTGGTGCTAAAGGTCCAACAGCTTTATCTTTACGTAAGCAATGCCATGCATGTGGAGAGTTCTGCACGTTTGTATGAACAATGACATATTTGTGAGGGGGGGGGGGGGGGGGAGAGACAACCTGGGACTAATGAGCAGAACTCTGAAGGGAAGTTACTTGGGTTTGGTAATGTTAGGACAAATGGCGCTGCATTACAACTGTGTGGCTAAAGTTCACCCAATGGTTTCATCAACAGTCTCTAGTTAAAAAAGAAATCTCAGAACTTGATTTCTGAAATGTTACTCTTTGTTCTTATTAAGTCAATTACATTGAGGGAGAGAGTGGCCCAGTTGTTAGGGTTCCCGACTCATGATCAACGGGTCAGGGGTTCAAATATTATCAGTGTGTCCCTGGGCAAGCCACATTACCCCAATTGCCTCTCTCCACTCAGGATGTATTAATGGGAACCAGGCATTAGCTAGGGAGTAACCTGCAATGGTCTGGCATCCCATCCAGTGGATTTAAAATATTCTCGGTTGTTTAATGCCAAGAAAACTGTAAATAAATACCAACCTGATGAGCAACTGGCTTGATCGGGACACATTTTAGTTTATATAATTGTGGTTATTTTTAATACATCTTCGCTGAGCAATAATATGACATCATATACGAAATTAAAATGCAATTTGTTACATAAATGCCACTTGCTGATTTCATTACAAAACTGAATTCTATAAATTTAGGGTCCAAAGTGTGACCCTGAATTGTATGTCCCTGTTACCTTAGTAATGTACTTTATAATTTGCCCTTTATTAAGAATTACTTCAAATTATTTCTTTATTTGGTAGGTAGTTTGCTATTCATAATGTCTCTTGCAGGATGACTGCATTAAGGAGTGCATCAGAATTATACAATCATAGCTGTCAGATGTAACAGGGACGGGAAAAAAGTGGACCCCAAATTTATAGAATGATCCTTATGTAATATAAAATACATTTATTATGATGAATCAGCAAAAATCAACTGGCATTTGATAACGATTTTATTCCATTTGCATAATCAACAAATGCCAACTTATCGACACAGACCAAATGCATGGACATGATGACACACAGACAGAGCCGAAGTACGTTTGTTGTGTAACAAACAAAATCTAGGTTTCACAGACATCAGTACCAGAGCATTGTAACGTCTTGAATTTGTTACAAAAAGGGCTCATGCAGTGTATTTTTTTTAATGCAATCCTTGAAAATGCCCCTGTGTCCCATTTAACCTGATTTTCAATTTTTGTTTTGCCATTTTCAAGGGTATTTTGGTGCCTTTTTGGTTTTTATGCTAATGAAAATTTCCATATCCATGAGCAAAAGTGTGATGTCATTTCATGTGATGCCCCCCCCCCAAACAAAAAACTCCAATCTTTACACTTCAGACTTTGTACAGTGTTTTTTCAACTTTTAATGGCATAAGCATGAAGTGAAAAATGAGGAAATCAGCTGATCCGAGGAAAAGTTACATGCCTGGTGCTTACGGAGTGTTTTTGGTCTGCACCCATATGTAAGAATTGAAGCACCCCCTCTATGAAGTATTAAACCCAACCATACTGTTCTCAATAAACAAATCAACTTCATTTCCCATTTTATTGCAACAGCGCCCTCTATAGTTACTTCTAAAAGCAGGTTTAATTTTTTTTTTTTAGGACAGAGAACTTACTGTTCATTGAGAAGCATTTAACAGTGGGCAAAATTGGTCCAGATTGATAATTTTGGCAGAGGGAGGAAAAGCGGAGAACCCACAGAATAACCCTCGTGGCACAGAAGAGAATCAACTAACAACAGGGATTGTGGAGTTTAAGACACCTGTCTTTTTGATTCTCAAAAAGATTTTGTCACTCCAAAATGACATGCACAACCTCAGGTCCCCCTTACAACTCTAGTTCTACTAACATACATGTACATGTATGACACAAGCCGGGAATCGAACCCTGGCCACAGCAGTGAGAGGTGTGCAGTTTACGCACGGTGCTAGCCATGCCACCCAAACTATTACCAACAAAAACAAAATGTACTTGTAATCACAAATCATACAAATTTCATCTTGAACACTTCAACAATTCACTTGTCATAATAACAGTGCCACAAATGCATTTATCAGGCATGCAACTTGGAAACTTGTAACAAAAGAAGAGGAAACTCCAATCTTTACAAGACTTTGTACAGTGTTTCTCAATTTTTAATGGCATCAGTGTGAAGTGAAAAACAAATAAAGATCAGCTGATCCAAGGAAAAGTTGCATGCCTGATTTTAGAATAGTTATAATACTTTTAGCAGTTTATTCAGGAACATCAAACGGAAAATAAATAGTTGTGGAGGACATTATGTCATTAGAGAATTATTTCAGTGCACTCAGTTGTCAGAAATATGGAATTCACCATTATTTTTGAAAGAAGCAAGGCCAACCCAAAGTGGAAGCAGGGACAGTGAGCTATTTGGGTATGTGACAGTGAGAGTAGTAGAGTTTCTTTGACATTTCAACGGAAGAAACTAAGTGAGGCACAGTATTCCAGTTGGGAGTTGTGCCCCACCCTTGTGATAGACTAAGCCACAGTGACGTAGTGACGAGGGGGAGGGGGTTAAACATCCCCCCACACCCCTGACCACAAAAGGGGGAGGGAGGGGGAAGGACGAGAGGAGGAAGGGAGGAGGGGTAGCCACACATCTGATCAACACGCTGAACGCACTCTCTGCAGACGTGGCTTAAACCAGTCTCAGGTCATTTATCCAATCCTGGCTTCCTCTCCATTTCATGGCCATCCAGCAAATTGATTTTTTGGGGGAACACAAATAGGTAAACAACACCCCCCCCCCCCCCAAAAAGAAATTTCTTGCTACTACCCTGCTAAATCACGAGCAAGTTTAAGAGCAAGGATAATTACGGTAAACCATAGTTCGACTAACTTCACTCTAACCCAGGATAGTTGGACTACTCTAGTCGACTATTTGGAACCGGACCACAGGGCACGGTTGCATCGCTGGTTACCAATAGCCGCATGCATCATAATGCACAGCAGGGAGCCAGTACTGGTACCCACAAATTTTGCGATGACATTTTGACCATCGTTTGACTAGAGACGTTCGCACGTTGCTATTAGTAAGCACGCGTAAGTTACATCACGCATGAACCCATAGTTGACTAACGGTCCTTGCCCGAACGTGCTCCAAGCTGCATGTCAATCAAACATGAAGATGGAAGATAGACAGATACACACAAAAACCCTTAAAAACCACTTATTTGGTGCACCACAAAACCAACACACCATTACAGTTGATGGACACTTGAAATTCATTGTCACTGCCTTCAATGTCTAAACCACACACTGTTCCATGACAAATATTGACAGAGTTTGCCTTTTTGAGTTTTCACTTTTATTTCCAAATTCTCTTCTCTGACTGTGTTGTGGTCAACAACAAAATAATAAGGGGGAAAAAAAACAGTCCTCCAAAATGCACTTGAATGGTTTTGGAGTGCTGGCCACATTTCAGCCGATCCAACAACAGTACATGTGCTGCGAATGCATACTTCTTTTGTGCTATCAAGTCACGCACAGAAAGAAATCAGGAATTGTATTAAGTAGCAGAAAAAGACATAAAATAAATAAAAGAACCCAACACCGCAAGAGAATGACAATTTTTTTGCCACTTCCGCAATCTGCGTCCCCTCGGACTGCTCCAGCACAGCTGCTCCGAGACCAGGCCAATAAATGAACAACAGCTACCGATCCCGTCCTGACCAAACTGGGAAAGGCGGACTCGGGTTACCCATAATCCTGAGTGGCACTGCACTATTTGAACACACCAGAGCCCAGCCCAAACACCCAACACTAGACACACCAGTGGGACTGCCTTTTCTGTTTTCACTATTTCTTGGGGGGGGGGGGGGGCTTTCCTTT